TATCTAGAACACCTGGTTCGTGCAAATAAGCCAGCTTTGTCATATCATCCACTCCACAGGGTGGGGCTTCAGCATCTTTAGGATAGATATTGGAAGCTTTAACAACAACCTGCAATTTCCACCCAAATGGAGAAAGCGAGGAAGCAAAATCGACAGAAATATCAGAACAAGTTAAAGGCAGAGGTGACACAAGAAATAATTGCGAACAATGGTTCAACATAGAAAATCATTAATAGACAATGGCATGCACGAAAACATAGTGAATAATAAATAAATGCACTCACCGTTTTCCCTGAAGTGCAGAGAACCTTGATCTGTTCACCTTTAACCTCCACAACTTCACCATCTATCCAAGCTTCTTCAGGATCCTCCAACCAAACAAGAGATCCAACCACTAAACTCATAGCAACAGCCTAAAAAGCAAAGAGTCTCATTTGTTAACATATGGAGCGAACTATTAGAATGGTAACTGAGCATCATCAAACAAACAAATAACGACAGGTGCCACTTAGCACCAGCAACAATACCCAAAGTGCAAAGGAAAGATTTTCTTTCAATTTTCAAAACCAAGGAAACTTCAGAATTAAGTAGAAGAATTGGTATATGTTAACTTGAGAAACAGAGTGAGCCAAACTCAATTTATAAGCCATATTCAGCATGGAATAGTTTGAACATTTGAACCTTTGAAGTTCAAACTCAATTCCAAATTACTGGCAACACAAAAGCAACCATGTCATTAAGTTCAAGTAAGGGCATCCAGTTCCAATTCCAAGACTCTATTTTCCTGCTACCCAACAAAACCTATCTGTTGTTCAGTGACTGATTTAGTCATGGTCGTGTAATCTGCGGCCAGACCATTAGTAGCTTATTGCATATGAACACCCCCCAAAACTGATATCCAAAATTACTAACCGTGTTGAGTTACAAAAGTCTCATTGTCATCAAATATATTCTTAGGCTTTAAACAATGTTGCCAACGTGTTAAAGCTACTGAAGATGAAGCTCGAAACAGTTGCTCACTAAATCAAGATGGGCATTTCAATATGACAGTATAAATGACCAAATCTTAATGGCATCTATCCAGACAAAATAACACAAACTAAAGGAAATCAAATTTCTTTTCTACTTCAAACCAAACACAGATCAGTCCACAAAGAAAGTAAACCAATGACAACAATCAAATCATCCACAAGTTCCATATAAAAATGACAACCCAGAACTCCAAATGAATAAAATATACACAAAAACAAAAAACCAAAAGAAATATACAAAATATAAATACCATTTAAACAGAGAACTGATCGGATCAGAGACTTGGGTTTGCTTCTGGATCTACTCCCAGCCTTCCCCAATAAGGACCATTCAAATTCAGCAACAAAGTTTCCAACTTCTCCTCCTTTCACTACAATCTTTGCTGGTATTTCTTTGAAACAAATCAAAAATAAAGTAATGGAAAATGAAATTAAAAAATGAGAAGCTTAAACCCTTCAACAACCCAAATAACTTGAAGAAGAGATTAAGCCCCCCTTCTGCTGTTCAAGCAGATTCTCTTGTTCTTGTGTTGCTTTGTTGTCTTTTGTTTACTACTGCCCTCCGCCTATCCAACTTCGTTTGGACTTTGGTTTTATTTTTTCGGGTCTCAAAGTTTTATTAACATAATTGTTACTAACTTGCTATTAAGGATTTAATTAACAAAAATAAAACGCCAATCAAGTCGCTGAAGTTTCCGAAACTACCCTTAGATCTTGACGGTAATTACGTAATTTAAGACCCGGTCCCGCTTGAGTTCACAACGTTGTCTGAACTTTTCACCTTAAAATATCAAATCGCGGAGGCGGTAGACTCTCATTTCACATTTTGTCAACTACTTTTCTTCCAACCTGTCAAATGTTTTCTATTTTTATTTCCTCTTTTTCCTTCTTCCAATTTGATCCTCTTACAAATTCACACTATATTATTGTTCAATTAAAAAAATTTAAAATTTTAAGGTTAACATAGATCACCAAAAATTTGAGCACATGATCAGGATTTTTATATATAAATATAAGTGATAATCTAAACTACAAGAAATGAGATTTCACACACACACAACTAAGATGTCATAGGAGTTCAAATTTGAGACTTCTGATCTGTCATGTAGGAATTTTAACATTAAAGTAAAAATCATTTTCATTTACTATGTATGCGTCACATTAACATAGCATAAAACTGTAACTAAATATTATGATAAATATACTAACTTTTGGTAAAGATTTTCCATAAAACAAATTTGGTAAGAATAAATAGGGTAACTCATTCAAATATATCAGAGGCTGCCTTTTTTGCCTAAAATATTATCCATGCTCCTTCATCTACATGATGTATGAACCAAATGTGTTTTTTTTTGGGTATTTTCTCAACTGCAGGTCACAAATTTCTTGTGAGGGTGCACAAATTCTTCAATGTGACATGCATAAATGTGCTTTGTCCTACTCCTACATATAATCTCTATGAATTTGTCCTTTACAAAATTACCCTTATTAAATAACTATACCATTTATAGAATCTTCTATGTGTTGATGGCTTATGAACCAAAAAATTTAAAATAAAACCCAAAAGAAAACTATTGAAAATTCAGAAGGCTAACTTCGTAATAATATGTCAAATTTGTGGGTAGTTCTGGGAGTGGAAAAATATTAGGGCTAAAAGACGGCATCAAAACCCAACATATGTGGAGAATATTCAGGTTAAGGTTAACCTAGTAAACTGGTTAAAGTCAACAATTATTACAAGAAAACATAGGGTAGGCCAATAACAAGGAGCCACGTAGCTGTTAAGGGCCATCTCATATCGGAAGGAAAATAACCGGGCCACGCGCCTCCTTTAATTACATGAACAATTTCCTTTTTTTCAGTTAATTGCATAAATTCCTTTTTTCCATTTCCAGTTAATTACATGAATTTTTTTTCCTTATCAAGTAAATTACATGAAACCTGAAAACTATGACCATCCAAACAATAATTTACTTTAATTTAATTTAAACGACCGTCTAAATCAATTAAAAATGAAAGAACGCCAAGATTTTCTTTTTTTTGTTGTGTTTCACAAATCATATGGTATAAGAACTAAAAAAAAAAAAAAAAAAAAAAAAAAAAAAAAAAAATCGATCGAGATTACCGAACTTTTAGCTTTGACCATATTGTCTCCAACCTAAAATATTTTTGGGTCGTTTCTCAAATAAAGTTATATCAACAAAACTATATGAAAATTTAAAGTAGAAAATACAAAGAGAGATAAGTTTTAGAATATATAAATGAATATTATGATATTATTGACTCCATCCGTTGATAGACACACTCAAGGACAATTGTGATAATTTGTCGACACTTGATTGAGATTCTCAAGTTTTAAATGCCGAATTATGTTTATGCAACAAAATAGCTATGAATACTACTTATTAATAACTTCAGACCTCTATAAAGTCTCATTTAGTTCACCAAACAACAAAAAATAATTTCAGCAATTTAATTCACGGCTCACCACGATCTTATATAGGCAAAATCTTAAGTCCACCACTGACTCCAAATTGAAGAATATATATGAGGAGTAGGAAGACAATAGAACGAAATTAAAGAAAAAAAACTGGTGCGCGTGAGTATGTGAGCGTGGGTTGAAATTGCAATCTTAACTCTTAAGGCCCAAAAAAAACGAAAAAACTCGTGAGCACGTTGCGAGTCTTAGGACGTGCAGAACGAAAAATGTCATCATCTAATGGGGACAACAAATAACGGTGGCGATCTGAGGAGCCTAGCTGCGGTGCAATCAGAACCGTTGGGCTACAATAGTGTTCGAGAAAGTGGACGATAAAGACCGCCTTGACATACGGAATCAATTGGAAGATTGCAAATTGCAATAATTTGCTTTTTTTTCTTTTAATTTTGTCCTTTTTTTGAAATGGGGGCAAACTAATTCACTATTTTTTTTTTTAATATAAACAAATTCACCATTTTTCTTGAAAGAAGAAACAAAATCGTTCTCAAATTATTTTTAAAAAGATTGTCCTTTTAACACAAGAAAATTATCGATTTTGTTTTCTCTTTTCAAACGAGTATGAATAAGAGGAATATAATGTATCCAGATATGAACTTAGCGAAATTGACAAGAACGGATGTGCTTCTCACTCGGCTCCCTGTAGTATAGATTAGATTAAAGTAGAATATTGTTTTTGACCCAAAAAACAAGCCTAAAACGTCCAATAAAAAAATTAGAATGGAATAAGAAAGGTAATAACGTAACGTCTCTTGATAGTATAATGATTTGATATCTTTTGAAGCAAACCTTTTCAACATTTTCACTTCAATATAAAGTAATAATCTAATCTTCTAAAAAACAAATAATACAAAATAGTAATGCTTGAACATTTTTATATTCCAAACCGTGTAAGGTTAACGAACATGACAGCACGACAAATAGGCAAATGAACAACTAAAGCCGATTATTAAAAATAATAAAGGTATACTTAGTTGATTAATCTGGTATTAAATATAAAAATATAAAACTTGGAGATGGAGAAAAGTGAATCCTATAAACATGAAAGCATGGTTGCAATAAAATTTGAGTAGGAAGGAACAAAGCATTTCAACTTTTCCCTGCTGAAATCACTTGGCGTGTAGAATGGAGATGTTGAATGGTTCAATCTCATCCTATCTCAGCAACATTCACTCTATCTAGCAATAGCATTCTATAAAAAGAAGAAGAAACAACATATGGTTAGTTGACACTGCAAAAATTATAAATAAAAAACGGGAACGTTCGGGATCAAATTTATTAAATTTCTCATGTGAGTTGATAAAAGAAAAATTTGACTGAAAAATAAAGCTTAAAACTATTAATGAAAAAATTAGGAGCAAGTTTAAGCTCGACCATTTTCGAGGATATTAGGGGTAAAACAAAAGAAAACTTATTAACAGGACTAACTCTAAATATCCTACCCATGCCATTTGGTACAGAAGTGAACATGACTAGTTGGCTGCGTTATAACTTGGCAGATAAGACTCCAAAATCAGTTGTGCTGGGGAAGGTGCTTGTATCTGAACAATCAAATATGTGTACTTCCATTGCTTGTCTGCTTGGTCATTGAACATCTCGGCAAATACTTTCCCAGCTCCGTGAGGCCCTCGTATATAAAAATTAACCTACAATCAATTGATCATACAAGCAGTAAGTTAACATTTCTACTCTAAATTATGAGAGATCATTTACATTAATAACAAAATTCAAAATGAGGAAGTGGGAATTGATTTGTATTGCAAATAACATTGGTTAAGTTGCTTCAAATAACAAACAAAAAGGACAATGGGAAATCACCTCTACGTGCTCAACCCCTTCTTCATCATGCCATATTCTGTTGGGAATGCGTTGGCGAGCAGCACGGTTTCTACTTTCTTGACCATACCCTGTAATAGGGTATCCGACCCTCATCCTAACCTGATAAAGAAAAGATCAAAGTAATTTGAGCCACAACATTGCCAGCTCAATATTCACATGCATACAAACAAAGAGGATTATGTGTAATATTGATTGGAATTCAATTCAGACTGCCTACAGATATTGGTCGATCATGGTCCATAAATTCCATGAACTGCATACAAAGTTGAAATGAATTCCTCACCCAGGAATAATTATATCAGCATAACCCGCTGTCCAGCATGAAGTTGTAGTTACTACATGCAATTGTAGCTAGCACATCTAAGGCTTGAGGTGTGAGGTGTTCATACATGTACTTTATGCATTGATAGGTACTATGTAGGGTTTTCCTCTTTGGAAAGTGTTCATTTAACCCAAACTTTTTTTATCTAATTGGCAGTAAATTATTATATTCACTATGTATTAGACTTTGCTTAGAGACTAAAGGTTTCTGCCTACCCACATCACGTAAAACTAATGCCAGTGTTGGCCATAAGAAAAGTGCCACTGCTATTACAAATTTAAAATCTTTTCAAGGTCCATGGCCATTACACAGATGAATAAGTCCCAACCCCTTTTAGGAAACCATGGGTCCAGAATTAAGAGAAATTATTTACCCTGTTTCTTTTAGAGGAAAAAATAATGATAAACTAACCTGTGCATCATCTTGAACCCTTTTAAGAGCCTTGTTAAAGATCTTGTACCTGCCAAAGACAATGTTGTCATTTTAGAGTATAATTGAAGAACTCAAAAATTCAATTTACAACCTTATAAGATATTTTAACCATAAAAAATAAAGTAAGGTTTGTTGTCTCCTCACTCTTTCGGTTCAAAAATAAGCTCCTTAAAGACAGCATATCCTGCGGCAGCAGCAATTCCAAGCCCTGCAAGAATAACTACACTGTAGGAAGCTCCCTCTACAAATGTCACAGGCTTTTCTGGGATGTTGTATGTAGGAGCATCAAAAGGATCCTCTACAGTAGATAAGTCTTTCTTATTCTGGAAAAGTAAATAGTTGAAGAATCAAGATACCAATAAGTATGAAAGTTGAGTTCACAAAAAGTATCGTGAGAAAATCAAATTTAGAAAATTAGAATGCACATGGTTAAACTACCCAGCCACAAACATCCAAACAGAATGCACATGTAAAGTTTAGAAAATCAGTTCAGAAGCAAACCTCAGATGGACTTTGTCGTGGTTGCCGTGAAGCTTTTGATGAAATGGATCTACAAAATTGAGGAATGCTGGAACTTGCTATATAGTTTCTTGTGGGTTGAAATTGTGGCCAAGAAGTAGACATTAACTCTCTAGCGCACTTCCTTCCATATAGAACAGGAATTCCTGCAAAGCATGATTGCATAGAAATTATGTGAAAAAGAATAAACCACTAGAAAATGCAAAACTATAAGAACTTTCCCTACTTCACACCAGTAGATCAGTACACCTCACTGATTTTCAAGAGCCAATACAAACTTTCAGCGCCCAAATGTTTTCCGGTGTTTATCCATTAACTATTTAGATGCTCTAACCAAAAGAAGATAGTTGTAATACTTAAGCCAAATAAACCATATCTATTATATGAATTTGCGAAGCAGTCACTAACCATCAGCTCCAGCTACGCCCTGCAGAATTCAGAGGAAAAAAAAAATCAGCTTGCAATGTGCTAAGAGAAACAGAATGATAAAAACCAATATCACACAATTACCTCACCCTAGTCAAATGGTTTGCGGGAGCAATAGATTGACTTGCACATCCTGATTTCAGTACTGCCAGCAACTGCACCATTATCAGATAGCAACTTAGTTTAAATAAAATAGAAGCCTCTGAAACGTAGAAATTCTAGCCAAAGCAAAACATAAACCTGATCTGGCTTGGCCTCCTCTGTGTGGAAAGCTCTGTACCCCCACAATCTCATCTTGGGCAAAACCCTAATAACATCTGTTTGCTTTTTTCTCCATAACTCCAAAGCACACTTGTATGACCCTAAAAACCAAAAGTGTTGCCGACGCAAAGTCAAATAAACCCTTTGAAAAATGATACTGAAGAAAAGAAAAAAACTTGTTTTCTTGTTTGGTTTCCGAGAAAATGCACGAAAGTAATCGGAAACGTATGCATACCCATCGTAGTTCAAGTAAGGTTCGGAGGGTGTGGTGGTTCAGTCCGTGGTGTCGAAGGTTGATGCCCTAGCTTTGTTCAGTTTGTTGGTCTCCTCAATCGTCTAAAACCCTCAACCGGGAGCTAAGGGGGATTGGTTTCGGACTATGAAAACGGGTCGGGTTAATCCGACTTTGAAACCCAAGCAAGTTAAGTGGGCTAGAATTGAGTTGGTGGACTCAATATATTTTCGATGGGCCTCAATGCTTGGGATTCTATTGATTTTCTTTTATTTATTTATTTAAGAAATAGCTTGCTAACATGTTGATTTTAAAAAGAGTAATGAGGGACTAATCTGTCGAGGGTACTCCAACACTTCGACTCTAGAATATGGACTTTTGTTTATGAGGATTTCAATGTCAAGAAGATTATGAAGGCAGTCATTGAGTGTGCAACAGAGGATGAATGCAAGTTGTCGGAGATTGAACTACTTCAGTCTCGGCTTTCGAAATTGCTACAGAAGAAAAGATGTTTGATTGTGTTAGATGATGTTTGGACGGAAGACCAGGATGATTGGGACAAACTAAGACCTTTGTTTAGAGGGGGTCTTGATGGATGCAAAATCATTGTCACCACCCGCAGTCAAAAAATTCCATTCATGATGGACTTCCCAAAGTCACCATTTTATTTAAATGGTTTGAAGGATGATGATTGCTGGTCTTTGTTCAAGCATCGGGCATTTGGATGCGGAGAAGAAGAGAAGTATCCAAATCTTACACGGATTGGAAAGGAGATTATCAAAAAAGTTGGAGGTGTGCCGTTAGTTGCAAAAAGTTTGGGAAGCTCAGTGCGCTTGAAAAGAGAAGAAAAACAGTGGTTATTTATGCGAGATTGTGGACTCTGGGAATTTAGATGAAAGCCAACATAAAGTTTTCCCTGCCCTGATGTTGAGTCTACCACAACATCTTAGACAATGCTTTGCATTCTTCTCATTATTTCCCAAAAATTATGAGTTCAAGAAGCAGAATGTAAGATCCCGACCCAAATTTAAAGGATTCAATACTTTAATTAATTTAATAAATTTTGGAATTACAATTTCGTGCTCGGGATGTATGGTCATTTTGGTCACTTTTTGATCCGGAAAGATTTTGAAGAAATGAGTGGCACCATTGCGTAGAGCTCGTTGATACGAGTTCGTAGACATGTGGCACGCCTAATTCCGAGTTGTAACGAATGTGGAAAAGTCTGAAAACGAAAAGGACGCAAAGGTAATTTTAAAATTTGTGTACTGTAGCAAACAGTACCGTACTACAGTACCGGCAGTTTTAAATTGGGAGTTTCACTAAAACACCCAAAATGGAGGCTGAAATTATAAAAAAACCCAACATCCAAAACACTTTATAAACACACCCAAAACTCATCATTACACACACTCAAAACCCATTTATAAATACACCTAAAAAATATACAATTGTTGATTTTGGGTGTGTTTCTATGTTTAAATAGTGCTTGAGTTTTTTTATAAATACATGTTTAGAATTGAGTTTATTTATAAATTTGTATTTTAAATTTTCTTTTTCTTCTTCTTCCTCCCTCTCCTTTCGCAAGAAACAGCCCCCCTTACTATTCACCCGCCCGCACTTTGGGCCACCACAGCCACGTCCGCCCACCAAATCCGGCGAGACCGGTACCAAAACGTCAAGCTCGACTTCCTCTACCAGCCCCACCCCATCTCAGCCACTGGAACCACCTTTTTCGCTGGGAAAATCGAGAAATCCGATCGGTTTTGACCCACTTTTCTCAACGCTCGTTAGGGTGATTCCGGGAACCAAATCCTTCGAATTTGGTATGTTTTCTCACCCTCTCAATGTGTTATAGCTGTTGGTTGTAATTTATACGAGAAATTTCTGCGTTTTAGGGCTTAAATAAGCGATAAGAGTTTGGCCGGTTTTCGGCCTCCGATTCCGGCCATTTCTGGGGTAGGTCCAAGAACAAAAGTTGCTCCACCACAGATGCTGATCATGTAGGTGCTAATCATCCAAAAACTCTATATGAAGCAAAACATTTGCGAACTCACTTATTGATCAGAGATTCTAGCAGGTTAGAGAACGGAGATAAAATTTGTTCAAGTTTTGAATACTTGTGTGTGCTAGATCTCAACCACTGTGATCTTGTTGATCTGCCGAATTCCTTGGGTGACTTGATATTTTGAGGTATCTTGATTTGTCTTACACACCTATCACCCAGTTACCTATAAGCATACAATATCTGTCTTTTTTGCATACTTTAAACTTAATTTGTTGTCATAATCTTGTGACTTTGCCACGTTTGGAAAACTTCAGCTTAAGACATCTTAACTTAAATGGATCTGTAAGTTTGACATTTATGCATTATGGTATTAAGCGCTTCCGTCAACTTCAGACTTTGCCACTTTTTGTCGCGTCGCACAAGGTAGATCAACTACGGAACTACAGCGCGAATCTCCATGAGCTCTTCAATTTAAATCTTTATGGGGAGTTGCGAAAGCGCTTAATACCATAATGCATAAATGTCAAACTTACAAATCCACTTAAGTTAAGATGTCTTAGGTTGAAGTTTTCCAAACGTGGCAAAGTCTCAGGATTATGACAACAAATTAGGTTTAAGGTATGCAAAAAAAACAGATATTGTATGCTTATAGGTAACTGGGTGATAGGTGTATAAGACAAGTCAAGATACCTCAAACATATCAAGTCACCCAAGGAATTTGGCAGATCAACAAGATCACAGTGGTTGAGATCTAGCTCACGCAAGTATTCAAAACTTGAATAAATTTTATCTCCGTTCTCTAACCTGACGGAATCTCCGATCAATAAGAGAGTTCGCAAATGTTTTGTTTCATATAGAGTTTCTGGAATTGTAATTCTTGCATGCGAATCTCCATGAGTTGTTCAATTTAAATCTTTACGGGGAGTTGAATATTTCTAGCTTGGATAATATTGAAGATACCACGCATATTGGTCAGGAAGGAAAAGTCATTGGGATTATACTGGAGTTTTATTCCGGGATTTAAAGATTCATTTGCCAAACCACCTAATGCCACAGTTGAAGTAGGTGTCTCAAGATCACATATAGCGTTGCAAGCTGAAAAACTTATTGAATACCTGCAACCACATAAAAATATGAAAAATTTAGTTATAAATGGGTACCCAAGAACCAAATTTCCCGACTGGGCTCTCCCAAATCTTGTCTCCACTGATTTCACCAACTGTAGAATAAGTGAATATCTTCCAGCCCTTGGGAATCTTCTGCTACTTAAGACAATTTCTCTGCATGGAATGGATGGGGTGAAGAAAATTGGTAGAGAGTTTTATGGTGACGGTGCAAACATATGGTTTCCATCACTCGAATAACTATCAATAAGTGATTTTGCAAACTTAGAAGAGTGGTCAAGTGCAAATGATGGAAATGCATTCCCTAGATTGAAGAAATTAACTGTAAAGAGTTGCTCCAATTTAGCATGTATACCGTTACCTCAGTCCCTTCAACATTTGGAGCTGCGAGATTGTAATCCTATGATGGTGCCCATGGCAGATTTAAGTTTGCTATATGTTCTTATTCTTGACAATATTCGAGACCTAGTGTCTCTCCCGGAAGGGCTTTTTGCATCAGCTAGTCTGTCTTCCTTGAAGATTTTGTCTTGCCCCAAGCTTCATTCAATGCCTTTGCATATGCAAAACCTGAGTTCTTTGAAATCATTGACCATTCGTTGGTGTGAAGAGCTATCCTCTCTGCGACAAAGTTTGCAGAACCTTACAGCTCTGGAGTCACTGGAGATTAGTGACTGTCACAGCCTAACATCCCTGCCAAATTGTGGAAATGCAGGTTTGGTTTCGCTTCGAACTTTGTCCATTGAAAACTGCAGTGAACTAACTTCTCTGTCGTCGAGTTTGGAACAGCTCACATTGCTTGAGCACTTGACCATCATGTGATGTCCAAAGCTTGGTTCCTTTCTAGCCGGTGTGCAACACCTCTCCTCCCTTCGAAGATTGATCGTTCTAGACTGTCCTTGTTTTGATTCTCTGACAGAAGGATTGGAAAATGTAATGACCCTGCACTGCTTGGAAATGAGTAGCTGCCCCAATCTAACAGCTTTGCCAGAATGGTTTGAGGATATTGATTCTCTTAGATCTGTGACCATACATGATTGTCCTAATTTAAAAATGTTGCCATTGGGTTTCAAGCTTCTCACTAAACTCCAGCATCTGTCTATTCAAGAATGTCCTGAGCTTGAGGAAAGATGTAGATGCGGTAGTGGTGAGGATTGGTCGAAAATAGCCCATGTCCCGCATAAGTACATTGAATCGTCTCAGGTCAGGCAGTTTGGCGAAGTGAGCACATCGAGAAGCTCTTTTGTCCAAGCGTTTTCTCGGTAAGAAACTTCTATTTTATTGTCATCAACAAGCTATTATCATTATGGTAAGTCATTCATCTTGGTGTTGTGGTATGCTTTTTTATTTTCTGTTTATAGGGGATTTATGTATTTCTATGTACAAGGCTGTTTTGAGAATCCTCTGATTTTGTATTGTATGGATATCATATTAATTAAATTCTTGTGTTTTCGTCTGAGAATAAAAAGCAACACTCCATATAGATGTTGTTGATTGATACTTTTGTTTCAAAATGAGAACATTGTAGATATATGACTTTCAATATTAAAAAAGCATAAAAAAGCAACTTTGTATAATTAGTTCAAAAGTGTTACTTGTCTCCGTAAGTTGATGAAAGGAATTTTCTTTTGTGGTTTTGCTGTTGCAGGGCCGCAGGGGTTGGATGTTTAGGGGAGGGAGATAGTGGCCATACGGGAAGGTTTATTGATGATAGGCTTTTTGGGTTTTAATCGTTTTATACTTGCAACTGCCTCCCAAGAAGTTGTTTCAATGCTTAATGGCAGAATGGGTTTGTGGAGCAACATTAGCAATGTGATGGAAGATACTAGATGGTTGGTGGTCGACATGTATGTGACGGATGTTCTGTATCAACCTCGAAAGGGCAGCGGTGTGGCACATGCTCTTACTCAATTTGGCTTGAAGAAGGCTCCAGTTTCGTTTGAATGGCACCTTGGTTAGACTCTCTTCTAGGGAAAGATAGGGATGCTCGGTAGGGTGTTTTTTCTGTATTTTTGTGGAGGTGTTGTGGTACTTTTTTTTCTTGTCCAGATTTTCCTCCTTGTGGGGATTTTTTCTCCTTCATCGCAATTCAAGTCATTGTTGTTTAGCTTCATATAAACCAAAATTCAATGTTTTTGACAATATGGAAATCGGCAAGACCTAGTCACAGTAGGATGATTAGGTTCAAAGGCCTACAACTTCTCTGCCCAGCATGAATTGTAAAGAGAAAATGAGTTCAAATCCAAATTTTTGCCCTTCCAATAATCTCCACTTCAGATGTTGCCATTGGGTTTCAAGCTTCTCACTAAACTCCAGCACCTGTCTATTCAAGAATGTCCTGAGCTTGAGGAAAGATGTAGATGCGATAGTGGTGAGGATTGGTCGAAAATAGCCAATGTCCCGCATAAGTACATCGGATCGCCTCAGGTCAGGCAGTCTGGCAAAGTGAGCACATCGGGAAGCTCTTCTGTCCAAGCGTTTTCTTGGTAAGAAACTTCTATTTCATTGTCATCAACAAGCTATTATCATTATGGTAAGTCATTCCTCTTGGTGTTGTGTGCTTTTTATTTTCTGTTTATAGGGGATTTATGTATTTCTATGTACAAGGCTGTTTTGAGAATCCTCTAATTTTGTATTGTATGGATATCATATTAATTAAATTCCTGTGTTTTCGTCTGAGAATAAAAAGCAACACTCCGTATAGATGTTGTTGATTGATATATTTGTTTCAAAATGAGAACATTATAGATATATGACTTTCAATATTAAAAAAGCATAAAAAAGCAACCTTGTATAATTAGTTCAAAAGTGTTACTTGTCTCCGTAAGTTGATGAAAGGAATTTTCTTTTGTGGTTTTGCTGTTGCAGGGCCGCAGGAGTTGGATGTTTAGGGGAGGGAGATAGTGGCCATACGGGAAGGTTTATTGATGATAGGCTTTTTGGGTTTTATCGTTTTATACATGCAACTACCTCCCAAGAAGTTGTTTCAATGCTGAATGGCAGAATGGGTTGGTGGAGCAACATTGGAAATGTGGTGGAAGATATTAGATGGTTGGTGGTCGACATGTATGTGACGGATGTTCTGTATCAACCTCGAAAGGGCAGCGGTGTGGCACATGCTCTTACTCAATTTGGCTTGAAGAAGGCTCCAGTTTCGTTTGAATGGAACCTTGGTTAGACTCTCTTCTAAGGAAAGATAGGGATGCGCGGTAGGGTGTTTTTTCTGTATTTTTTGTGGAGGTGTTGTGGTACTTTTTTTTCTTGTCCAGATTTTCCTCCTTGTGGGGATTTTCTCTCCTTCATCGCAATTCAAGTCATTGTTGTTTAGCTTCATATAAACCAAAATTCAATGTTTTGACAATATGGAAACCGGCAAGACCTAGTCACAGTAGGATGATTAGGTTCAAAGTCCTACAACTTCTCTGCCCAGCATGAATTGTAAAGAGAAAAGGAGTTCAAATCCAAATTTTTGCCCTTCCAATAATCTCCACTTCAGATGTTGTCATTGGGTTTCAAGCTTCTCAATAAACTCCAACACCTGTCTATTCAAGAATGTCCTGAGCTTGAGGAAAGATGTAGATGCGGTAGTGGTGAGGATTGGTCAAAAATAGCCCATGTCCCGCATGAGTACATTGAATCGCCTCAGGTCAGGCAGTCTAGCGAAGTGAGCACATCGGGAAGCTCTTCTGTCCAAGCATTTTCTCTATAAGAAACTTCTATTTCATTGTCATCAACAAGCTATTATCATTATGGTAAGTCATTCATCTTGGTGTTGTGGTGTGCTTTTTTATTTTCTGTTTATAGGGGATTTATGTATTTCTATGTACAAGGCTGTTTTGAGAATCCTCTGATTTTGTATTGTATGGATATCATATTAATTAAATTCTTGTGTTTTCGTCTGAGAATAAAAAGCAACACTCTGTATAGATGTTGTTGATTAATACTTTTGTTTCAAAATGAGAACATTGTAGATATATGACTTTCAATATTAAAAAAGCATAAAAAGCAACCTTGTATAATTAGTTCAAAAGTGTTACTTGTCTCCGTAAGTTGATGAAAGGAATTTTCTTTTGTGGTTTTGCTGTTGCAGAGCCTCAGGGGTTGGATGTTTAGGGGAGAGAGATAGTGGCCATACGGGAAGGTTTATTGATGATAGGCTTTTTGGGTTTTAATCGTTTTATACTTGCAACTGCCTCCCAAGAAGTTGTTTCAATGCTTAATGGCAGAATGGGTTGGTGGAGCAACATTAGCAATGTGATGGAAGATACTAGATGGTTGGTGGTCGACATGTATGTGACGGATGTTCTGTATCAACCTCGAAAGGGCAGCGGTGTGGCACATGCTCTTACTCAATTTGGCTTGAAGAAGGCTCCAGTTTCGTTTGAATGGCACCTTGGTTAGACTCTCTTCTAGGGAAAGATAGGGATGCTCGGTAGGGTGTTTTTTCTGTATTTTTTGTGGAGGTGTTGTGGTACTTTTTTTTCTTGTCCAGATTTTCCTCCTTGTGGGGATTTTTTCTTCTTCATCGCAATTCAAGTCATTGTTGTTTAGCTTCATATAAACCAAATTCAATGTTTTTGACAATATGGAAATCGGCAAGACCTAGTCACAGTAGGATGATTAGGTTCAAAGGCCTACAACTTCTCTGCCCAGCATGAATTGTAAAGAGAAAATGAGTTCAAATCCAAATTTTTGCCCTTCCAATAATCTCCACTTCAGATGTTGCCATTGGGTTTCAAGCTTCTCACTAAACTCCAGCACCTGTCTATTCAAGAATGTCCTGAGCTTGAGGAAAGATGTAGATGCGATAGTGGTGAGGATTGGTCGAAAATAGCCAATGTCCCGCATAAGTACATCGGATCGCCTCAGGTCAGGCAGTCTGGCAAAGTGAGCACATCGGGAAGCTCTTCTGTCCAAGCGTTTTCTTGGTAAGAAACTTCTATTTCATTGTCATCAACAAGCTATTATCATTATGGTAAGTCATTCCTCTTGGTGTTGTGTGCTTTTTTATTTTCTGTTTATAGGGGATTTATGTATTTCTATGTACAAGGCTGTTTTGAGAATCCTCTAATTTTGTATTGTATGGATATCATATTAATTAAATTCCTGTGTTTTCGTCTGAGAATAAAAAGCAACACTCCGTATAGATGTTGTTGATTGATATATTTGTTTCAAAATGAGAACATTATAGATATATGACTTTCAATATTAAAAAAGCATAAAAAAGCAACCTTGTATAATTAGTTCAAAAGTGTTACTTGTCTCCGTAAGTTGATGAAAGGAATTTTCTTTTGTGGTTTTGCTGTTGCAGGGCCGCAGGAGTTGGATGTTTAGGGGAGGGAGATAGTGGCCATACGGGAAGGTTTATTGATGATAGGCTTTTTGGGTTTTATCGTTTTATACATGCAACTACCTCCCAAGAAGTTGTTTCAATGCTGAATGGCAGAATGGGTTGGTGGAGCAACATTGGAAATGTGGTGGAAGATATTAGATGGTTGGTGGTCGACATGTATGTGACGGATGTTCTGTATCAACCTCGAAAGGGCAGCGGTGTGGCACATGCTCTTACTCAATTTGGCTTGAAGAAGGCTCCAGTTTCGTTTGAATGGAACCTTGGTTAGACTCTCTTCTAAGGAAAGATAGGGATGCGCGGTAGGGTGTTTTTTCTGTATTTTTTGTGGAGGTGTTGTGGTACTTTTTTTCTTGTCCAGATTTTCCTCCTTGTGGGGATTTTCTCTCCTTCATCGCAATTCAAGTCATTGTTGTTTAGCTTCATATAAACCAAAATTCAATGTTTTTGACAATATGGAAACCGGCAAGACCTAGTCACAGTAGGATGATTAGGTTCAAAGTCCTACAACTTCTCTGCCCAGCATGAATTGTAAAGAGAAAAGGAGTTCAAATCCAAATTTTTGCCCTTCCAATAATCTCCACTTCAGATGTTGTCATTGGGTTTCAAGCTTCTCAATAAACTCCAACACCTGTCTATTCAAGAATGTCCTGAGCTTGAGGAAAGATGTAGATGCGGTAGTGGTGAGGATTGGTCAAAAATAGCCCATGTCCCGCATGAGTACATTGAATCGCCTCAGGTCAGGCAGTCTAGCGAAGTGAGCACATCGGGAAGCTCTTCTGTCCAAGCATTTTCTCTATAAGAAACTTCTATTTCATTGTCATCAACAAGCTATTATCATTATGGTAAGTCATTCATCTTGGTGTTGTGGTGTGCTTTTTTATTTTCTGTTTATAGGGGATTTATGTATTTCTATGTACAAGGCTGTTTTGAGAATCCTCTGATTTTGTATTGTATGGATATCATATTAATTAAATTCTTGTGTTTTCGTCTGAGAATAAAAAGCAACACTCTGTATAGATGTTGTTGATTAATACTTTTGTTTCAAAATGAGAACATTGTAGATATATGACTTTCAATATTAAAAAAGCATAAAAAGCAACCTTGTATAATTAGTTCAAAAGTGTTACTTGTCTCCGTAAGTTGATGAAAGGAATTTTCTTTTGTGGTTTTGCTGTTGCAGAGCCTCAGGGGTTGGATGTTTAGGGGAGAGAGATAGTGGCCATACGGGAAGGTTTATTGATGATAGGCTTTTTGGGTTTTAATCGTTTTATACTTGCAACTGCCTCCCAAGAAGTTGTTTCAATGCTTAATGGCAGAATGGGTTGGTGGAGCAACATTAGCAATGTGATGGAAGATACTAGATGGTTGGTGGTCGACATGTATGTGACGGATGTTCTGTATCAACCTCGAAAGGGCAGCGGTGTGGCACATGCTCTTACTCAATTTGGCTTGAAGAAGGCTCCAGTTTCGTTTGAATGGCACCTTGGTTAGACTCTCTTCTAGGGAAAGATAGGGATGCTCGGTAGGGTGTTTTTTCTGTATTTTTTGTGGAGGTGTTGTGGTACTTTTTTTTCTTGTCCAGATTTTCCTCCTTGTGGGGATTTTTTCTTCTTCATCGCAATTCAAGTCATTGTTGTTTAGCTTCATATAAACCAAAATTCAATGTTTTTGACAATATGGAAATCGGCAAGACCTAGTCACAGTAGGATGATTAGGTTCAAAGGCCTACAACTTCTCTGCCCAGCATGAATTGTAAAGAGAAAATGAGTTCAAATCCAAATTTTTGCCCTTCCAATAATCTCCACTTCAGATGTTGCCATTGGGTTTCAAGCTTCTCACTAAACTCCAGCACCTGTCTATTCAAGAATGTCCTGAGCTTGAGGAAAGATGTAGATGCGATAGTGGTGAGGATTGGTCGAAAATAGCCAATGTCCCGCATAAGTACATCGGATCGCCTCAGGTCAGGCAGTCTGGCAAAGTGAGCACATCGGGAAGCTCTTCTGTCCAAGCGTTTTCTTGGTAAGAAACTTCTATTTCATTGTCATCAACAAGCTATTATCATTATGGTAAGTCATTCCTCTTGGTGTTGTGTGCTTTTTATTTTCTGTTTATAGGGGATTTATGTATTTCTATGTACAAGGCTGTTTTGAGAATCCTCTAATTTTGTATTGTATGGATATCATATTAATTAAATTCCTGTGTTTTCGTCTGAGAATAAAAAGCAACACTCCGTATAGATGTTGTTGATTGATATATTTGTTTCAAAATGAGAACATTATAGATATATGACTTTCAATATTAAAAAAGCATAAAAAAGCAACCTTGTATAATTAGTTCAAAAGTGTTACTTGTCTCCGTAAGTTGATGAAAGGAATTTTCTTTTGTGGTTTTGCTGTTGCAGGGCCGCAGGAGTTGGATGTTTAGGGGAGGGAGATAGTGGCCATACGGGAAGGTTTATTGATGATAGGCTTTTTGGGTTTTATCGTTTTATACATGCAACTACCTCCCAAGAAGTTGTTTCAATGCTGAATGGCAGAATGGGTTGGTGGAGCAACATTGGAAATGTGGTGGAAGATATTAGATGGTTGGTGGTCGACATGTATGTGACGGATGTTCTGTATCAACCTCGAAAGGGCAGCGGTGTGGCACATGCTCTTACTCAATTTGGCTTGAAGAAGGCTCCAGTTTCGTTTGAATGGAACCTTGGTTAGACTCTCTTCTAAGGAAAGATAGGGATGCGCGGTAGGGTGTTTTTTTCTGTATTTTTTGTGGAGGTGTTGTGGTACTTTTTTTTCTTGTCCAGATTTTCCTCCTTGTGGGGATTTTCTCTCCTTCATCGCAATTCAAGTCATTGTTGTTTAGCTTCATATAAACCAAAATTCAATGTTTTTGACAATATGGAAACCGGCAAGACCTAGTCACAGTAGGATGATTAGGTTCAAAGTCCTACAACTTCTCTGCCCAGCATGAATTGTAAAGAGAAAAGGAGTTCAAATCCAAATTTTTGCCCTTCCAATAATCTCCACTTCAGATGTTGTCATTGGGTTTCAAGCTTCTCAATAAACTCCAACACCTGTCTATTCAAGAATGTCCTGAGCTTGAGGAAAGATGTAGATGCGGTAGTGGTGAGGATTGGTCAAAAATAGCCCATGTCCCGCATGAGTACATTGAATCGCCTCAGGTCAGGCAGTCTAGCGAAGTGAGCACATCGGGAAGCTCTTCTGTCCAAGCATTTTCTCTATAAGAAACTTCTATTTCATTGTCATCAACAAGCTATTATCATTATGGTAAGTCATTCATCTTGGTGTTGTGGTGTGCTTTTTTATTTTCTGTTTATAGGGGATTTATGTATTTCTATGTACAAGGCTGTTTTGAGAATCCTCTGATTTTGTATTGTATGGATATCATATTAATTAAATTCTTGTGTTTTCGTCTGAGAATAAAAAGCAACACTCTGTATAGATGTTGTTGATTAATACTTTTGTTTCAAAATGAGAACATTGTAGATATATGACTTTCAATATTAAAAAAGCATAAAAAGCAACCTTGTATAATTAGTTCAAAAGTGTTACTTGTCTCCGTAAGTTGATGAAAGGAATTTTCTTTTGTGGTTTTGCTGTTGCAGAGCCTCAGGGGTTGGATGTTTAGGGGAGAGAGATAGTGGCCATACGGGAAGGTTTATTGATGATAGGCTTTTTGGGTTTTAATCGTTTTATACTTGCAACTGCCTCCCAAGAAGTTGTTTCAATGCTTAATGGCAGAATGGGTTGGTGGAGCAACATTAGCAATGTGATGGAAGATACTAGATGGTTGGTGGTCGACATGTATGTGACGGATGTTCTGTATCAACCTCGAAAGGGCAGCGGTGTGGCACATGCTCTTACTCAATTTGGCTTGAAGAAGGCTCCAGTTTCGTTTGAATGGCACCTTGGTTAGACTCTCTTCTAGGGAAAGATAGGGATGCTCGGTAGGGTGTTTTTTCTGTATTTTTTGTGGAGGTGTTGTGGTACTTTTTTTTCTTGTCCAGATTTTCCTCCTTGTGGGGATTTTTTCTTCTTCATCGCAATTCAAGTCATTGTTGTTTAGCTTCATATAAACCAAAATTCAATGTTTTTGACAATATGGAAATCGGCAAGACCTAGTCACAGTAGGATGATTAGGTTCAAAGTCCTACAACTTCTCTGCCCAGCATGAATTGTAAAGAGAAAATGAGTTCAAATCCAAATTTTTGCCCTTCCAATAATCTCCACTTCAGATGTTGCCATTGGGTTTCAAGCTTCTCACTAAACTCTAACACCTGTCTATTCAAGAATGTCCTGAGCTTGAGGAAAGATGTAGATGCGATAGTGGTGAGGATTGGTCGAAAATAGCCCATGTCCCGCATAAGTACATTAGATCGCCTCAGGTCAAGCAGTCTGGCGAAGTGAGCACATCGGGAAGCTCTTCTGTCCAAGCGTTTTCTTGGTAAGAAACTTCTATTTCATTGTCATCAACAAGCTATTATCATTATGGTAAGTCATTCCTCTTGGTGTTGTGTGCTTTTTTATTTTCTATTTATAGGGGATTTATGTATTTCTATGTACAAGGCTGTTTTGAGAATCCTCTAATTTTGTATTGTATGGATATCATATTAATTAAATTCTTGTGTTTTCGTCTGAGAATAAAAAGCAACACTCCGTATAGATGTTGTTGATTGATACTTTTGTTTCGAAATGAGAACATTGTAGATATATGACTTTCAATATTAAAAAAGCATATAAAAGCAACCTTGTATAATTAGTTCAAAAGTGTTACTTGTCTCCGTAAGTTGATGAAATGAATTTTCTTTTGTGGTTTTGCTGTTGCAGGGCCGCAGGGGTTGGATGTTTAGGGGAGGGAGATAGTGGCCATACGGGAAGGTTTATTAATGATAGGCTTTTTGGGTTTTAATCGTTTTATACTTGCAACTGCCTCCCAAGAAGTTGTTTCAATGCTTAATGGCAGAATGGGTTGGTGGAGCAACATTGGCAATGTGGTGGAAGATACTAGATGGTTGGTGGTCGACATGTATGTGACGGATGTTCTATATCAACCTCGAAAGGGCAGCGGTGTGGCACATGCTCTTACTCAATTTGGCTTGAAGAAGGCTCCAGTTTCGTTTGAATGGCACCTTGGTTGGACTCTCTTCTAAGGAAAGATGGGGATGCGCGGTAGGGTGTTTTTTCTGTATTTTTTGTGGAGGTGTTGTGGTACTTTTTTTTCTTGTCCAGATTTTCCTCCTTGTGGAGATTTTCTCTCCTTCCTCGCAATTCAAGTCATTGTTGTTTAGCTTCATATAAACCAAAATTCAATGTTTTTGACAATATGGAAACCGGCAAGACCTAGTCACAGTAGGATGATTAGGTTCAAAGGCCTACAACTTCTCTGCCCAACATGAATTGTAAAGAGAAAAGGAGTTCAAATCCAAATTTTTGCCATTCCAATAATCTCCACTTCATATGGTGGAAGTTCCCTCTGAACTTTCTCAATTGAGAGCTGCAGTGAGTTATCTGACTTCTTTGTCATTTGAGTGTGGCTTAATACAAGCCTTGGCACTGAACGTGAGAGTGGCCATGACCTCACTAGAATTTGAAAGTAAGTAGGTGGTACTCATGAATCGAGACCTTTTGAGTTAAAATCCTACAGGCAATGATCCATTGAGCCTTATCCCATCAAACTTGTGGTGTGTTTTTCTTTCTTAATTTATAGGGAATTTATAAGTTTCAAATTTCTGAATTCAAGCTCTCAATGGTGAATTAAGAATGAGCTGTGGTGCTTACCAATGTGACTACTCAGGAGAGAGGGTAGCAGCATATAACTCAATGAGTATTCGATTTTGTACTCTCCTAAAATACCGATTTGTACAAAAAAGAAAGTTCAAATTTTGAAAATTTTCAGTTTTGGAATAGGCTTTTGAGTTCCTTGGGCCATAATGTAATCATCAAATACAACAGATTTTGGGTTCCCTTTTTTAACGAATGAATGAAAGAGGGACCCAATAGTTGTGAAAAGAAAAGTAAGGGACAAAAGAGTAGGAACTAAATGCTAGTGAGAAAGTGGGGAAGAGTTAGACAAATTTTTTCAAAAAGATGAAGGTGCTTGGGTTTTTCCTAGTGACTGATGAAGGTGCTTGGGCCAAATTCTAAAATTATGACCCCATATGAACCCCAATAAACCATTACGGCAAAAAAAAAAACCATTCCTTTTGGGCTTAATAGAACATATTATATAATTTCTCTAACATTGAGGAATATAATTCACAATTCAAAGTTCTTATTTCACAAGCCCCAATTTAATTTAGAAATCCTAATTCGACAAGCCATAAATTCAATTTATTAGAACAACCCCAAATTCTACAAGAGAGATGCATCAAAGAAAAAAGAGAGATTCATGAAGAAGATGAGTGAAAATAAAAAATTAAAAAAAAGAGAGAAAAATAACGGGGAGAAAGAGAAAAAAGAGAAAATGTTCATTGTTTAAAGGAAAGTTTCAATCTACCAAAAAAACATGATGGAAAAAGTAAGTGAAGCGTAGTATAATGAAGATAGAGATAGAGTCTTTTTATTTATTTTGGCTGCAGAGATAGGATTTCAACATTTTTTTTTGGGGATAGGATAAACATATCTAGCACTTCCATGACACCTAAAAATATACACCCAACACAATACACGTGTCTTCACAATCACATAGTTCTTTTAAGTCTCAAAACAGGTGTCGAAGCAAACACTGTGTTGGACATCTCAACTCTACGTTCCTAAGATCAAGTTTCATCTCGAGCTTGCTGTGCCATTTGAACTATTCTATATTGGAATCCATGGCCATGACAACAAGATCACAGAAAGGGTTGCTAAAGTTGACTCACACTCATGCATTCATTAAAAAAAAATTAAAACTAAGCCCCAATCAATTGAAACTTGTCTTATTGTTCTTCTTGTCAATTGAACCAAAAGGTCAAAGATAAGCACAAGAAGAAGCTGAGTCACAACAACAGCAGCATAACACATTTCTCAGTTCAGCTGCCTAGAATGAGCTTGTTCATAGCATCCTTCGTCACCTTGGTTGGCAGCTGAAACCTGCACATCGGGCACAAGTGCTTCCCATTCAGCCACTTCAAAATGCAGTCTTCATGGAACTTGTGCTTGCAAGGCGTTTGGGTGACTTGTTCTCCCTCTGAAAATTCATCCAAACAGATAGAACACTCTCCATTGTTCTGGCTCTCTTTCGATTCCAAGCTCGCAATGGAAAACCGGGTTGCGGGGATGATGTGATTGTTACAACCCCAAATCGTTCTTCTTCTTTTTTTCTGCTCCCGCTCTTCTTCTTCCTGCCGCTCATGTATTCGAATGAGCCTGCTAATAGCCTCCATGAACTCTTCTTAGCTAGGCTGCAAAGCAAAAGCAGAGACAAAATATTTTTTTTAATAAATTAATTAATTACTTGGGAATTATAATTATTATTTGGAAATGATGTGAGGAACAAAAATGATTTTGGAAGCTGAAACCTTGGGGAGCAGCAAGAACTGCGCAGCTTTGTGTCGGGACAAAATTTGAGAGCTATGTTGCTTTGTGGCAGATTCTTCGTCTTAATATCGGACCAGTTAAATATTTAAATAACCCTAGGCCTAGTAGGTGTAATAGAAATCCAAGGGTTCAGATTTGATCTCAAGCAGAGTGTCAAGAACCTACCCACTAATGAAATTATTACCCTTGTTATTTTACCTACCTGGGAACAACCATATTTTACCTGGATAAAGGAACAATAATTGTACTGTACATCGTTTTGAAAACAAAGAAAAGAAAAGAAAAAAAAGAATATTAGTTGTATTTGGACTTGGAATATGCCTAGATTACCTTTTTATCTTATCTTTGTGAAAAAGACCCCCAACATGTGAAAAATGTTTCCCTTTTTACTTTTTTTCGTTGGCTGCACCCTCCATTTTTATTTATTTATAAATACTCAAAAATGTAAAAGTTGGTTAATTTTAAAAATCTTGAGGATACAATTTACAAAAGCCCACGCGTTGTAAGTGTTAGAACATAATTCTCATGCATGTTTACGTGCATTGTGAGTTGATATGTATATGTAATGATTGATAAGCAATTATATCTGTGTTGATCCACCTATGTAATGATTAATAGCCAACTAAGCCCGAGTGGCATACAAGAATGTTACAAAGTTGGTGTCATGTTCACAATTTCTTGTTTAGTTTAGTTCGGAGTTGGTTAAATCATGTTACCATTTTATGAAGAAGAAAAGGACTTTATTAGAGTTAATTACGTTAAATTGATGTTATTGGATGTACAAATGTCAATATTTTAGGTAGGGACAAGAAGGGTATATAGAAAATAGAGACGGCAGATTTGAAGTCCCACTTGAGACTAGAAATAAAATCTTTGAAAGCAAGTGCTAACTCGAAATGGAATCCAAACTTCTTTTTTTCTTTTGGTCGAATGGAATCCAAACTTATTCCTGCTTTTAGCACCCAAAACACATTGGTTGGGTTTCCAAAAAGTAGTTGTGCCATTGCAGGATGGATATGGATTCATAGACTTGCCACACTCACCTTTTTGGAAATCTATGTAGATATGATTGAGCAATTTGATCGTGGTTGTTTTGGATATTGGATTTGATTGTGTGCGGCATGGTTGATCAGGTGGACGCGTTTGAAACTAAAACTATTGATTATATAACTCCATGACTTGCATACAACGATCGATGCATCTCCCCATAGATTTGACGGGCAACTTCAACAAGATTTTGGGTATGATGTTTTCATGAAAGTTCTCGAACAACATGGCCTCCATCGATCTAGCCACTTAAGAACTTGGAAAACATCAAGAAATAAGCTTATGCGCAGCCTCGTGATGAGAGAGAGAGAGAGAGAGAGAGAGAGAGAGAGAGAGAGAGTATCTCCAACCGATGTGTCAAAAGTGCCACATAGACATCTAACTATTAGAAATAACATCTCACATTACTCTAACCGATATGTCAAAGCTAATGTGGAATGAAGGCTGGAGGTTGAGATGCTAGGTTGATCCCAAAAGCAAGATGTCAAATGAATATTTTATTATTTTTTCTTTTCCTTTCTTTTCAATTAAAAATAAATCAACACTAAAATGTAATAAATTAATAATTTAATTTGACATATCGGATGGAGTGTAAAGCTGTGTAAGATGTAAAATTGTCACATCAGCCATCAAATTTAAATTTGATTTTTAATATTTGACATCTCCCTTGGAGATGCTCTAAGACCTTGGAAAACATAAATTGGTTTATGCGCAATCTTGTGTGACAACCTTTGAGCTATGCTGCTATGGCAGACATTTTAGATTCTTCGTTTTAATATGGGACCAATTAAATATGTAAATAACCCTAGTGGTGTATTACATATCCAAGGGCAGAATTGATTACAAATAACCCTACCAGTTATAGTTACGTAAAAATCAAGCAATTAAATCAAGTCCCTTGTTATTTTATCTAACATGGATAACCATATTTACCCGGTTAAATAAAGAAATAATGATTTAGAGTTTAAATCCTCAAAAGTGTAAAGTTGGTTAATTTAAAAAAAAATCTTGAGGATACAAAACCTCACACGTTGTAAGTGTAAGGATATAATTGTCATTCACATTTACGTGCACAAGATTGTGAATTGATTCACGTACGTAATGATTGATAGACAATTACGTAAGAATGATATAAGAGAGTGTTGCAGAGTCGATGTAGTGTTCACAACTTCTTGTTTGGGTTGGTTAAGAGTTTGTTAAATCATGTTACCATTTTATGAAGAAAGAAAAAAGGCTTTATTAGTCAATAAGTTTTGAATCAAGTTGGAGAATTTGGAACTAAATAGACATAATACCTTTCTTAGCTTTGGAGGCAATTAGGAGAAGGGATAACACATGCCAACAAGGCCCAATGTTTGATTGGCCCATCATCAATTTCAGTTTCTAGTGTTTGGGCCAACCCAAGCCCTGCAAAGGCCCAATTATTTGCCCTTGAATAATCTAGCGTATCTCAGACCCAAATATACATATATAAATTATTATTAGTATTATTATTATTATCGTTCTGAGTATAAACCAATTGAGTTGGACAGAAAAAATAAATTAATCATAGAATTTTTTTAAAAAAATTAATGGTTGGAATAGAATTAGATATTAAAAATAGGCCATCTCATTCTCAGCCGTCAGATTTCATTACAATTTTTTTATCGCCATGCTAAGTTTTTGACCCTTGCGTCCTGATAGGAGTTGAAAGATTTTTTTTGGGTGCGACAAACGACGTTGCAAATTACGGGTTACTGGGGGACCCCACATGACAGCGACGGTGATAACACCGTAACAGTATTATGGGGACCGTGTAACAGCACGCGCCTGAAAGTTGCGGAGACCAAACATTCTCAAAAACAGAAAAGAATAAATATAAATAAAACAAAAATTTTGGGAGGAAACGAAAAGACAAAAAATAATACTAAAGTAAAAAAAACCTCGGACTTCGAGATTGTTTGTTTCGGGCACTCTACTTCAATTTGGTTTAAAATATTTAAAAAATGTTGGATTCTCTGTGGATTCTAGCACGCCCTCCTGTCCTGTCGCCTCAGCCAGCAGCTCTGAGAGTCACTTTGGAAACGAGGGAAAAATTGAGTTGAAAATGTGATTTTTTTTTTTTCTTTTATTTGAAAATTAAAAATTATTTAGTCTTCACTTTGATGTTGGACTTGGTGTCATGATTTTCACTTTCATAATTGTGACTCAAAATCTTACAATCATCTGGGCAGCCAGCCATCAAACCACATTTATTTCTTCTTCTTCTTCTTCTTCACTCCCATCTCAGAAATGGTAAGCGTTAATTAGGTCTTAACCCTTTTCTTTCTTGTATACTTTGTTTCTCCCTTCAGAGTTCACATGGTTACAAATGGATTTTGCTTTTGCAGGCCAAGAAACCTGTGAAAACCACAATACACATGTAATCTCTCTCTCTCTCTCTCTCTCTCTCTGTGTACTATATTGTTACCAGCACTTAGATCTTCTGTGTTTGTTTTACATACATACAGATTGGGAGATGTTGTCATGGCGGGCAAGTACAAATTCAATTGATGTATGATTTGGCATGTATCAAAACAGATTTTTTTTTTTGAAAAAGGAAAACGAGTTTAGCCGACCGGCTATACCATTTCTTCAAAAAATTTAAAAAGAATCTAGTATAGCCGGGCGGCTATAATATTTAAGAACCACGTGTACAGCCGCGCGGCTATAAAATTTTTGTTTTAAAAATTAAAAAGTAAAAAAATGAAAAGGGGACAATAGATACTTGAGTAATTGCCTAATAGTAATGGATAAGGCTCTTGGGCTATAGAGAAATTTAATTAGGACACCCAAACGTTTACACAAAAGATTTCGTAAATAGAAATAAATTATTTTGAGGACCTTTTTCTATAATTTTTATATATTAAAATATAATTACTAATTAAAGTGATTCAAAAAGGCTAAGATATTACTTAATTACATATATTAAATTAAAAAAGTAGGCCAAAAAATAAAAGTAAAGAAACTAATTATATGTTTTTTAATTTTTATTTTAAATACCGTATAGCCGCGCGGCTATACTATTTATATATTAAAAAAAGATGCACCCAGTACATAGGTGCCACGTGTCAAACAGATTTTACAAAAACGGAAAACGAGTAAAGCCGCACGGCAATACACTTTCTTTAAAAAATTCAAACAGAATCTAGTATAGCCGTGAACTCATATAGTTCGCACCAACCACACATCCGTATTGTAGAAAAATCAGTAAATTATATATTGTTAAACACTCATACATTTGTTATTTGTTGACACACAAGTTTGTAGTACTAATTAAGCAATTTGTTGAAAGTTAAAGAGAGAAAAACAATGCTAACTGCTATTTAATGGGGCCAACAACTAGTATTTAATTCATTAGCAGAACAAAACAGCTATTTAATTATTGTTCTGGAGCACAGTAATCACAAGAAACATGCATTTGTGTTGTGGTTGTGGGTTGCGGATACAAACATTCTGCCCCGACCTGAGCAACACAAGGCCGTTGACCACCTCTATTAATTTCAAGGTTATAGAAATGGTAATATAGTTTTACATGGTAGGTTAACGTTAAGAATGTTGTGGGCCCCACGTGTTCTCCTTTGGCCATTGGTGCGTTTCCAAAACGCTCCACCAAAAAGAAGGTGGGAATTTGACTGTTTTTTGCTTTTACCAACTCAGTTCATATCTTGCTCCTTTGTACACTGAAGTAGTCTGCATCAATCTCTCTCTCTCTCTCTGTGGAATAACTCTGCTGCACGCTCGTCTGATTCCTACAGTGATTTTGAGCTTTTTCTTGAGCCTCCCCATTTGTCCCATTATTCCATCTCTCTCTATCTCTCTGAATATCCATTGTCCCTGTTACCATCTCCTTCCTTTTTGGCTCTTCATTGTCCTTTTGTCTCTCGCTCTCTCGGGTTGTCTTCAAATTTCTTAACCTGTTTCCTTATTCTTCAACAGAGAAGCAGAGCCATGACTATGAGTACCAACAACAACGGCAACCACAGCAAAGAAAAGCTTGTGGTTGAGGTGGTTGCAGCGCACAACCTCATGCCCAAAAACGGTGAAGGTTCCTCTTCACCATTTGTAGAAGTAGAGTTTGAGAATCAAAGGCTCAGAACCCAAGTAAAATACAAAGACCTCAACCCCATTTGGAACGAAAAGCTTGTGTTCCATATCAAAGACGTGGCTGATCTTCCTTACAGAACCATAGAAGCCAATGTCTTCAACGAGAGGAGGTCCAGCAATAGTAGAAATTTCCTGGGAAAAGTTCGAGTTTCGGGCTCTAACATTGCAAAAGAAGGTGAAGAGGTTCCTCAGCTTTATACCCTTGACAAAAGGAGCCTTTTTTCTCACATCAGAGGGGAAATAAGCTTCAAGCTTTACCTTTCAACAAGGGAAAAGGTCAAGGAAGTTGGGGCTAATGGAACAGTCTCCTCCTCTATTTCTGCTCCTTCTGCTCCTTCCGCTCCTTCTGCTTCGGCTTCTGGGTTTTCGAAGAAAAGCAAGAAACTTCAGGGACCAAACTCAGCCATGGCGGCAAATCAGCAGCTGGTGCAAGAAACAAAGCAAACCCAACAGAACCAGAACAACAACCACCACTCAAAGAATGTGGATCAGCCAAGTCCAGGTGAGGTGATACTGATGAACAAGCCTGTTTTGATTAATACAGGGCCTGGTTCTGTTATGTCCGGCTCCGGAGGCGGTGGGGTGGGTGGGTACTCAAATGGGTTGACCGAGTTTTCACTCAAAGAGACTCGGCCTCAACTCGGAGGTGAGTCTTTGAAAAAGGACAAAACTAGCTCTACTTATGACCTTGTTGAGCAAATGCAGTACCTTTATGTGAGAGTTGTGAAAGCCAAAGAAATCTCTTTGTTTGGTGGTGGGGATTTGGTGGCTGAAGTAAAGTTAGGGAACTACAGAGGAATTACAAAGAGGGTTGGTTTGAACAATGTTGAGTGGGGTCAAGTTTTTGCTTTTTCAAAAGATTGCATACAGTCATCAATGGTGGAGATTTTTGTGAAAGAGGGCAGCAAAGATGACTTCTTAGGCCGTGTTTGGTTTGATTTGAATGAGGTTCCCAAGAGGGCCCCGCCGGATAGTCAGTTGGCTCCACAATGGTATAGAATGGAGGATAAGAAGGGTGATAAGTCGAAAACAGGGGAGGTGATGCTTTCAATTTGGTTTGGAACTCAGGCTGATGAGGCATTTGCTGAAGCTTGGCATTCGAAGTCTGCCAATGTGAATTTTGATGGGCATTGTTCGATTAAGTCGAAGGTTTATTTGTCCCCGAGGCTGTGGTATTTGAGAGTTTCCATCATTGAAGCTCAAGACATTGTTCCTGGTGGGAAAGGGCCTGCAATGATGTGGTTTCCTGAGCTTTCCGTGAAAGTTCAGGTGGGAAACCAGGTTTTGAGGACTAGAATTGCACAGCCAAGCAGCTTGAGGAGCCTCTCCAACCCTTATTGGAATGATGAGATGATGTTTGTGGTGGCTGAGCCAATAGACGACTTCTTGTTGGTTTCTGTTGAAGACAAGGTCGGGCCAGGGCGTGATGAGGTGGTGGGGAGAGTGCTTCTTCCGATGACAGCAATCGAAAAGCGCACAGATGAAAAGCCAGTGGCTTCAAGATGGTTTAATCTTGACAACAACCATTTCAACAATGCAGCAGAAGAGTCCAAAATGATGACAAGGTTTGGGTCTAGAATTCATCTTCGGGTTTCACTTGATGGTGGTTATCATGTGCTAGATGAAGCCACAATGTATAGCAGTGATCTTAAGCCAACTGACAAGCGGCTTTGGAAGCCTCACATTGGTGTGCTTGAAATGGGGATTTTGGGTGCAACAGGGCTTATGCCAATGAAAATCAAAGAAGGGAAAAAAGGGTCTAGTGATGCCTATTGTGTTGCAAAGTATGGTCACAAATGGATTCGAACTCGAACTGTTGTCGATAGCTTGTCCCCAAAATGGAACGAGCAGTACACTTGGGAGGTGTATGATCCCTGCACAGTTGTCACAATTGGAGTGTTTGATAATTCCTGCATAAACAAGAACTTGGCAAACAATCCAGGAGCTCGCGATTCACAAATTGGGAAAGTTAGGATTCGATTGTCCACACTTGAATCTGATCGGGTTTATACTCACTCGTATCCCCTCCTCATGCTGCACACTTCAGGGGTAAAGAAAATGGGTGAGCTTCATTTAGCTATTCGGTTTACATGTGCTAATATGGCTAACATGATGCATATGTACACAATGCCACTGTTACCAAAGATGCATTTTGTGAACCCTTTGAGTGTGAATCAATTGGAGACCCTGAGGTACCAAGCAATGAATGTGGTGGCCTCTAGGCTTAGCCGGGCAGAGCCGCAATTGGGCAGAGAGGTCGTGGAGTATATGCTTGATCATGACTCCCATATGTGGAGCATGAGAAGGAGCAAAGCCAACTTCTTTCGACTAATGAATGTTCTCTCAGGACTTGTTGCTATGGGAAGATTTGTGGAATTGATGCGCAGTTGGAACAAGCCAGTCTACTCAGCTCTATTTGTTGCATTTTTCCTCTTTCTCGTTGCATTTCCAGAGCTCATAATCCCAATGATTTTGCTTTACACTGCCTTCTTGGGACTTTGGCGATATAAGTCTAGACCACGCCAACCTCCCCACATGGACACCCAGCTTTCCCATGCTGAGAGCGTCTATGCCGATGAATTGGATGAGGAATTCGATTCGTTCCCAACAAGTCGGAGTGCTGAGGTTGTTCGAATGAGGTATGACCGGCTTAGGAGCTTGGGGGGAAGGATTCAAACTGTTGTTCGTGACATGGCTACACAAGGTGAACGCTTCCAAGCATTGCTGAGCTGGAGAGACCCGAGGGCCACATTCTTGTTCTCCATCTTTTGCTTGATTGCTGCTGTTGTGTTCTATGCAGTGCCAATCAGAATTGTGGTGGTTTTGTTGGGCTTGTATGTTCTGAGGCCGCCGAGGTTCAGAAGCAAGTTGCCTTGCCAACCTTTGAGTTTCTTTAGGAGGTTGCCCACCAGGGCTGATAGCTTGTTGTAGAGGGTTGAATTCATTGCATCATTATCATCATTTTTAGGACTTTTGGATATGTGTTTGATAAGTAGGATGGATGTTATCTTTTCCTTTTTGGTCCTACGCGTAAGGAGGCGTTAGCTAACTGTTCTGTTGAAGATGCAATTCGTGTATTATGGAAGTTCAATCTGACTTGTAGTTATTATCCTTGCTTATATTTATGTGTCCAGGTAGAATTACACTAATCCAATGATTTGTTTGGTGCTACATTTGATTGTGAATCGTATCTCGTCATATAATTTGAACCACCAAAAATGCCAAATGTGTGCCTGCTCAACAAAATGTTTGAATTGAAAGAATAAGAAGACACATAAATGAAAGCAAATGATAAACCAATTCAGTTCCAATACAACAACACAATGTCGTTGCTTCGGTTCTTTCTAGTATGAAATAGCATTGGGTTGGCAATACAAGACAAAGCTCCCCACAAAAGAATCCACAAAGTTCAAGCAACAGCAGCTCCCATCAATTAGAAAATCACTAACTTGTTCAGACTTAGGGTCCAGCAATCGAACACCATCACCAAAACATCACGAAGCTCCACTTCACCATTCTTTCTGAAACCAAGCACGCCGCTATTTTTAAGACCAAGTGGCGCCAACACAAAAACATTTTGCAGCTGCACAGTAAATAACTTAGCCCAAGACGCCGCCACACCATACTCTTTCATCACCCAAATCTGAACACAATCACCCCTCAGAAATCTGTAGTTACGAATCTTGACAAGGGCAATGGTCTCTCTGTATCTTGAAATAAACCACTCTTGTCCCGATTGAAAGTGTAATTTTTTCCTCAAAGCTTCTGGCACCATTGTCTCACCAAATATCTCCTTTGCCATATCAAACCACGCAACCAAATACCCTGAGAGCTCCGAGACGCCGTTCAGGTGGCGACAGATTTGGAGCCAATGCAGAGCGCCATTGACACACACAACACGTGATCTAGTGAAGAGCTCGGGATAAAAGTTGGCAGGGATAATATCATCATCATCAGCAGCAATAAGACTCTTCCAGGAGCCTGTGGCTAACGACCAAATCTCAACGTGAAAAGTAGGTGGTTTGCGGAAGGACACATAGTTCCCAAATTTCAAAGTCTTATCGTCGTTGTGTAAGTACTTATAGTTCACAAATCTCAAAACCTTATAGTCGTTGGTGCAAGAATCATAACCAAAGGCATATCTTATTCCTTGAATATTTTTGGCCACGGCAAGTCCCGGCTTAGGTAAAACCACCAACTTTCTAATATAGGGGTTCCAAATGATTGCAACAAAGTCAATGCCACCATCATCATCATCATGACGAACCATGCATACGAGCCCGTTACAAGTTCCAACCACATCCACATCCCCATCTAAAACCTTTTTTTTCCTCTGGGCAAGTGCGGGTGTTGTTGTAAGCTACGAACGGGCTCATAAGCTTGGTATGCTCATCACATGCAGAGTCATCTCGATGCAACACGTAATGCACTCTTCTTTTGACGTGGATCTTGTAGGGTTCGTAAACCTGCAGGAAAAGGAGCTGAACGTCGTTGTCGTCGTCGTGGTGATTGGATGGGAAGCGAGTGTGGCGAATGAAGGAGTTGACGAGAGAGTTCCATGATTTGCATACTGCGCTGCATCTCACTACGGATTTGCTGGTCGATCTCAGCAGGATTTCATGTAAGATTTCATCGGGAAAGAGGAGGATGTTGCTAGCCAAGTAGACATCTGACATTTTTGTGATAATATTTGCTCGCTGGTGTTTTTGGGAGAAGCAGATCTTTCGACCCCTTTAAAATCCCAGTCTCCTGTTTTAGTCCTAATTAATCAAACTAGATCACCAAAAGACTAGGGAAAATAGTGGAGAGAGATAGAGAAACGAACGATCTCTAGGGGTTAAATTGCCTTTAATTATTTTGTATTCACTTATTGGGTTAATATTTAGGAATCCATACAAAATAAGGAGGAATGTCTTATTCAGCCTCTAACTAATTAGTATCGTACGGGGATTCAAATCATATCCGAATGAGGGGAAAAAACCAGTTGAATGGATTAAGGGCTCGTTTGGGGAGTGATTTTGAAGCGGCCAATACTCACTTTTATGGAGAATCACTTCTCCAATATCACTTTAAGTGATTTTTTGGAGAAGCACGTTTGAGATGCTTCTTCCTATAAGTGATTCTAGATCACTCCCATACGAGCCCAAAATCATGGTGGAGACTTGTATGAGTTTTGATCAAGGAAAATTGCATGAGTTTGGTGCTGAGGAAAGAAATACAAATACAAATACAAATACAAAAGTAATCAAATGAATCAAAACCAGCAAAATAAGGATGAGAAATCAAAGAAAACCTCACAAAGCTAAACAAAGACGAATAGGAAAGGCAATCCAGTGAGCTAGGAAGTTCCCATTTAGGCATTAGCCAATTATCATCTATTCTTTTTGTTTTTTTATTTTATAAAAAAAAAGATGATAATTCACATTAATTTAATGACTAATGCCTACATAGATAGAAGCATGAGAAGGAGCAATGCCAACCTGTTTCGGCTAATGACTTGTTCTATTTGTGTTTGGCATACAAGGTGGATGTTGTCTTGATTCGGTTTCTGTCTTTCCTTCTAGTATGAAATAGCATTGGGTTGGTCAAATAAGACAAGGCTCTCCACAAAATAATCCATGAACTTCAAGTGATTGTTGCTCTCATCAATTTCAAATTCACTTACTTGTTCGGACTCAGGGTCTAGCAACATAGATCGACCATTACCTCCCACAAGCACCACTTCACCACTCGTTCTAAAACCAATCGGACCGCAGTCTTTATATATGAGCGGCATCAACCAAACATCTTGCAGCTGCACAGTACATAGGTTAACCCAAGATGCCGCCACACCATACTCCGCCATCACCCAGATCTCAACATGACAACCAATCCAACGATCTCTGTCTTTACAAATCTTAACAAGGGCAATGGACTCTCTGTATCTTGAAATAAACCACTCTCGTCGTCCCGGTTTTGAGTATAATTTTTTCCGTAAAGCTTCTGGCACCGTTGTCTCACCAAATAACTCACTCGCCATATCAAACGATGCAACCAAATTATCCATCTTATTCACCTTCCAGTTTCTGGCAAGTTGAAGCCAATGCAGAGCGCCATTGACAAATACAACACCCGATCTATTGAAGAGCTGGCCAGGATGAAAGTTGGCAGGGAGGATAACATGATCAGCAGCAGAACTAAGACTCTTCCAGGAGCCTCTGGCTAACGACCAAATCTCAACTTGACAAGTGCTGTGGCGGATATATTTATGGTTCACACATCTCAAAACCTTATAGTCGTCGGTGCAAGAATCATAACCAAAGCCATATCTTACTTGATCAATATCTTTGTACACGGCAAGGCCAGGCTTAGGTAAAGCCACCAACTTTCTAATACAAGGGTTCCAAAGTGATGCAGCAAAGTGAATCTCATCATCACCAGCAACCAGGCATACTAGCCCGTTACAAGTTCCAACCACAGTCACATCTTCAACTTGTTTTGCTCCTCGGAGGCAAGTAGGTAACTTGTTGCAAGCTACGAACGGGTTAGGAAGCTTGGTATACAAGTTACATGCAGAGTTATCTCGATGCAACGCGTAAGGCCCTCTGTTGATGATTCTCGAGGAATTGTGAAACTGAAGGAAGAGGAGTTGAGCTTCGTCGTGGTGGTTATAGGATTGGTAGCGAGTGTGGTCGCGAGTGTGGTAGCGAAAGAAGGTGTTGACGAGAGAGTTCCATGATTTGCACACTGCGCTGCATCTCCCTACGCTTTTGCTGGGCAACCTCAGGAGGACTTCATCAAAGATCTCTACGGGAAGGCGGAGGGGATTTGACAATGTTCTTTTCTTGCTACTCGAGTAGACATCTGACATTGCTCCGACAGATTTTGTGATAAATTTAAGGATTCCTGATGATTTAGGGAGAACCAGAACCCCTATTCCTGTAGAAAGATAGAGGAGAGAATTGGAGAAGATGAGGAATAATTTGGCGAATAACAACCCTGTAGGTTGCTTCTGCACTGCACTAGATGGCGTGAGAATAATATTGAGTGTGTAATAATCAATAGCACAGGACATCCTTTTATAGGCTTCACTTAAGAGTCCTCCTCATCAAAGATATCATAAGCTTTCCTTAAGCTAGTAGAATTAGGTGTTTTAATCCGCATAGAAATAGGAAACCTGAAGCACTCTGTATTTAAGCTTTCCTCAACGATTCCTGACAATTTCTCCAGAAACCCTATTTCTGTAGAAAGATAGAGGAGAGAATAGGAGAGATGAGGAATTTGGAGAATAACAACCCTATAGGTTGCTTCTGCCCTGCACTAATGGTTTATAATTACGCAATTTTACTTTATATAAGTAGTAATTAAATATTCCTTTTCCTAAACTATCAAGGATTAAATATTCCTTTTCCTATACTATCAAGGATCTGATTGTAGTCCTATTACAGTAAAGATTGCTTATGTCAAGGGCAATAAAAGACTTAAAAGAAAAATAATGAAAAATAAAATAAAAGAAGAGGTTTAAATACTAATTAATCGAGCCTATGAATAAGGTTCACATTCATTTCAATTGATTTACTTACCAAATAAATAAATAAATAAAAAGTTTTTAGTTTTGGATCGAAATAGAGGAATAAAAGCGTAGAGGGCCGCAAAAGCTACAAGCCGAAAAAACTCACGGCAGCATAAGAATAAGAAAGATACACCCTTTCATATATTTGGGTGAAAAAAGATGAGTACAAAATTTAACTGAGAATTGCTTGTTGAGACATTAATTTACCGCATAAGTACTGCTATCAACATTCTTTTGCATATAAGAGTTGTCATCGCATGTAAAAAAAATGGGGTGGCTTAAAAATTGTGAATATGCACATGCTTCAAACATACTTTTGGTTTCTTTGATAACATTTTTCTGTATAGGAATATTTGAAATTCTTCTACATGAGACATTGAGAAAATCAGCAAAAGAGGCCCTATAGGTTTGGCAATAACTAAACTACATGGGGAGGAATATTTTTTGGAGAGAGATAATATTGAGTTGACAACAAAAGCCCACTTCACCAACCACTACTACCGCCGCCACCGCCGCCGCTGCGCTCTCAAGCCATATTGAGACTCTACTTATTTCGGGCTCAGAACCCCATTCCCAAACCCCATTATCTGAACCTTCTTCTTTTTGGGTCAGAAGCCCAGCCTGAAGTGCCATTATCATCATTAGCAGCAGCAGCATATGCATCACAACTTGCTCCGCCATGGCCACCGTGACGCCCACCATATGGTCTAGGCAAGCCACTTGGATGTCCATCTCGACTGCCACCATTTCGGCCTGTAAAACCAAACATAAAAAGAAAAAGAAAGTCATGAAGAAAGTGTTTTTGATCAAGAAAGTAAGGAATTCTATATGGTGCACTACACTACATTAAGGAAAGAAATACAAATAATTTCTTTTAACCTGAAAAGGAGGAAATATAACAGTTATCAAATGAAAACAAAACCTCAGCTAAACAAAGACTAATATGAAACTTCAGTAAGGGGCAATCTATATTCCAAGAGCAGGGCCAATGACCTCTTCAATGGGATATGGTATATGCAGAAAATAAGCAACTATTTGTTAACCAATAAGAGACTAAACTGCTCTAATTTTTCTTTTGTGCTGCCATTCTACTCTAAAAATGCTTAAGCCTAAACAGGCTGGAAGACGTTGCAAACTAAATAAGATACTTCCTTTCATTTGCACTCAATTGAATTGCAAGAAAACAAACAGTTGAAAATCCATGCTGCAGTTTACCTGTTCTTGAACTCGGTGTAGATAATAGATCCCTGTCAAAAGACTGGCCTCTCCAACCACCCTCATTGGTTGAACCACCCCAACCACTGCCCAGAGATTCCCCTGAAGAACCCCCAGTTGCCGGGCTTCGAATTGGCACCATAGCAGCAACTGATCTAATGGATGGTCCTGACTCAAGCCGAGGGTCATCAATATGGCGCTGGAAATATGCTACAAGCCGATCGATGTCCTCAAACATTCTTTTTCTGAACTTGAACCCCTTGGGATAAACACCAACATACTCATGGTGCGGATTTGCACTCCGGATATAGGTCAGGATGATAGTGCCTGGATGTTCATGCGATATCCCGAAACAATAAGCTATCCTCATAGGATACTCCAATTTCTCAAGCCACAAAAGTTCATCAACTTCTGCTTTTGTTCCCCTCCTGAACTTGCGATAGTTTAGCATTGCCTTCAAGTGAGCCACCAGCGGATCAACGTAACGATCCATCACCTGCATTGAAGTTAGTTTACCGTCAGATTTCTATCCCTCGATATCAAGAGCACAAATGCATATTATTAGTATCTAAGTACAAGCATCTGATATGAAACATAAAACCTCTAGAACTAAATCTGTGCATTCTTATTCAGACTGCATATTATTAGCATCTAAGTACAACAAAAGCATCTGATACCACTTGGTTTTGTCATGGATATTGTAACGATCCACAATTCAGGCAAAATGAAATTATATACAGGCCAATTTCATTGGTTAAAGTTCAGTTAAGAGAATCAAGATTTACAACTGATTATCCTTCATTAGTTGTAAATTGACAGAAAGAAAAGTAAGACGACTAATGCAGTACAACTCTCTGAGAACACACATTGTGTTAAAATACTAACCTCTTCCAAATCCTCAAAAGTGTCCTCCCCAATCGTCAGGGTCTTCCCAATACGGAGTAAGCTTGTAACGTCCTTAGGCTCCTTTCCACCTTCAACTATGTCTTTGTGAGCGTAAACTCCATCATAAACCTTGAGAGTTAAGGCTAAATGCGAAGGCCCTCGAGAACTAGGACGAAAAATACTTTCCCCAACATCCTTACCAGACAATAACTGTTAAACATAACAGATGACACACTATTGCATAAGAAAATTATTTCCGGACTACTATTAAGTATTCATCCCCATATACAATGCTTAGGTCATCCATATCATCCCCGACATCTCTTGGATGCTCAACTATCATCTTATTATATATCTGATAAAGGCAAGAGAGAAATAAATAAGCATCACATGTACACTATAGGATTCTTTAGATATGAAGTGTAAAGATGAATAAGCACTCAGTGTTTAGGCTGAAGATCATGTTTCCAAAATTGATTACATATTATGGCAATCACGAAGAAAGTGATTACTATAACACTCACCTCATGGATAACTTCTTTCAGGCGAGTACAAGACAAGTTAACACATCCTAGGATGGCGACATGTTGTTGGTGATCAATCATGAACTTCAAAATGCGTTCTTCATCATTTTTCTTAAGTTTCTGATCATTGACATCATGGGAATGTAAAGTGAGGGACCCAGCGTAAAGTACATCTACCACCTCTCCATATGAATCTAACATCACAAAAGTGGTAGCTGGCTTCCCAGGGCCCCAACAGCAAGCCATGACCCGGGGTGCAGCTTCACCGTCTGAGCTACTATCGTTTTCCTTCTGGTGATAAGGCCCCACGGATACTTTATTCCACAAAACCTTTCCATATTCCACTCGTAACCAGTTTTTCGCTCTTCTAGTCAACAAGGATCTTGCTTCTTTTTCAATTGCAGGTAGAAGAAAATTAAAAATGCATCCCGCAGTATCAACTTCCGCTGCTCATTCCACACTTGTGCAGATTTACTAACATCATCACTAAGATAATACTCATTAAAGTCGCTTATCAACTTGTTTAGTCTGTCTTCTGGCAGCTTAAGAGTAACTTCAAGAAGCTTCTCCTCTTCAGCCTTCTGGATAAGCAGCCACTGTGCACCCTCAAATCTATTCAATGGCTTTCTTTGCAACCATTTCACCCCCGCAAACTGATGAGAACCATCTATTGCAATATTTCCGTCAGGTGTTGGGCTTGTAGATACCTCAATAGAATCCAAGTAGTTGTTTCGAACATACTTCCTGACACATGGCTCGCAACTTATCTCAACCGCTGCCTGGAAGAAGTGATTTAAACCCCCCAAAAAAGAAAAAGAGATAGCTTAGAACCAGACGTTATGACAAGGCATGCTAGAACAAATTAACAGTTCTATGAACTAGAAAACTATAAATGCATACCATATGCCTAGCTCCTTTGAGCACAGCTTCAGGTGTCTCAAACATTGCACACGTAAAGTTTGAAGCTATCTCCTCTGATGTCTCCTTAGGATTCTCCAACTCATCCCTTCTCTGCAATCAAATTAATTGTGAACCTGATGTCGATGGTTAGCCAAAATATGTGAAAGTGCAAGACAAAGAAAACTTACCATTTTTTCTAGTGATAGTTGCATTCCGAACTCCTCAGATACATAAAGTGATTTCCTCTTGGGCCTCTTATATTGTCCTTCATCTGCACCTATCTCACCCAGAGGGAAATGCAAGTTAAACTTAGCGTCAGCATCATCGACTTCTCTCTCAGATTCGGAAGCCTCGAGCGACGTTATAACTGATTCTAAAAGCTGATGGTTCACAGTGCATTCAAATCGTTTATAGTAAGATTGCAAAACACTTTTTCGCTTATGAAGTAGCAGCCATTTTCTGTCCAAGTCCTGAATTGTCCAAAGTTCCTGTAGAAAAAGCAAGCAGACATGTTACTTATATATTCTTTAATCTAGGCCCAGTTTAAAACATTTGACAGTCCGATAACAAGTACCTTGTGCCATTTTATCTTGGGTGGTTTCTCATTTTGATCCTGATTTTCATCTTTCAAAAAGCTTAGGCATTCTTTCCGATACATAGCAATAAAGGGAATCTGAAAACAAGGAGAGAATGATCATCCAATAGAATAAATATCAGATAAATGAACAGAAGTGCACCAAACTTAACATGAATACTCACCTCCAGCTTGTACTTATGGTGCAATTCCAAAAATTTGTTGATGTCACCCCTGCTTATAGAACTCCCCAAGCCTTCCTTGCCATACAAAGGAATTGTACCACTTGTAAGTGGATTATATATCCAGGTACTCTCATCTTCTATACTAATTTCATCCAATGGAGGAGATCCAGTGCTTTCCTCATATATCTACAAATAAAAAAATAAAAAAATTACAGTCATGTGACATGAAATATGAAACGAGTAAGATTATATTTTCGTGAAGGGCAAGTCAAATAACCTGAATTCTTTCCGGAATATCAAGCTCCCGAATCTGGTCATCCTTCTCTGTCATATACTTTTCAGAAAGAACACTTTGTTCGAATTCATCTTCAAGTTTCCTATCCCTAGACTCATTGGAATCTGAACCTTGCTTGCGGAGCTGCAGTAACTCATCAACATCACCAAATATTTCATGTGCTTCATGCAAAGAAGAGGATGATACTCCTAGTGCCTCCCTAAATTTTTTTCTCCTAAGCTTCTTCTGTCTAGATAAGGGAATTAACCAAAATACAATGAGTTGATTATTCAAATATTAGGAAAAGAAATTCAGTTCAAAACATAAAGACAGGCATGGGCATGCAAAAAATGCAAAAATATATACCTCACTGGAACTCCAGTCGCATCAAATTCTTCATCGACTATAAAGTCTGCCATTTCATCCTCTTCACCAACTTCTCCATCATCTTCCTCTTCTGCAGGTTCCTCCTCTTCAGCAATGTCTTCAAGTGGAAGACCTATAGGATTAAGGTGTATAATTAACAAAGGAAAAAAGAAATCAAATTCATATACTGATTACTCTACAAGTCAGTTCTACATATATATATATATATATATATATATATATATATATGCACATACCTTTATCATCACCAAATAAGGAGCTAAGCTTCTCCTCTGCACTTCTTCCACTTTTACCATTGCCACCAAACTCCTCCTCATCAGATACACCAAGATCCCTTTCAGTATGCCTCTGAGCTTTTTTCAGCCGCTTAAATTTCCCCTGAAAATGTGAAAAAGAGAAAAATCTCCATCTCATGAACAATGGACATTTAGAAGAAATAATTGTATTAAATTCGAAATTCAACAGAAACTATAAAAATATATGGACGATGTTCACAACCTTCCTGCGAGGGGCAAACACATTATTGTCCTCCAGGAGCTCATGGTCATCTTCGTCAAGGACATACTCCTCCCTAGAAAATTAGAGACAGGAAAATAAATTACACAAAGGAATAACTACCCCCCTTGTTTAATTTCTACAAGATTTTAAAAGAGAAGAAGAAGATTTTCATTGGTCCAAAGTCTGGAAACCTTAAAAAACCAGATTTTTTTTGGGCAAACTCTAGAGAGATAGATAATAGGTCGGAGCAAGGATATAGAACATTCACCTTTTCTTTCTTTTCTTCTTCTTCTGCCTTTCTTCTTCATCACTGTCCGCTCTGTCTTCTTCCTCCTCCTCCTCCTCTGGGTCTTCTTGTTCATCATCAACATCATCTACTATAAAATCGTCCTTCTCATATTCATCTAGCTCGTCTGTAAAATCAATAACAATAATAGCATTGTAAAATCAATAAGTGAAGCAAAAAGTGCACCATAATAGATGTTAGATATTCGACTCTAAGTACTAGATAATTATTCACATGAGGCAAATACAAAAATAAAGAGAAAACTAAGTAAACGAGGAAAAGGAGGTGGTGCAGAAGAAGGTTAAAGCATATTGCACTGTACAGTTTTGCACCAAACAACAGACTATTGAGTTTGAATTTTTATTTTATTCAATCTGCACCCATAAGTATCTCTCTACAAATCCAATGACGAAGACCAACTACAAAATCGCCATGAAAAAACAGAAAAAGAACACGATCTTAACCTCCAATTTGATTCCACCACAACCACCACACAAGTCAGGGTCCAATTCACTTGAAGATACAGTAAAACAAGAAACAGAGCACCCACAACTAAAAACCCAATGAAATACATCTGAAAACCCATCAGCTCAGCCCCTCGAACCACCCAAAAACAATGAAAAACCAATAACAAGAAGAGTACCCAACAAGGGTAAGAAAGAGACGAAAAAGGATTTGATTGCCGAGATGAACTTGACGGGTCAGCCATAGAAGACGTGAAAGAAACCAAGCCGATGGGGCACAGAGAGAAGACGAATATGAAGAGGAAGAAAGATATATAGATCTAACAAATAATTAGTTTCCAATCCCATATTAAACTGCACAAAGAGAAAGAAAAGAAGAAAGAAGAGATGAAGAGAAGAGGAAAGCTGCTCAAAACTCAAGAAGAAAGCGAGGAGAAGAAAATATGAAGAAAGCTGCTGAAAGCATAAGCAGCTGACGAAGTGAGCGTTCGAAACCACATAGAGTGAACCCGAGATCAATCTCGTAAGTACTTTGTATATAACAAAATAGTTGATGAAAAAATTGAAGGCTGTACCGTCTTCATCGTCTTCCTCGTCGTCGCCGTGAATGGTTTCCTCCACGTCGTTATCTTCTTCAAGCATGACTTCATCTGAAGTCATAGAAACATGGTTCGGCTTAGGGTTTAGGATACTTTAAAGCAGCAGAAAAAAAATTTGGTGTAAAAGCTGGAGAAATTTGAGAAACACAGAAACATACCTTCGTTTTCGTCAGCTTTTCCCATGGCTTCTAGTCTTCTTCTTCTTCTTCTTTGCCAAACACTTCTTCTTGATTGCAAAACAAAACCGAGTAATTAAAGTGTGAGGAAGTCGCTCTACTTACAAATAAATAGAAAATTCGATCTTCAAAATCCTTAAAGCACGAGGAAGTCGAAGTCGAGTAGCAATAGGAAAAAAAAAAATGTGGGGCCCACTTCGATCTTCTTACTTTCCATTTCCATGCACGTATACTTGAGCTTTGTTTCTCCAAGCACTCACCCACACTTCAACTCAGTCAAACTCTAAAATATATACTTCCACATCAATTCTTTTTTTGGTCAAAGAAAATTAAAAGTTGTTTATATGCTTCGAAGATTTTTTTTTTTCCTTAATCACGAATTATATAAAGATTCTCTTTAGTTTTTTTTTTTTTTTTTTTTTTTTTTTTTTGTTTTTGTTTTGTGCGCATAAATTAGGACTTTTTATAATAATGGAGATTTATGTAATATTTTTAAGAGAAATTAGTATATAGTGATAAAAATAAAAATAATTGTGTATTTTTGTTTTGGGTTTAATGAATGGAAATTGAGCTCAATCAGGAAGCCCAAATTCGTTGGCCCAGTAGTGAAGGCAAGCAGCTTAAACTATATTGTTTTTTTTTTTCTCTCTCTCTCTCTCTTTCTTTTCCGTGCAATGGTAAGCAACCATTTGTGTTGATGAATATTTTCTTCCTTTGAATTGCAGGTTAACCAGATTGGCACCACAACTGAATCTATTCAGGCAGCACTTGACGCAAAAGCCGCAGGTTGGGTTGGGGTGTGATGGTCAGTCACCGTCGTGGGGAAATTGAGGATAACCTCACTGCTGATCTTTCTGTTGGCTTGGCCAGTGGACAGGTTTGTTAGTTAATTTCTATAACGATATACGCTCTGTATCAATTCATTCTGTTGGTACTATATTTTTGCACTTTCTTCTCTATAGATATAACAGGAGCTCCCTGGCTAAGCATAATCCCCAACACCACCCACTTTTCTAAGTTTTCTTTGCTTTCTCAAATTTGCTTGCAGCTTCCGCGCATTGAAGAGGAACTTGGTAATGTGTGTTATGCTGGTGAAGCTTTCAGATCACCCTAAGTGAAGAAACAGATAACCCTCATTTATCAAGTTATCTAAGCTTCCACCCAATTTAGATTTTGGGAAAATCTACAGAAATTTTTTATAGAGCTTATAAGTTGGGTGTCATTTGGATAGTCCCGTTCCGTGCGCTGGGAAAGCAGGCGTCTTCTCTTCAGTACAAAAATTTGTCAGTCAATAATCAATTATCTTCAGGAGTTCGTATGGATGGAACTGGTAAAATGCGACTGGCATGGCATCCAGTTCAACTATGTAATTCTTGTGTGGCATTGTAATGTAATGTAATGTGTTATTGTGTACTATATATATTTCACCTTGTTCTTGTTATTCAATTTTTCAATCAGGACAAAATCTCGTGTTTTACTAGAGAGCATTTTCCATAGAACCTCAAGATTCTAGAGATTATCTGGTTCTGTCTCAGCAAGCCATGCATACTCCTCTTCTTTATTATCATCTATCATAATTATGTTCACTGTAGCTACAGTGTTTAGCAGACAACTATAATTAGCAGTTTCTTTTTTTTTCCCCCCTCTTTTCTTTTCTTTTCATGAGAGTAAGTTCACCAAGGAAAGAAAACTCTAACTAGAAACAAAAGTTACTTACCAAAGGCAGTATACAGGTAATTGCGGTAGTAGGTCATTTTCTGCCTGCATCTTCTCTGCAAGGGGGTGTGAGAATGTCAAGAACAGCACAAGGAGTGACTGCAGTAAAATAATGCAGATTTCCCCCATTCCTTGGATACAAAATTGATGTCCCACATGGTGCTGTTAAAACCTTGTCAACCGCCAGCTTTGCCAATCTTACTGTATTGGAAGGAAACTTCATCAGTTTTCCCATATTTTAACCCTCAAAATATGAAAATCATGAGCATAGAACATGGACCAATTCATAAGGGCAGTCTTACGACCTCTCTGGTAGTATCTCACTCATGAATCTAGCCTTTTAAAATCACTAAAACGGCCATTTTTATTGGACTAAATGATATAATCATATGAATAATTTCATTACTTACAGTATTATTCTTAGTAACTAAAGAACAACAGAAAAGATAGTAGAAACTTTGATCATAAAGTAAATACTAAGAAAAAAAAATCTTTAAACAGTGTGAGTGAAGCCCAAGAAACTACAGGAATAGCAATATGAAAATGTGAAGCTGATACTTTTGTCAAGAAGTGCAACTGTGCAAGCCATTTACAAGCTGAAAACTACATGAAAAACCAGACCTGGAAAGTAATTTGGTTCCTTGCTTTCCTGGGAGGCTCGACCCAATCATAAGCTTTCACATGCAACGAGCCATAGAGAACTTTGCTAAAAACAGTCATCCCAGGATGGTCAAGAAGTGGAATGACTGAGAAAGTAGGAAAACCGAATATACACATCTGCATAAAATCATTTACTTAATCTGTGAGTAAATTTCAGAGAGAGCTTTGAATATAACAACAATCTAAATTCCTTGTTGAGTGATAACTTATATGAATGGTGGTCCCAATGGTCATATTATGGAGTAGTACAACATATAGATCTTTTTCATCAATGAAAAGACACACAAACAAATATAATGTCAAAAATTCATTGAAGGATCCATCTTTTTTTGTTCCTTGCAGTACCAAATACTGTAAATAAGAAACTTGAAGGAAAACAAAAATAGAGTCTTGATTTGGGAACATAGAAGATGGTATAGCTTACTGTAAAAGTATTCTTCTTCTTCACTAAATGCTTACCGTAAAACTATCACATTCATATATATATCCAAGTATGTTATTGGTTGAGCCCATCGAGCAACTCTATTTAGTTGGTCAAGTCCAAAAAATATCCATGGCCTCGATCGTCCTCCAGACTTTCCTCTTTAAGCCCAACATCAGCTGGAGACATTGTGCCTGTGAATTCCAACCAAGATCAGAAAAATAAAGGCAAGATACTGTGACATGGTGTATCCTAACTATAAAATTTTGATGAATCATATTTGAGTAACCTGGTCTTCTAGTTATTAGGAAGGTACTGAAACTGTCATCACCTTTCTTAGTTAAGGCCTCAAGATCTGATATATTGGGTTCGGACACATTTTAAGCAGGAATCGATTGTTGTGCAGAAAAGACAAGACAAATATTTGTTAACAAAATTTATGTATGTGACAAACAATAGGACAAAAACAAAGACATCATTATGACTTAACCAACGAGACATTCTTCAAATAAAAGCTGAACCAAGCTGCTTCCACATACCAGGGGGCCATGGAAATCTATATCAGAAGTAGCATTGGACTCTAGGCATTACTATCAATAAGCAACAAAGCCCTATCAGCCAAGTTTATATTCTCAAGAAAAGGAAAAACCGTCAAACTTCGCCACAAATGGCACAAAGGAAAGAAAGGTGATTCTTCATCCAGCTGGTTTTTCACCTTGATGAGCAATCCGGTAATTAAGTTAGCATTTTGGAGGTAAAGTCTTTCTTTTTAGAGCAAACATCATACTTCCAAGAGTAACAATGCATGTAATATATGAATCTAAACTCACTTTGCAGACAAACCTTAATTGCTTCAAGTTTCACAGATTTCATGCTAAACTAGTCCACTGCTAATTTATTTGCCAATGAAGGATATTCCAATTTCCATTAGAACCAAGACCAAGTAGAGTTACAAAATCAATATATTCTAGCAATTTAACGAAACCACATAAATATATCGCTCAATTCTCAATTACACCACCAAAACGGGCAAACTCAATTTGAGTTTCAACATAATTTGCGAAACCAATATGCAAAATTGAGCCAAACTTTGGTTACACACTTCACATACATATTAAACGAAACCATGTTATTACAAATTTAAAACAAAAGACGAGAGAAATACCCAGAACAGAACAAAGCTTGTTGATTGCTGCAGAAGAAGGGGAGACCCGATGGCGTGAACATGTTTTGGCAGAGTTCGTAGAGAGCTTCAACATTGGAGCTCTTCCTCGCCATGCTTGTGTGGCTTCGAAACGCACTAAAAATCGGCCTACGCGCCCGCCCAGGCGTCCAAACGCACTAAAAATGGGCCAGTGTTCGAATATATTTAAACGGTCTAGCCGAACGGCTATACTCTTTAAATGTAATAGATTTTAATATTTAAATAGTATAGCCGCGCGGCGATACTTCTTAAATATAATAAATTTGATTATTTAAATAGTATAGCCCGTCGGCTATACTCCATAAATATAGTAATAAATTCGAATATTTAAAGATTATAGCCATACCCTTTGAATATAATATATTCGAATATTTAAATATTATAGCCGGTCGGCTATACGTTTCAAATATAATAAATTCGAATATTTAAAGAGTATAGCCGGCTATACTCCCAATTGTTGGGACAGCGTTCTACGACACCTACCACAAGCAGCCCAAGACCGGTCGGGCCGCCAACGACGACACGGGACTCAGCATGGTGGTGCTCGGTTTGCTGTCAAGACGACAATGGGTGAGAGAAGAAGATTTGGCCGGGGAGTTGAAACTGCCCCCAAGGAAACTTCGTTCCACTCTGCAGTTTCTTGAGAAGGAAAAACTGGTCGCCAGAGATCGAAGGGGAGGGACAGCTTACTCCTGTCTGGACTATGCCCAGATGTACGACGTCGTTAGGTACAGGCTGCACAGTATGAGGAAAAAACTGATTGTCGAGAATATGTGTGTCCTAACCCTCATTATAGGAAAAGATACAGCAGTTTGGATGCGCTGTACCTGATGTCTGGGTCCTGCTTCCACTGTGAAAGTTGTAACGGGGAACTTGTGGTTGCAAGTGACAGCCATGCAAGGCGGCAGCGGGGTCAAGAATTAAAAGACACGCTTCAGAGGATGGAGGTACAGATGAAGCCAGTAACGGAACAACTTGACAGAGTTAAAGACTTGGCTTTTCCTGAATTCGGAAGCCTCCAAGATTGGGAAGCGAGTGGAAGGCCAATGTACATAAAGAGTGTTGAAGTTGAAGTTGAATTTTGTTGGATTGAAGGACAGGTGGAAGAGGCTCCTAGTCGTCAGTCGGCGTCAAGTCAAAGCGTGATGAGGATCCAGCAGAAGACAATGTAGACTGGGAGGAAGGTTGGGGACCAAATGACTTGGAATGTTGAAGCTTGTTGATCAGGCAAAATCGGAATTTCCTATCTACTTGCCATAAACAGTTGGTACAGAATCACTGAAATGAGGAGACACACTTATCAAATTGTCTGCCCATTACAAGGAAATCTTCTACGCCAAGAGACAGTAGTTTACAAAATTAATAACTCATGAGAGGAAATAGCTTAATTTCTAGGCTAAATTTCACCCTTCCAGTTAACTATGCCAATCATGTAGGACCTCCTGGGAATTTTTAAGATAAAAATGATGCCAGGCGTGCATCTGTGCGGTGTGGAAGACCAGTTCGAGCTCCGCAAGCCCTACAGCAGGTAGCTGCCTGCAATCAAAATCACACAAGCAAAACAAAAAAAAAGTCATGAACAAATCTATGTTGCAAAATCCTACCACATCATAACAATTGGCCATTTAGCAGAAACATGTCTACTTACCACTTGAGCAGCAAATGGCAGCATTTTCTCTGGCGGCATGTTGGAGCAAATAGCTACAATAAAATCAGAAATCCCATGAATGAAATAAAAGAACAAAAAGTAGGAATTTGCTTCAACATCTAAATTATCAAACAAGCATGAGACATTTTGTGACCTAAGGCCTATCCTCTGCAAATAGTCAATCCAAATGTTGATTGAACTCGAGTGCTCACATGATATACACTAAGATGATGATTAAATTTATCTAGTTAGTCAGCCATGCTTGTAGACTAGCCCAACCACAACCCCACTCTCCCACAAAGTAACATTAAACTGAACTGATCTGAGCCCTCATGTTTGGATGATGGTCAGTAGGGATTTTAAACAATGTTGCAACCTCTCAAAAGTCAAAACTAAACAAATATATACTACATTAAGAAGACACCTTTTTTCTGCTTAATGATTGAAAAGGTGCCTTTCCAGGCAATAAACAACCAAAAACAAAAATTGACAAAATGATCTGTGTGTGTGTGGGGTGGGGGTGGGGGGGGAGAGAGAGAGAGATGAGTTGATGGATTAAACATACCATAGAGAACTGCTCCGATAAAACTATCTCCAGCACCTGTTGTATCTTGAAGTTCTGAGGGTGGTACTTTCTCAGCTGTTCCCACAAACAACCTCCCACAAACCGTCCCTACTCCGTTGGCTCTCAATTTTGTCACAGGCTGAAAGGATTACAATGGGAAAACTTACAAATTAGTAGCTACTACAATTATTCAGTATTTTTTTCAGTCTCCAGTTAAGACTCTAAAAACAAATACAAAAAAAACTGATGTTCCACAATTCACTCAAGTTTGCGATCTAAAGAAAAAGGCACCCTAGCCAATGTTGCATGAAATGTGACATGTTTCTTGTGTCAAGCTAAATTTCCCCTTTACCATCTTCCTACGGTTAAATGGATTTCATCTCTACAACAACATAGGTATTGTGCTTCACTTTGGTTATTTCAGGACACCTCATATTCCCAGCTTAAGATGTGGCCGGACTTCGTCGTCTTGTTAGGACCAACTTTTATTTGGTAACAGTTTCTTTTCAAATTGATAACTAATGTAAAAATTATATAATTAAACGATGGAAAGATTTTCTAGTTATTACTTCTGCTCCTGAGGCTAAGCAAATATTCAGGACGTGTGGTCATCCCAAGTTGTAAACCCAAGATGCAATCCTCAAAACTGTGTAGAAGGATTGAGGGTTGCTGTGAATTTCATCAAGAATCATGGGAGAGAGCGGTGAAAAGGACTATCTAAATACTTCAAAAATCAAGGGAAAATAGTTCACTTCTAACTTGTCTCTGACTAAATTCTTTCAAATCCTCTTAACCATTGAGGTTCCTTACCGATGAAACACATGTCGGGATAGCAATGTTATCATCTTTTCTCTGCTTCAGCAATTCTAGCAAGCTATCAACATCCATTTCTTCTGTCTGTGGAGCCTCTGCCAGAAACAGAGTTTCAATGAAAACCTGTAAATTTTTCAAATCAGATAAAACAGACTATGTTTACAACATTGCAAGCCACAACTTCAGGCCCTATGTTTCATATTGTTTTCCGCCTCAATAAACCCTGGACAGTTGCATACTTACCATCCACACTTCTCTCAAGCATTATGCATCCATCTTCACCCAATGTCACAATCACAAATTTGATCTTTGGCAATCTCACAAGAATCGAAACAAGAGCACTTGGAACGGATGCTGCTTCTGTCCATGCCTGTAAGACAAGATATGCGTTGTGTCCCACATAAATGACCTTGGGCCTTAAACTTAGACCAAGAGATCCAAGCGAAAAATGAAGGGCAAAAAGTGTGTCTAAATGTGATCTAAGTTAATTGTAAAATCACAGCAATCACATTAGCATGCATATTGAGTGCAAAATATATCCACCAGATGGTTAGACTAACTAAGTAATAGAAATACATGGTATAAGAAGAGCAGTGCTTGAGGAAACCTCTTATTTGCATATCCAAAACAATGGTTCCTGTACCGGCTATTTTCGGCTGAAAATTGTTTGGAAACAGATAAGAAGCAAATCAAAGTCTTATCTCCAGTTTTAGGGGTTTAGAAACCAAAAGGAAGAAGCTGACAAAATATTTAAGTTGAAAAAACATGTCCTAATTTCCTTCTAGATATAGTAGTTCATAGAAGAACAATTGACTTGCCTGTGGAAATTTTGCTGAGCATATAGCATAATCAGCTAGTTTTAGAAGATCATCCAGCCCTTCTCTTATCCGTTCACCTTCAACTAATATAGGTACATTCTTGCGAGCAGCCTGTGAGAATCCAATTATGCTGATTTACTCTCTTTAGTTAATAACTAATTTTCTTGGAAAACTACGTAAAGACATACTTAACAGCAAGAAGTTTAACACAAGAAACTGGAAGATAACAGTTACCTCCTGTGCAACAAGTAAAGCAGTTTCATGTATTCGTCCATCTAAATAAAGCACTCTTGCTCCATCCAATGCAGATGATAAACTTGTTTGGGAAAGGTCGCTTGGTATCATGGGAGGATATCCTGGAGTATGAATACAAGTGCGAGTTTTCCTGGAATGTCACTAACAGTTTATTAAAATTGAAACACAAAGATTGGGGAAAAAGTTATTCCACTGCCCTCTATCACTAGCTAAGGCCATATGCATTAGATCAGATTCAGAATGTAGGAACAAGAAAATATTATGGGTTAAACAATAAAGTCAGCTAATAAAAGGTTGTGTATGCTTGTGCGCGCTTGTGGGTGGGGGGAGGGGGAGAGAGAGAGAGAGAGAGAGAGAATAACGCATAAAAGCGAAGTTCCTCACGTTTCATTGTCAACAATAATGTAGGTAAACGGTGAATTACCCTCCTCGGAAACCTGGAAAAATGAGTCCAAAAATGAAAGCAATATTCAGATTACATAGCAGTCAAGTCCTATTCTTAAAGATTACAAACGGCTTTCCCTCTGAAGCTTACCACAACAGAAGAAGTATCTACGCCGTCGGCCTGTAGCTCCTCCAGTATGCCCCTGCCTTGTGTATCATTTGCAACCTATCATTTCAAAATGCATAAAACAAGCTACCAAAATCAAACAACCAAGTTTCCTTCCGGAGAAAGAAAATTCAAAATAAAAGGGTTAAAATTAAAGACCTTGGAAATCAGTCTCGGACTTAAGCCCAAACGAGCTGCACAAGTTAAAGCATTACCCGCGTTTCCACCTCCTTGAACCTAAGAAACCAATCAAAACTAATTATCAAAGCTAATCCACAGCATTATTTATGTATTAACAACAATTTATCAACAATAAAAATAAAGAACAAATCTTTCATTTGCAAAAATTGCACACAAACAACCGAGTTACTGAGTGAACTCACGTTCGAGTAACAATGGCGTAAATTTAACTGGATAAATTAAGTTTACCGTTAAGCTGGTGGTTCTGATTTTGTCGTCCGGATTAGGGTAAGAGGCCACGGCGGCCAAGAAATCGACGCCCACCGTGCCGACGCTGAGCTGCCATAATTGTATAAAAGCATAATTCGCAAGTAATTATGAGCATAATTGTATGGATTATAATGAGAAGAATATAATTGATATAGATGAACCTACGACGATTCGGTTTTCGGGGAGAGGGGGAAGAGAACCGTGCGACATTCTGAACCTGAAACTCAAACTTGGTTGTTAGAATCTGAAATGAATGGATGAAAGATGTATGATTTTGTTTTGTTAATGGAAAACTTGAAAGGAGAAGGTGTGGTTAGAAAAAGAGGAGGAGACCTGGTTGAGCGAGGTGGGGAGAAAGATGGAGAGAAGGTGGTTGGTGAGCTGAGGGGAGTGGCATTGGGAGTTGGGTAAAGAGATAGCATCTTTTCTGCTGTTACAGTTGAAGAAAAGAGAAGATTCGGTGGATGGTGCCTTTGGCTTTATCATAGACATCTGGTCTAGATTGGTAAAGAGTCAAATTTAGTCTTACCTATGCCACTGCTACGATGGAATTTTTTTAATGAAATTTAAAGTCATTGTCTTTTAATTGCAATTTGCAATAACCACTAATAATTTTAAACATCTAGTAACACTCAATCTTTACTTTGTTGAAGGAGATAACCGATAATAAGTTTAAGTAGGTCGCCAACAATGAGCACTCAGTCTTTACTTTGTTGAAGGAGGTTACCGATAATAAGTTTGAGGAGGAAGCCAACAATGAGTTTAGGGATTTAGTGCGTGGCACTCAATCTCTACTTCGTTGGATAAAATCTTGTATTTAAATCTCAAGTACGACCATTATTGATAAAAAGAATTGTAAACTAGTAGAACTTGGATAGAATTGTGTTCAAATTATATAGATAGACAATTAAAGACTAGTTCATCAAGTACGACAATTGTTGATAAAAAGAATTGTGAGTTCTATTTGAATTCTGAATAATAAGACATTATAGAAACCAAGCGAATGAAGAAAACAATAAGCATATGCTAGGTAGCTTTTAACATCCATAAACTGTCCGTACAGATTAACAGAAGCTGACAATCATCAGTGTAAAGTGTTTGAATCAGATAAGTTATATCTGGCTACAAGAAGAAGATGACTCTCAGCCCAACAAATATAAAGGGTAACAATGTCAATCAATAAGGCATTGAACTTAAGGGGGCGTTATAATACACACGGAGACTATTCAACTTACATATCTCCATCCAACTCGTATGTAAATGAATCAAGAATTCCAAAATTAGAAGCCATTGTCCTCTCTCTCTCTCTCTCTTCCTCTCATCCTCCGACATGGACTCCGGGGGATTTTCCAATACCTAAACTACAAGTGATGGCTTTACTTAAAAGCCTCAGTCCTTTTTTAACTGTACAAAATTCAAAAATAAAATTAACAAACTTCAAACCCAGAAGCCATCATCATTCCGAGCACATCTCGAAAGGAGTCCCCCATGCTCACTCCTACTTCCTCTTACTCTGTAGAATGCTGGCTTGCTCCGGACTGTTCTCAATGGCCCTGACCTATTGCCATGTCTAATTGGTAAAGATATCTCATCCCCCACCAAACTTGAAGTTGAAAACGGTCTGTTTTCCATATCTTCAAGTGGCCCAGAACTATACTCCATTGTAATGAACGAAGAGGTCTGCCCGTAATTTAACCGGGGAGTGAGTCCACCAGCGTTCCACCAACTGCTATCAGAAGGAGCAAGATCACCTTTGAATTCAGAGTCCGGGACGGAAGACTCCTTTTGACTATAGCAATCCCCACCAGTCTCATCCGTATCATTGTATATGAGCTTTAGAGCCTGCACCACTTCACCCATAAAAGGCCTGTGAGTCACCTCAGGGTGAACGCACATGGAAGCAATGGCTGCCACTTTAGCCATGTCATCAAAGTCATAGGTTCCAGCCAAGGCAGGATCCACCAACTGCTGCAAACCTTCTCTGCTGGTTAGCAGTGGTCGTGCCCAAGTTACTAAATTCTCCTGGCCGGGAGGGTGGGCCATGTCAACAGGCTTCCTTCCAGATAGAAGTTCCAGCAGGACGACTCCATAACTATAAACATCACTCTTGACAAGTAGGTGCCCTGTCATTGCATATTCTGGGGCAACATACCTGTAATCCAGCAATTTGATCAAGAGAATAGTTGAAATGTTGCTCAGACAGAAAACTATTGAAGCAAACATTATTTCAATTTTTCAATTTTCATCATATACTATAAACTTTATATATATCTGGACAGAGGAGAATTTCAATTCTTATGGCCGAAAAATCTAATTAAATCCATTCACTAACATCCTTATCATTCATTAAAGGTTCCCAATTTCTAGTGTACTATGGCGCCATATAGCAAATTAGGTTTATGCTCTATAAGCCTAAAAAGAAATATTGGATCCAAATCACAGTTTAAAAGATCTGTAAATCCTGATTAGTAACAGCTTAAACAACTGTGCGTACCCAAAAGTTCCCATGACCCTTGTTGAGATATGATGACTTCCCTCAGTTGCTTCCCTAGCCAACCCAAAATCTGATACCTTGGGCGTGAAGTCAGCTTCCAGCAAAACGTTACTAGCCTTAAAATCTCGGTGAATAACACGAGGATTAGAATCTTCGTGAAGATAGGCTAATCCTCTTGCTGCCCCAAGGGCAATCTTCATCCGTGCATCCCAGTCAAGAGGTCCCTTTTTCTTGTCAACCCCTGAAAAACAACCATAACATATAAATATCGGGCTTTAAGGCTGTTTCTATCCCCCCAAAAACAAAACAAAAAAAACAAAATGTCCTTCAAGAGAAGGTAAATTAAATTGCTAGTTGAGGCGAGTGGGAGAGCTAATTCTAATTCAGGAAAATAACTTCAAGTTGAAAGAGACCAAAGTTGACAAGGAAAATATACCATGCAAGTGGGACTCAACACTCCCATTGTGAACAAGCTCATATACCAAGCTGCGGGTGCGCCCTTCAATACATATGCCTATCAATTTCACCAGATTGCGGTGATGTAATCGGCTTAGCATCTCAACTTCTGCAATGAATTCACGGTCTCCATTCTGATTCTGATTATCCCTTGTAAGCACTTTGACTGCAACTTCAGTCCCATCTTCCATAATTCCATGGTAAACACGTCCAAATCCCCCTTCTCCCAACACCCTTTGGGAACTGAACTTATTCGTTGCTTTCTCAAGCTCAGCAAGTGGAAATGTTTTGACAGAGAGAATACTTGTAGCCATGGTGGACATTAGGGACACTGAAGTGGAGCTCGCAATACTACTTGATAAGATGGACCCAATACCTGAATTACACGAATGGATCAATCACTTAGTCTCCAGTATGTTTAATATGGAACTGTGTGAACAATTAACTAAATTGTCCAGATTGAAATTCAATGTTCATAAAAGTATCAAATTGAGAAAGCAACAAAAACAAAGACAATGAATGCAGTAGAAGTCTTTTCTGTATGACAAACTCTACATATCAGAACATGAGTTACCAGATCCCACCACCTGACGACCATGATCTGGCTTGCATACCCCAATTCATGGTACTTTGGTGGTCCAGTTCTCCAAAACTGATGTTCCAAACATACAATAGTTTTTTCTTTGGCATGAAAGGGGTCCTGAACCCGGGCCCTCAAACATAAAGGTGTTCCCAACATAACATGATATATGGGAAGAAAAAAAGAGATAAATGTCAAGATTTGAGGTAACTGGACTTGCAGGGGAACTTTGTGCAAGTACAGCTATTTTATCGTTAAAATTGAAATTTGTTGATTTCATGCATTTATGTGAGGGTTTATACATTTATGCATGCATGTATGGATATACTCACAACAATTGTGCACAAGAAACACAAGAGAACACTAAAAAGCCACATACTTACCAGATCTTTTGTGAACAGAAGATGTGAATGCAGGACCAACAGCACTAGATGGTCTTCCAACTCTCTTCCATTTCACAAAGATCCAGATTGCCCCAGTGAGAACCAACAGGAGTACAAATGCAGACAGAGCAATAATTACAATTGTTCTAATATTCATCCTCTGGTTCTTGCTGGGAAAATCTGCAGTGATGGGGAGATCTCCAGCACTTCCAGCTGGACCATTCCCCTTGAAATACTCATATGGTGGTGAAGAAGCGATCCCTGTTAATGACTTTTTCAGTCTCAACCACAAACAACAATGAAAGGAAGCAAAAATAGAAGTAGGAGAATTGAGGACAGTACCTGGATAACTAATGTATACCACTTCATAATTTCCAAAAAGAGTCATATTTAGAGGGACTTTCTTATGCCGAAATCTATCGTACGTCAGTATTGCAGTGGTATTATCAAACTTCTCTCCTAGTGGAACCAAGTTAATATCCACTACTGTTCTTCCTTGATTTTGACTATCCGCACTTGCACCCATTATTTTCACTTGGCTTTGTGCCAGATACGTGCCTTCGGCAACCTCAATCTCTAGCTCACTCATTACAGGAAAAATAGCATACGGAGCTATATCCAGTAAAAGTCTGACTTTCATGGGAAACACACAACCACAAGGTGAACCAAATGGAGATGCAGTAAGTGGCTCCACACAGATTTGATCGCAACCTGCCAGAAGCACCATCATTATAGAAGTAAACTGGCAAGGTACTTGCCAAGAAAAACAATAATCTGAGGTAAAATACATTTTCACGACCACAGTTAAATTAACAAAATTTTGGGAATTCCATGAACCCAAGTCCCACTTTTCTAGCAGCAGCTGTGCTAAAAAAGTTTCCAGCTGCACCTCCAACCCATAGTGGGGAAGGTAAAGCCTCAAACTCATCTTCCAAAACACATAAACTTAACAGGCCATTACTTTCTTTCTTATTGACTAAATGGTAAAATTAAAACATTCAACTTGCCTCAGCAGAGGAGTGATTTTATATGGGACTAGAAGATTAATTGGTCCAATTTATTTTCAGAAAAAGCAAGTGATATCCAACTACCCAAATTAATAGTTCTTGGCCACCCCATCCCAGTCATAATAGAAATTAAACAACGTTTTTGGAAATTCATCAATCTCAACTAAACATCTACAGATTGTTTGGATGTTGTAAAAGATGAGTGACACCTGACATTGACTACATCATGACAAATCACAAAACCCATATTATTTACCTGGGTCTTTTGATGGTGCTGGAGTAACAACATGGGGTTTCGCTCTCACATGATGATGACTATGATGACCACGTTTTGGTGAGGGAGAACTTCTAGGGCCTGAAATTGAGAACTTAACATCACTGCAATACCAGCGACTGGAACATCCATGTATTCATATTTTGAAGGGAATACATACCTAGATAAATTGGAGAAGGTGCAGGTGCCAGGGATCCCGAAGAAGGCTTGATTGCCCGTGTTTTGGGTAGTTTTGATGAACCAAAGGACAAACTCATCAGAATCGACCTTGCTGCAAATGGTAGGACAAGCCCAATATGTCACAAATTGGTTACGAGATATATGCATAGCTATCAAAGGAAGTAACTTTAACATGAGGGGAACTAAAACATCGGTGAAGACACCAAATATGCATAAATAGAGCTATACGATTGGCGACCTCAAAGAATGCTCATTTGATGACAATATTTATGTTCAACAGGACAATAAATCCGCTCAAGAAGTTTGTTTCCATATCCATGACAATATATTTCAATAGATTTTAATATCGAACAAAAATTGTGCAGATGAAGGTCGAGCCTGGCAAATGGATTATACAAAAAGATTAGCACCCTTACCGCGTTCCATTGAGAAATCTTTCAAAGATAATGGTAGGTTTGGCAATTGAGAAGGAGACAAGTTAATATTTAAAGACAAATTCCCTGAAATAATAAACAGGGACGTTAGTTTTCTTGAGAAACCGTCACTTATCGAGCATAAACCGAAGAATTAAGCTATTAAAATCATATAAACTAAATTATCCAAGCACTATTTGACTACCACTGTATAATTTAAAAAGCTCAAAACATACCTGAACAACAGAAAATCGAGCTGAGCAGGAGAGTAAAAAGAAGAAGCAGAATCGGAGTTCGCATTGTCCCTCGCCGAACCGAAATTCACATAAAACATCGTCAGAAGCAACCACCTTGGAGCTCGAGAGTCTGGCCGGATAGTGGCCCGAGGTTTCTAGGTTTCCGGCGAGCTTCTCCATCGCATTGCTTGCTCGGAGCGAGGAATCGCATGGTTAAGTTAAGAACGAAAGCGAAAAGAGTAAAGAGTGAAGCATGCGGCGACTAAAACCCTAGAAGTGAGAAGACAAGGCGAGTACTGGGAGTGAGTGGGGGCGTAGATCCATGAAACGCGGCGAAAGATCTAGAAGAAAAGAGAGATGTAGGTAGGGAGGTAGGTGGGTGTATGTATAGAGAGAGAATGTGGGTGTTTTAGAGAGAGGAGGAGAGAGGGAGGGAGGAAGGGAGAGAGAGAGAGAGAGATCTTGACGAGGAAGAAGAAGAAGAAGAAGTAGAGGAGGTTTGAGGGAGACAGTAGGAGTGAGGTGAGGGACTTTATTGCTGCTGTCTGTGAGTTAGTGAGTGAGAGAGTAGTGTTGAGTGCGTAGCTCCAGCGAGACCGGTTTCGGTAAAATTGAATGATGGCTGTCTGATCCACGCGCCAAATTGAACGACGACTGTGTTTCGAACGGGCCCACTTTAACCAAACGCCAATTCCGCGGCCGTTTCGTTCCCTAGCTTCTGTTTTTTAAGTTATTGTTAGCCATAAATTATTGGGGATATTTGGGAAATTCATACTATAAACTCATTTGTTAAATCTTTAATCTTTTTTTTTCTAATTTGATTTCAATTTGATGATAAATGTCGGTCAAATGTTTTATAATGATTCAACTAACTCTTGGTCTAAAATAGAATTGGTAGGTAAACATCCTATTTATATGAAAATACCTTTAAAATAAGGGATACGATTTTCACACTCCCATATTATCCACTTGCACACCGCCTCTATTTTTTCAATATTTTTTTTCAAATTTTTTAAAAAAATATATTTTCATTTTGAGTTCTCAAACTTCCTTGTAGTTTTTGAATAACTTAAACATGTTACCTTAGGGCTTGAGTATGGTAGTTACTTACAAATGGTTACTAAAGGAATATTTAACTTTGGTTTTAGGATCAATATTATAACAAATAACAAGTTTACTACAATTTGTAAGAGGTAGGTGAAACAAAGGAGAAACGTTAAGGATTATATGTGATAATGAAAATACCTAATTAGACGTACACTAGTGATTGACTTACTTTTTTCCAGAAAGTTCTTCTCTCTCCATAAACTCGGAGCTCCTTCACCATATGATTTCCTTTTTGGATCCGAGAGTTTCCCCCAGATTCTCATCGAAAAAATAACGAATCCTTGATTCTCGAGCTTATATGCCCATAATATGTTAAGAATACACTTAACATAAAAATAGAGTTTAGTTATTTTTTTTAGCTCACTTTTGTTCTTCAAGCAGGGAGCTTTGGGTTTTCAAAATCGTAGTTCATGTAAAATAATGCATCATCTGTACTTTTGAGCTCATAAACATTTTGATTACTATAGTTTTAACGAATTTTCCAAACATTGTTTCAATTCAATGTAGCTATGAAGATAGACGACATGCCGCTTATTATTTTCGTTGGGATAAAACAAGAAGATAAGGGCCCGTTCGTTTAAGTTTTCAGCGCCCGTTTTCATTTTCAAAAAACAAAAACAAACCAAGAATCCGTTCGGTGGACTAAAACAGAAAACACTGAGAATGTTTTCATAAAATGAAAACAACATCACGTGTACTTCGGAAAAACAGAAAAAATGTGTTTTCATTCTCACAGAAAACAAACGCCTAAAACATAAACCGAAATGCACAACCCCATCGCTCTACCCAGCAAAACAGAAACGAAACGAAAATCAAACTCACCATGGCCATGATTGTCAGACCATCATCATCACAACCGCCACTGATTCTGCCACTGCCACCAAACCTCACAGACCCAGTCCCCACATCACCACCACCTATCAAACCCAACCGACACCAACACCAACACCACCACCATGCCAATGGAATCAAAACCAAACACCCAATCGAACCCAATACACATCTCGCCACCTAGTAAAAAAGCAATCGACACCTCCACCACCCATACCCAATCAAAGCATCACCATTGCCATCACCACCCAATTAAGAGAGAGAGAGAGAGAGAGAGAGAGAGAGAGAGAGAGAGAGAGAGAGAGGAGAGAAGAGGAAGAAAGAAAAGGAAAAAAGAAAAAAAGAGGAAGAAAGGAACGGCCTGGGAAGGGAGAAGAAAAGATAAAGGAGAGAAGAGGAAGAAAGAAAAGGACAAAAGAAGAAAAGAGGACGGCCTGGGAAGGGAGAAGAAAAGAGAAAGGAGAGAAGAGGAAGAAAGAAAAGGAAAAAAGAAGAAAGGAGGAAGATAAAAAAAGTTTAACTTAAAAAAAACAATATAATTTTTTATTTGTCAAATTATACATTAAAAAAAATATTTTTTAGAACATAAATTAGCAAAAGTACACTTGAAAAATAATTGTACTACCAAACACGTTTTCATTGTTTTTGTTTTCTAAAGATGTTTTCTAATTAATCTACCAGACGCATTTTCATTTCCTGAAAATGCAAATTTGTTTTCTTGTTTTCATTCTCTGAAAATATTCTCAGAAAACACTCTCCGAAAACGTTACCAGACGGGCCCTAAAAGTGTTGCTGGCTGTGAAAACGACGGCGTATGATGTGATAAACTTTAAGGATACACAGATCTGCTCTGTATTTTTATCTCGTTAGCGACTCTGTGAATCGCATCGACTGTTACTCACTGGTTTCGGCATTCCAATCCATCACGATTTCTCATCATCACCATTCCATTACTCATTGTTTCATTCTTCTCCAGCCATCAAATTTCTTCGCCGCCAAAAATCTCTGCTCCTCAGCCACTCCTCTGTTTCAATTCTCAAATCTCTCTTTTTTTTTTTATAGACATCGACGTCTCTCTGTTCTGCCCTTTTAAGCATAAATTATCGTTATCTCATATTTTTCGAGCTCCAAGCTCTTCTGGGTTCGTCTAATTCTTGCCAATATTTTCCTTGGGCACAGCGGTTTACGTTGTATTGGCCTCCATGGTTATTTGCTTCCAGCTTTAAGCTTTTCTGGGTTCGTTTCAATTGTTACCAATATTATCTGAATCTATTTCAATTATCATTGAAGGCCTACCTGCCATGTTGGGTTACCTTCTATGTATTTTTGGCTGATGGGATAGTTTGGTAAGTTTGTAACTTCATTTGGCGTATTGGGAATTGAGACTTATATTGTACTGGTACGTTATTATGTGAACTTCGGTTGGTTTTTACTTCGTTTGTTGTTTGGATACGAGATTGGAGGTTTTGGGGTTTTGTGTGTTTGGTTTCAGAGCTATAAAGTAAAATTGGCAATTGGTCATTTGGAAATTTTCTGTGTCATAAGTTTTTCCAGGGTTATTTGGAAAAGTAGCTCCAATCTTTGGCACTTGGCAGAATATTTGTTTCTCTTTGGGTTATCATGGCTGGTGGAAGAAATGGGGATATTTGAATGCTCGAAGGATTCTTCGCCAAACTCCATTGCCAATGGAGGGATCGCCTAGGCTCGGCCCAAAAGGTCTAATTAAGAAGCACGAGTTTGTAAGAATACTAATTCAGTGCCTATATTCAATTGGCTATGAGAAGTCTGCCTCATGCTTGGAGTTGGAGTCTGGCATTTCGTGCAAATCTGATGATTTTCAATTGCTCGAATCACAGATATCGAGCGGGAATTGGGATGGTTGTGTTGATACCCTTAATGCCATTAAGGATTTGACAGATGACACAAGAGCTGCTGCTTTGTTTCTTGTGTTCAAACAGTGCCTTTTGGAGTATTTGAGTTGTGGGGATGATAAATTGGCTGTGGCCATTTTGCAGAAAGAGGTGTCAGCTTTACAGGTGGACAGAGATAAGGTTCACAACCTTGCTCGGAGTATCCTTTCCTGGAAGGAAGTGGAGCAGAGCAAGATAGACGATAATGCTGTTCGAGAATTGCGAAAAAAACTGTCGCAAGAATTGGAAAAATGGCTTCCTTCACCAATTACGCTGCCTGAGCACAGATTGGAACATCTGGTTGAAACTGCTGTTTTGTCCCAGATTGATTCATGTATGTATCATAATTTGTCAGATGAAGTTTCACTTTATGCAGACCATTCCTGTAGTAGGGATCAGATCCCTACAGAGACTGTTCAGGTGCGATTTCTGGCCACAATGCTTCTGTCTTGAAAAATTAAGTATTAGGTTTCTACTTTTTTGGCTCTGTTGTTCTTCTATTGGATGGCTGATATACACATGAACACTTGTTTTTCATTGGTGCAGATTTTGACTGAGCATAAGAATGAAGTTTGGTTTGTGCAATTTTCTAATAATGGGGAGTACTTAGCCTCTTCGTCAAGTGATTGCACGGCCATCATTTGGAAGGTACCGTAGAGTTTATAAGTATTTATTCTGGTTATTGAATGTTTTGCTTTCATGCTAAAGTTCATTCTTGAAGATGAATTTATTAACCTATATGGTCGGATGTTTTACTTATAGGTATACTTTTTGTGTTATAGACACTGCATGTGTAAAAATCTTAAACTCTCAAAACAGATTATATGGAATCAAGACAATTTAGTTGAGAACTACTGCAGATTTAGAAAGAAAAAAAAAGGGAAGCAGAAAATCTTTTGCAATAAGTAGTAAATCCTGCTTTTAGAATTCATCAAATTTGTGAGGAAATGAAAAATAGTTTATTCTGGTTTTGTAAGAGAGATGCATGAAGGAATCTATTCTTAAGCTACATGAATATAATGCATCATGCCACGTGTTCGAATGCACGATCCAAAGAGCTGTCTGTTCGGTCATAAATTTTGGTAAAGCAATAAAAGCAGTTATATTGTTCCCAAAGTTAGAATTCTAATGTTAATATAACTTTTAAAATGCAAAACCGATATACCATATAGGATCCTAACATATGAATGTTACTTTAAATAGGAATTTCATATTTGTATAAACTCAGTGCTTAAAGAGTGTTTATGTGGAGAAACTAGTAATTCAAATAGCAAAAAAATGACAAAAATAAGACACTAAATTGGATGTCACCTTAATCTTTTGTAATCTTTTGTACTACAATAGAGCTTTGTGGAATTTCATCTTAGCATACAAGTGGTGGAAGATTCCAAGGTGCTAGGGTTTCTAACATCAGTTCTGATATTCTGGGCCAGGTGCCGGAGGATGGTAGGGTGACACTAAAACATACCCTACGGAGTCACCACAATCCAGTATCCTTTGTAGCATGGAGCCCTGATGACTCAAAGTTGCTTACATGTGGAAATGTTGAAGTCCTCAAGCTATGGGATGTTGAAACAGGTACATGCAAGCATACATTTGGGGATCCTGGCTTCATTGTCAGCTCATGTGCTTGGTTTCCCGACTCAAAGCAACTTGTGTGTGGCAGTTCCGACCCTGAAAGGGCATCTACATGTGGGATTGCGATGGCAATGAGTTAAAAGCATGGAGAGGGATGAGGATGCCCAAGATTTTAGATCTTGCTGTGACACCAGATGGGCAAAATCTTATCAGCATCTTCTCTGATAAAGAAATTCGGATTTTAAACGTGGGAACAAATGCCGAACGAGTCATCTCTGAAGACCATTCTATCACATCCCTTTCAATTTCTGAAGATAGTAAGTTCTTTATTGTCAACCTGAATAGCCAGGAGATTCATATGTGGGATGTTGCTGGTGAATGGGTGAAGCCACTGAAGTATATGGGCCACAAGCAGAGCAAGTATGTGATACGCTCGTGCTTCGGTGGATTGAATAGCACATTCATTGCCAGTGGTAGTGAGAACGCACAGGTATGCTTCCCAAATTTGAGCCTATACATATGCTGAGATACAAACCATTCTTGTACCAGTGAACCAAATGGAACCTCACAAGTTAAAGTCATTATCTTCTCTAGGTATACATCTGGAACCGGCGAAATTCTAGGCCAATTGAGGTTTTGCGTGGGCATTCAATGACTGTGAACTGTGTGAGTTGGAATCATAGGAGACCTCAAATGCTGGCATCGGCGAGTGATGATCATTCTATCCGTATATGGGGATCTAGCCTTTCTAATAAGATTCAACCTCAGAAGCTCAGTTGAATGGATCATATCTCCAATTTCACATCCTATGTATATAGCTTTTGTTATTTTCATTCTCTTATTCATTATTGAGTTTGTGAATACCCTTTTTTTTGAAAATTTTGGTACAGATTTCCATTTTAGATACCCTTTTCTGGTTGTCACCGTCTCTAGCATTCTCTAGCATTTGCTAGTCACCATAAACATAATGTTGGAAGTAATACTTTTCCTTTGCCATGCTATGCTAAATATCTGCAAGCTTTGTTTTTTCTGTTTTTCCTTTCTCAATGGATTCGAGGGTTCAAATGTATGAAAATACAACTGGACCAGAAGTTGGTTGGTTTTATGAGTTTTGTTTTCACTCACGGAAGTGGTAAGAACCAAACTCATGACCGGACTTTTGCCGCGCACATGAGTCTACTGTTCCTAGTGAGAGGGATACTTGTAGATCCTGACACTACCTAGAAAATAAGAAGGGAGCAACAAAGCAAACAATAGCGGGCTGGTAATAAAAAGAAGAGGATATAACAAAGAAGAGAAAAGTGACAGGTCGTTTAAGTTTTTCAAATTTAAACATTTATGATGACGTGACACAATAGGATCCCTCCAAAATTTCAGATGGACGGCTGAGATTGGGAAGTAGAAAGTAAGCAGGCGCATCTTCCTCTTCTAAATTAAAAGGGGGCATTTTGGTCAAACGTCATTGACTCCGTTCGGGCTTTTGTAAATCAACCAAGGAAACACAGGCACTGACTCTCTTCTCTTCCTCGTTAGAGAGCGAGAGCCTCATTTTCTCTCTCCTCGGATTCAGATTTCACGCAATTCCTCAAATTCCTGAAATTTGGATTTCAAAAAATTCATCGTTTTCCTATGAAGTCCGATCTTATAATGACGGGACCTTCACGACCGTTCGATCAGACCCCGATTTCTCCCTCGCCGTCCGATTGTTATCACTGCAGGTCCGAATTCGAAACCCTCAATCGTTCATGTACTGCGTTAGGTTCTTATTTGTTTGCCTGCTTGCTGTAATTCGATCTATACGCATACGTGATCTTGGAATTGGCTAAATTTAATTTGATTCCCCAGTAATCTATGAGTTTCGCATTTACGTGATGCTTTTGTATGGTGCATATATGTATAACTTGATTTTTAATCAAATTAGTTCTGATTTACAGCTTCAGAAAAATGATCGATGTGATTGTACGGATAATTCTGTTTTTATTCGTTCATGCTGCTGAAGCTTGATTTCATGAAATTGTTGAATTTGAGTTGTAGTGCAATTCAGAAAACTCCAATCCAATAATCATTGTGTTTAGTTTAAGTTCGACTTTTGGAATTCGTCTTTTAGGTTTTTTAAAATTTCATCCTATCATAGTGATTAGTTGAGCTTTATAGTTCAATGTACCTTTTCAATTCTGTTGGTTAGTGTGAAATGCGTGTTCTATTTGTGATGTTGTTTCAATTCGAGTACATAGAATGGTTCATTGTTGAGGATCAAGTACATAGAACAATAGAATGGATCAGTTAGCGATTGACTTGGTTGGACCGCTAATAAGCTTTAGTAGTGAAACTATTTTATAGCTATGATTGCAGAAAAGGAAAAAAAATTTGTAATGCTGCAGTTTGAGATGTTGATTTAAATTGAGGGATTTGGGTTTGACTATTTAGTGTGAATTGCTGGTTTTAAATGCTATAATATTATAAAAAGAGAGTTCTGATACTTTCTTATATAAATACTGAAGAAAACACATATTACAATGATTTAGAAGGTGGATCTGAAATAATAATAAAAAATTCTTGGATAATTTGAAACCTTTCATTTCCTATAATATTAGTTTTCGTAAAGTTTAATTAAACAATTTACACTAAAATTCAATCCACATATCAAAATGCAACCCTCAGGTATGTTTTTACTCATATGATGTTCATCTGAATCAGTGAACTTCTCAATTTTGTTAGTGGCAGAAATGTGGTTGGCTTGATAGCACGGAGAGAGATTTCTCCTAGAGCAAGACATGTACCGAGAAGGCGGTGGGGAGAATCTTCTAAAAGGAAAACTGGTTCCTCCTCTGGGCCTAAGTGCGAAGCAACACGAGATGCAAAACGTGGCCTTCTTTCATGGTACCTACAGCTCTCCTTTCTAACTTTTATCAAGCAGGTTTGAGTATGAGACTTTCTGTGTGTTCTATATAAGGTTATCAAAGATGCTCTGTTGTTTTTATTGAATCTGTATTTATTGATCTTTCAGGGTTGAAGCAGAGTCACTTAAGCATTTGTCAGCCAAGTACTGTCATTTAGTGCCTCCTCCAAGGTCAACTATTGCAGCAGCATTCAGCCCCGATGGAAGAAAACTTGCTTCGACACAGTAAGTTGTCCAATTATTGAGTTTTTTGGATTTGAATACTTGCTCATATCTGTATTTGATCTTTACTCTTTTTAATTTCTTTTGATACTTTCAGTGGTGACCACACTGTAAAGATAATTGATTGCCAAACTGGCAGCTGCTTAAAGGTTTTGAGTGGCCATAGACGGACACCTTGGGTGGTAAGTTTGGCTTGTGCAATTGCAGACTTATTTATTCTTAGTTTTCTTGCTAATTTGTCATATTCTACTTTAATAGTTGCATTTTGCTTTATGAATTCTTTAGTACAGAGTGAAATCTATTAAAACGGTTTTTTTTTTCTTTTCTGAAAAACCAAATACATATCAAATAAAGTCTTACCCATTTATTTGACAGATGATATATGAACTAGCTGTTCCAAAATTTTAATAATTAACTAATTAATAGCTACAATATTTACCTCTGGGGTCTTTTTTTGTTAATTACTAACTTATCAGGATTGTATTCTACTTGTCTTATGTAATAATAACTCTGTCTTTCCGATGCATCCAAAATCCAAACCACTAATTATGATTATTATTTTCACGTGGAAGTAACTAATGGAACTCTTACAGGTTAGGTTCCACCCCTTGCATCCTGAAATAATTGCTAGTGGAAGTTTGGATCATGAAGTTCGCTTATGGGATTTAAACACATCAGAGTGTATAGGATCTCGCGATTTCTGTAATTCCAAAACTGCAATGTTTTAATTAGTAACTGCAGTTCTTTTTTGACCAATTGTACATTTTCCCTAAAGTTCTGATATAGTTATTATTTTTGCTGACTCTGTCCTCAGATCGACCTATTGCATCTATTGCTTTTCATGCCAAAGGGGATCTCCTAGCTGTTGCATCAGGACACAAGGTGTTGATTCTTTTTATTATGGTTCTTTGTTATATCATATATAATCCTTTATGGTAAGTAATTGCTTTATAAATTTGATAACACTGACGTACAAAATCCCGTTTCAGTTGTATATATGGAACTACAATGGGGAGCGTTCCTCTCCAGACATTGTATTGAAAACATGGCGTTCACTTAGAGCAGTGCATTTTCACCCCCAAGCTGCTCCATTTCTCTTGACTGCTGAGGTAATTTTCCAGAGGGTACTTAAATGATTAACCGCTCCAGCTATCATATAGATTACATTGTTAAACTGATATGCAGGTCAATGATCTTGACTCTTCAGATTCCTCAATGACACTAGCAACATCTCCCGGCTACTTGCAATATCCAGCTCCTGCTGTTTTTGTGGCAAATGTTCATTCTAGCGAGCGTCTTAGTTTGGCTGCTGAACTACCACTTCTGTCCTTGCCTTTCGTCTTCGTGCCGCCATTTGTAGATGATCCAAGAATAGAAATGCAGTGTGAAAATGGGCCTACTGGTTCAAATAGCATGCAAGTCACTTCTGCTTCAATGCAGTTTCAAGCAGATGTAAATGCAGCAGAGCTGGATGGTAGCACAGCTTCTCCCATGGAGACATTTTCAGCAGTTCAAACTGCCTCCCATTCGAACGCTGAAGAAAATGCAGATAATTCTCACCTTAATGGAACAGTAAGTGGTGTTTGTGACCGCACAGGAGATTCAATGGAGACTGATGAGATGCAGGGTGTAGGGGGAAGCCAACGTGGAAGCTTTACTAATTTAGATTCTGCTAATGATAGAGTACCAGAAAATATTTCAAATCATCTTGATTTTGGGCAACCTCATAGTAGTTTTCCTTATAGAGATCCAGCATTTTGGGAGCTACCTTTTCTCCAAGGGTGGTTAACTGGCCAGAGCCAAGTTAGTTTTCCCTCGATGCTACCTCTTAATCATGATGGGCATGACACTTCTAGTTTAATGTCGCATCTGTCTGCTCATAATGTGGAGGCTGTGGCAGCTTCTTTAGCAATGCCAGGAAGCACCAGCCTATCTGGAGTTTCTGGAAGATCTGGTTTACAGCACTATTATCCGCATTTCCGCTACTCTGTACCAGATTCTGGGGATGATGATGCTTCTTTAAATACCGTACATGATGGGAATGATACTCAGCCCATTATTAGTAGAATCCAGTCTGAAATTACTACATCACTGGCTGCTGCAGCAGCTGCAGAGTTACCATGCACTGTGAAGCTAAGTGTATGGTCACATGATATAAAAACTCCTTGTGCTCCGCTCAATGATGAAAGATGCCGCTTAATCATTCCCCATGCTGTTCTTTGCAGGTACATCCTTGGTATTCCTTTTTATTCTTTTTCCTTTTTCTGGTTTTAGCTTCAGCATTGTGGTGGAAATGACAACCTTCTAACATCCTTATTGAACACAGTTTTAATTGGATGCATTTTATGGATTTTTCCTGCTTAGCTTGTCATTATGCTTATGTAATACCTTCTTTGGGCTGTGTTTGCTTTTGCAGTGAAATGGGTGCTCATTTCTCACCTTGTGGGAGATTTTTAGCTGCCTGTGTTGCATGCATGCTGCCTCATACGGAAGCTGATTTTGGACTACAAAGTCTAGTCCATCAGGATTCTGGAATTGCAACATCCCCAACTAGGCACCCAATCTCAGCACACCAAGTCATGTATGAGCTTCGCATATATTCACTTGAGGAGGCAACGTAAATTTCTAATCCTTTTGTCCACTCTTTCTTATTTCCTTTATTCTCTTATTAACATCTATTATTTGAATTGTTCAATATTCTCTTGCAGATTCGGGTCAGTACTTGTGTCTCGGGCTATCAGAGCTGCACATTGTTTGACTTCAATCCAGGTTAGTTTCATAGGAAACTTGACTCCTATCTGCTTTTGTTTCTATTTATAGGCTGGTGCTTTCTGTCATGCTGTTATTACCTTGGACTCATTTTCTACTGTGCATTATAAGGTCGAAACTCATGGTTAAGTTGGATAATGACTCTTTTTTTTCTTTTTCTTTTTTTTGTGTGTGTCCATTTCTGAAAGCTGTTTAGCCAACCATAGTGTCACTGACGTCAAACTGAATATGTTCCTGTTCCTTTGGTACTTATAGTTGATTTAAGAGCAAATATAACTTTGTTGTTGTAAGTTTCAACTAATAGTACTTTTGATTTCTATGGTACATTTCAGTTTGAGTTGAGCCTCTTTTTTGATGTTTTGCCTGCAGTTCTCACCCACGTCTGAGCACATATTACTTGCCTATGGTCGACGCCATGGCTCTCTTCTTAAAAGTATTGTCATTGATGGGGAGACAACCTTACCTATTTACACTGTTCTTGAGGTGAATTCCAGTGTCTTCCCTCTTGTTCTATAGCTGAGAAGATTCTGTTGTTTAGCTCACTTTCTATGTTAGTTCTTTTGGGAAGTCTTAGTTATCGTCATTTCTTTATTTATTAGGTCTACAGAGTTTCAGATATGGAGCTTGTGAGAGTACTTCCTAGTGCAGAGGATGAGGTTAATGTTGCTTGCTTTCATCCCTTTGCCGGTGGAGGTCTGGTTTATGGAACCAAGGTATGCTTTTGACTTCTCAGAAATCTTGGACTACCAGTCTAATATCTCTTTTTCCCCTTTTTGAATGCTAATTTTATATAAATTGCAGGAAGGGAAGCTCAGGGTACTCCAGTTTGATGGTGCTCATGGTGGGAACTCTGTTGGACCAAATTACTTTACAGAGGAAAATATGGCCGTTGCGTTATAGCGAGCAAGGTTGTAGCATGTTCTTCCTTTCTACATATCTTGATGAGTTTACCTTCTGCCTTTATAATGGGTGCCAATAAATTTGTCATAGTTTGGGGTGTGTGCACACGCATTTTTCGGGTTTTGTTTTTGCGGGGATGGGTGGATGCTAAGAGCTTTACTTTCTGCATGATCAAAGTTGTTGTCTTCAATATTTTCCCATCATTTTAGCCTTAGACTAAATGTGTCATATGTTGGTACCATAAGGGACCTTTCAAACGCCCAAGAAGAAAACAAGAGCAAACAAAATTACATATTTGGGCTCACTTGTTTACTGTATGCGATTGTCCCTTCCAGGACATCCAATTCACTGTGTGCGATCTACTCTCAGATAGAATTGAATTCCTCCTCTGTTTAGATTTTTGAGGAAAAATGGTTCTGAGAATTGCTTGCTGAGCATATATTATGAACTCCAAAAGGCCAGCCTTTTTTTCCTTCAGGTAGATGTGTTTTCGTCTATTATCAATATTTGCATGCTTAAATTGTGATTGATTGAGGTTTTTTGTTTTATCTGTTTAGTTTTGGATTTGGTCAATATTTTGGATGGAGCTGGTTCTGGATTGTATCAATTGTTTTAAAGTTGATGTGTATTTGTGTTTGTTTGGCCTTGAAAGTAATACATTAGGGTTTCAAATGGTGGTTTTGGTTTTGTTTGGTGTTTTTGTTGTTTTGGATGAAAATTGCTATAAATTCATATCATCTATTTGATATGTGATTGTTCTATATTTTCCATGTCTGGTAATGTGGAAGAGGCAAAATCCAAGAAACTAGACTAGAACGTGTGCCATCTCTTTTTCACCTCCCTGCATGACTTGAATTCTTGCTCTCACTCCTATATATATCCGCCCTAAGTCTTTTGTTTGAATGTTGAGACTGATGGAGGCATGGCATTTTGATATGTGCTTGTAGGACCCATGACATTGTAGATATTGGGAAGAAAATTCTGGAACAGCTTCTGCAGTTTGTGCCACATAGTTCCAGCTCTATGTGCTTCTCTCAAAACATGTTTTGTGGAGTTCAAAATGGGATGATGATGTGCAGAGGACTCATATAAACCAGTGAAAGATGGCCGGGGTCCCAAAAGGCGGAGCAATGAGCTTCATTGAGATTGATGGCGGTGGTTATGCACTTACAGGTGATGACTAGAGAGATGAGAGTTTCATGCTGTACATATAACCATGTTTGATCGATTAACAGACCTTTTGAAGTTGATTTTGTATTTGTGTAATCGTATCAAATTGTGAAGTGCAATTTTGGATACGGAGACTTAGTATTCTCAAGTTCTAAAGAATTAATCAAGAACTCCCATAATCTTTATATACACCAAAGAAAAACTCCAATAATCTTATTTCCTCGTCCTTGTAACTTGTTGGTTTTGTGTTACATTTAAGGCTCGGTCACAGATTCGACAAGCATACAACCGATGATGAGGACCAGAGTATTCTCTGATTTACGAGGGATGCAAACCTTGGCGGTAACCCTTCGTTATTCAGGTGAAATTAATGTTAAACAGAGAAACTTGGAGGTGGAGCGTTGGTGAAGACGCGTGATGATGGTACCCCTTGTGGCTTGCATCACCATCTAAGCGAATTTGGATCAGGTAGCAGAGGAAAGTACCCCAACAGCATATTCCAGCTAAGCAAACAAAAAAGAATGGGATCCGAAGCCCCGGAAAATCAATTTATCCAGACGACCTTTTGGTCCTTTGGTCTTGTACCATCCTTTTACCAAAACAAGAAACCCTAATACTTACAGAGACATCGTACTTTCCATCCATCTCATATTATACCTATTAAAATATTAAGTCTTAACGTATTTTTAAGAGTTAGGGTTTGGTGGTTTTTGCATTGATTTAATCCCCCAGTTCTTATCCTTTCCCACTGCTTCCAAAATAAATGGAAGAGATTTGAATCTCTAAATTTTTTTAAAAAATTGTTACTATCACTTAACTGCAGGGTCTTTGATAATTAATTTGAAATGCTAATAACGGGGTTTTTATTTATTTGGGGGCAAGAAGACGTGCTCAATGTCTTAGCCAACTGGTCTACGCCATGTATATAGCAATAGCGGGTTTCTAAATTAAAGTCTAAAAGTCGCCAATGGAGCCTAATAATGCATTAACTTGCAAATTAATAGTCTTAGGTTCAAATCTCTATAACACTTTAGTAGTGTGTGAAAAGTCTCATTTCCTTGTAGTTAATCGCTTGTACACAAAAAAATAATAATAATAAAATAAAATCTAAAAGTCAAGTGGTTGTTAAAAGTCTTAAAAGTCGAATTTTGCACAATTAACGGGGGCATATGCATTGTGCTAGCCTAGTAGAACAGACGGGTGTCTAAATCATCCTTACAAAAGGGAATTTCTTTTTCTAAAAAAAATCCCGTTTGACCAGTCAAAGGAACATTAAAAGCTAATATCAATACGTAAAAGAGGATTAGTTCCAATGGGACATGCATTGACTAATTGTTTTCCTTTCTTTGACTACTCCTAGAAGAAGATCGAAATTCACTAAACTTACAAAACTAAAAACCATAATCAACAAAAAAAAAAAAAAAAAAAAAAAAAAAAATCATCAAAAAAAAAAAAAACAAACACCCACCCCCCCCATAAAAAAATGAATAAATTATAAAGAATTAACTTGAGGTAAGGGAAGCTAATAAATCAGTAAAAGAAGGCAATGATCTGATGATACTAAGAAGAAGATGATGATGATTCGAATTTGTAGTGTTTATCAACGGCCACAGATACATCCCAAGTGCAACTCAGTCCCTTTGGGATGGTGACAAGGTCTCCAGCCCCAAACTCCACAGCTTCTGATGACCCTTTTGGATATGCCTTCACTCTTCCCTTCAACAAATAACATGTCTCCTCTGCATCAAATTTCAGCTGGTACCTCCCTGGGGAACAACCCAACTAATTAATTCCAAAAAAAAAAAAAAAAAAAAAAAAAAAAAACCCAACAGTTATTATAATTTATATATGGAGAGAGAGAGAGAGAGAGAGAGAGAGAGAGAGAGTTACTTGGGCCAGCACTTGATGTCCAGTTGGGAGAGGCGAGATTCAGAAGGGTTTCTTTCAACTGTGATTCTGAGGCTTGAGGAGGAGGAGGAGGTTGATGAGCAGGGTTCTGCAGCCATGAAAATATAAGAGGGGAGCAGTGAGTGCTATTGTTTTGAGGGAAGAACAACAGTGTTGGGAAGAACTGATATATATTGGTTGAATTTTTTGGCTGCATATAAGTTGTGAGGATTTTGAAGAAGCTTAAAGGAAAAGGGAATCTTTTACATGGAAGGAGAAGGATAAGAAAGCTTAATATATAGGGAAGGGGACAAGATATTGGTATTTTTCTCTTATTCCTTCCTCCTCATTATTTACCATTGACTTATCACATGCATCATGTCATATTCACAAATTATATTTTCGATGCTTAAATTCAAATTATAGTAGGTGGTAATAGGTCTTAAGCGATGTGACCACTGCCCTCATATTCACGAATAAGAGTCTTCCGTAGTTCCGTACTTTTTTTTTTTTTTTTTTTTTTTTTTTTTTTTTTTTTTTTTTTAAAGAGTAAACGATAATTGTATTCATAACTTAAGATATCGAGACCATCAGTCATAAGGGCATAAACCACCCAAAAAAAGTTAATATAAATATAGAAGCACATCAACCACACATGGTTATTCCAAATACAGAGAAATACATCACAAGATTTATCTCCATTAATAGTGGCATCAAGCCAAACAATTTCGCATGAAAATCGCAAACCTGAACAAAGCAAACATAACAAGAGTTTAATTTTTTTTTTCTTTGAATTCAAAAGAAAAATCAAATCAAAACTAATTCTAGGGTTAAGTTCATGCACACAAACCCTTATATGGTAGGTGGTTGGCTAGAATTTCTTAGTTATGGCAAATGGGGCAAGAGGGCCAACCCATGCAAGCAACACCCTTGTGCACAAGGAAATTTACATGTGCTATATTAATTAGGCGGTATTAGAAACATCATTTTCAGGTACAACTTTGTGTCCACAATAATAATTTGCCATTGACTTATATAAAAACCATATTATATATTTGAATATCACAATAATTTTTAGGGAGTTTCACTAAAACATCCAAAATGGGGCTGAAATTATAAAAAAACCCAACACCCAAAACACTTTATAAACACACCCAAAACCCATCATTATACACACTCAAAACCCATTTATAAATACACCCAAAAAATATACAATTGTAGATTTTGGGGTTGATTTTGGGTGTGTTTCTATGTTTAAATAGTGCTTGGGTTTTTTTATAAATACATGTCTAAGATTGGGTTTATTTATAAATTTGTATAATTTTTAATTGTGGAATGTCACACACAAGTGAAAATTTGTGTGTACTAAATTGTTAATTGATGTTTTAAATTTTTTTTTATAAAAAAAATTGCCTATCATAATTGATGTATCCATTAAAGCTAAATTTGTAAAAATATCACTCACCGGTCAAACGGTTTGACTGGAAATCCAACATACAGAGAGTACGTGGCTGTAAATGAGTGGTATCAAAGTTTGACCGGGAATCGTGATCTTGAAGATACCGACATTGCTCTGTCAGACCTTTTCGTTTGGCTCCATCCATGTCCATGATGCCCCATGATCTATATATCTTTTGGTTTTATTTACACCATCCCCCTCCAACAAGCAATTTTGCACGTGCCACTCCACGTCAAGTCATCGTCACGTCATACTCGTATACAATACTCGGTCGACTAATTATTGATTTAATGATATTTCTCTATTTTAGCATCAAAAAAGTCTCAAATTCGAATATCTTCTATTTCAAAATTTCTATAACAAAATTATTGTTTATCACACCATTGTTATATGAAGAAGGGTTGTCTTCAATTTTGGCTGCCCATTGTATTATAAAATTCATCGAATTTGTCTCTAAATTAATGTGTGTATGCATGTACGTATAAAAATGGTGGGTGCGATGCACTTTGACTTAGTGCCTGCACATTTGATACCTTTGTGAATGATGAGCTGCCCCAATTGTTAATAATATCTGCACGTTTTGAATGTTTCGAAGGAACATAAGAAAAAGACTCTGCATCACTCAAAGTCAAGACTCAACTAGGGCAATATACATCTAGTCTAGGCATCATCTTCATAAAGGTTTAGAAGTTTGGATCACCAATGAAGGACTTCAAGAAGCATGTATCATCGTTCACGGGCTTGTGAGTTATTTGATTGTATACACGTTTGTAGCATTCTTCGAGTACTTGATAGTCAATTGTGTATGCACACATAAATGATTTATAATTATTAACTCATATCAATAGTTTGTGCATTTATTAATTGATGATCCACGTAGCCTAACAAAACTCATTCATTAGCTAACTAAACCCACACTACATGAATGAGCTGACGTAAGTTAGGCCAGTTGGATAATGTATGAGATATTAGAGCACTTCCACTCATTTGTCATGGCAAAGGGCAAGTGTTGTTACTATTCACGTGAATAGTGCCAACTCTTGCAAAAGGCTTGTTGTGCTTCTTGTATTGCCATGACGATTCAAGGGCAACTATTATTCACATGAGACATGAGAAAAAGAATTTGTATAGAGTTTTGGTGTGGGAAGTGAATAATATGGCTAGGTATTTATTTTAAAAAAAAATTCTGAAAATTTTGGTTTTTTTTTCAATATTTTATTTTATTTTAAAAATTTGTTGATGACGTCAGCTGCCCTTAGGCACGAGCTCAGATTCCTTTTGACTTTGGGCTTGCCTGAGTTGTTGGTCCCCACCATTTGCCCGGGCTGTAGAAGCCCGCTGGAAACTGCAAACTGGGCTAAGGCCCCCTCCTGCTAGGGCTTTACCCTTGCGCTGGAAGTGCTCTTAAAAGCAGTCTCCTCCTTTGCCTGTTTTAATCATGGGTTGGGTTAATTGAAGGAAGTGATCTCTTAGACCATATGAAGTCTCAATGAGCCCAAAGATATTTAGGTTTCATTAACTCAAAGGACATCCATTTCGATTTCAGGCCCAATAGATCGTAGGGCCCCAGAAAAGGAAACCCAATTCTGAAAACCGATTTGAGCCCGCGGATCCGGGGCAGTAGTTCATCATTAGAGCTCGTTTTGTCCACTCCACACACACTTCAGTCTTCACATTCCGATCCCCACATTTCCTCTATCTCTCCGTTTCGCTTTTTGGTTTCAGTCAAATCCATGGCTACCCAAGGTCAAGTCATCACCTGCAAAGGTAGTCTCTCTCTCTCTCTCTCTCCTTCTCTCTGCTTCTATTTCCTTCTCTCTCTGTATATGTATATGTATATGTATTATGTTGTATTTTTGGAAGCATGAAATGGTTGGTTGATTGTGAATATGTTTGTTGGTGATGGTTTTGGGTGCAATTGAACTTGTGAAGCGGCGGTGGCCTGGGAACCCAATAAGCCATTGGTGATCGAAGACGTACAGGTAGCTCCGCCTCAGGCCGGAGAGGTCCGGGTCAAGATTCTCTACACTGCTCTCTGCCACACCGACGCTTATACCTGGGGTGGTAAGGTAAAAGCTTTTCCATTTCTCCTTGAGTAGATTTGATAAAATTTACACTTGCTTGCATTCATAGAACAAAAAGTGATCTTTGTTTGGTTGATATAATATTTCATTGTTTATGTGCATCTAGTATTTGGTGGCGTAAGCAATTATTGTGAATTTAGTGAAAATGGGATGTTAACCTATTCAAACTTTTGTTTTTATTTTGGTTTTGAAGCTTTAGATAACTGGCCTTTAGGCATCTGATCAAAATTTTAGTTTCTAATTACCTGCTGTTGTAAAGATGTTGTGTATAAATTATTATATACCAAATAACCAATGGAGGCATTGTAAATAATGTCTGGAATCAACCATGGCTGATATATATTTAGGTGTGTGTGGTTTGATAGAAATGACTGCATACAATAATTATGAAGATTTAAGGATTTTTTGGGATGGTAGGAGGGAGCTTGAATTATTAATAGGGGTGTCAAGTCGAAAGATTCAAATGGCAGCAAAAACATGGCTTTTTGAAAATTTGAATCATATATGAAGATGAAAACTGGTCAGATTGATTGTCAATTTCTTTAGATGGAAATGTATTCTGATTTCTCTTCATTTTCCTTGCAGGATCCTGAAGGTCTCTTCCCTTGCATTCTTGGTCATGAGGCTGCAGGGTATGTTAGTTTATGCATGCAGTGTCATGTATTAATAGTTTATTGTGCCTTTGGTGCTGAAATGGGACCCTCTTCATCTTGATGCAGGATTGTTGAGAGCGTTGGTGAAGGTGTTACTGAAGTTCTGCCAGGAGACCATGTCATCCCTTGTTACCAGGCAGAATGCGGAGAATGCAAGTTTTGCAAATCAGGGAAGACAAATCTCTGTGGAAAAGTACGTGCTGCCACTGGAGTTGGAGTCATGATGAGTGATCGCAAGAGCCGTTTCTCTGTTAATGGAAAACCTATCTATCATTTTATGGGAACATCAACATTCAGCCAGTACACAGTTGTTCATGATGTTAGTGTTGCGAAGATAGACCCAAAAGCTCCACTGGAGAAAGTATGCCTTCTTGGATGTGGTGTACCTACTGGTAAGGATAATAGCATTTTCTTTTTTAGCTATTCTTGGTTAATGTATTTAACCTTTCATTAAACGTACATCTTAATTCTATTTATTTCTTTTTAAATTCTATTACTGGTTATATTGATGTAGCATGGAGTTTCACAACTGCAGTCCAAATAAATGGCCTCGTCCTTTTTATGGTGAAAAGAAAGAAGATTGTAGTTATAAAGAAGCATGGTTTTGTTGACATTGTAATGACTGTATTTTACATTTTTGGGGTTTCTGTATGCATGACTTAAGACTCATCTTATGCCTCTATCCTGATTATTAATATGTGTGTGCCTGTGTCCGACATATGCTAGGTCTTGGAGCTGTTTGGAACACGGCAAAAGTAGAATCGGGATCAATTGTTGCTATTTTTGGCCTTGGGACCGTTGGTCTTGCTGTAAGTTGTTAATCGGACCTTAAGTTAATAAATCTGTGCTGAGTTCTGAACTGTGATGAACTAGTTGCCATAACTTGACAGGTTGCAGAGGGTGCCAAAACAGCTGGTGCATCACGAATAATTGGCATTGATATTGATAGCAAAAAGTTTGATACAGGTACATATTAGGTTCTACCATATCAAACCCTTACCATAGTAAACAGTGTTTTATAATTGATTGTTTTCGCCTGTATGTTCATGATGAAAGAGGCTCTGGTTATCCATGCTTTGGAACAAAGTTGTTGTCACCTGATGGGTGAAGGAAAAGTTAACTTCTAGTTTTGAGGGAATAAGGAATGAAGGGTATTAGGAAACTAATTCCAGTGGAAATGGGTAGTCAGAATAGGTCACATTCACAGTCCTCAAAGACATTGTGTATCGGGATATATTTTGGATTCATCCAAATAATTTTGAAGTACCTGTAGTTTGCCTTTTGTTAGTATTATACTTTTATTTCCTGCATCAGGGGCTCATTTTCTTCTGTTATTTAACTTATCTTCAGCTTATTTATGTTAGTAATGTCTTCTCTTGAATTCATTTAGGAAGGTTTTTATGCATTTTAAAGTTTACACTCTTGCAATTTTTTATTTGCAGCAAAAAACTTTGGAGTTACTGAATTTGTGAACCCAAAGGACCACGAGAAGCCAATCCAACAGGTCCTTGTTGACCTCACTGATGGTGGCGTTGACTACAGTTTTGAGTGCATTGGAAATGTCTCGGTGATGAGAGCTGCCCTGGAGTGTTGCCACAAGGTGAGTGCTTTTTTGACTGGTGGCTCAAATTGTTGTGTATAAAACACATCTTGAGGTCGCTCAAACAATTTGCAGGGCTGGGGAACATCTGTTATTGTTGGTGTTGCAGCATCAGGACAGGAGATCTCCACTCGCCCTTTTCAATTGGTGACTGGTCGTGTCTGGAAGGGAACAGCCTTTGGTGGTTTCAAGAGCCGCTCACAGGTGCCTTGGCTTGTAGAGAAGTACTTGAAGAAGGTAATTGCTTTTGACAAATAATCGACAGTATGAATTCCTTTACAACAAGTATGTAACTTATAACATCATGCTCTTGCTTGTTGAAGGAAATCAAAGTTGATGAGTACATCACCCACAAGTTGACTCTTGGGGAGATCAACAAAGCATTTGATTTGATGCATGAAGGGGGATGTCTCCGGTGTGTGCTTTCTACGGATGCATGAAGGGGGATGTCTCCGGTCCGTGATTTCTACAAATGTGTGAGGGATTCCACTTAGGCCTATGCCAAGTTTCTCATGGGGTGGAACTTTATCTTGCCTTTTCCTTTTATCTAAACCCTTTTAGTGGCAAGAGTTTTAAAAATAACTTTCCGGTGCTGCTTTGGTAAGTAAAAGAACACCCGACTAGTTTGTTGCTTGTTATATATTAAGAGGCCTTTGCTCGGCTTATTTGTGTAGAAAAATAAAACAGCATTGTGGTTGTGCTTGCTATATTATGTGTATGGTTGGAATGATTTGCCGAAGAATGATCGATATTCTGGGTGGTTTATGTAATGGTTCCATATTATTAGCAGTCATGAAGCCTGTCAACATTTTAAGAAAATAAGCCTCTTATAATTATTGTTGGTAAATCCTTGTTATTGTATGAGAATTTGGAGAATTAGAAGTCAGTTTGTATAGAAAGTTTTTCGGTGTCGCAGTTGGATTAGGATTAGGTTTCTCCCCATACCAATGCTTTCTCCTATAAGAAACTTCAAATCCATAACAATAATAATAATAATAATACAGAGAATTGGATCGATGTAATAATAATACAGATAATAATAATAAGTTCTGAAGAAATCATACACGAAATCTTCTACCTTCATCCACACCCATCTGATCACCCGAGCAATCGAATTAACTCCTCCTTCAAGCTCATAGATACGGGCTTTACTCATTGTTAAGGAGTAAGGACGAAGGCCATGCATATCATTTACGCTTAGAACTTATAATAAGGTCTTAACAAATTCTGTGTGTATCATTTGCGCTTAGAACTTAGATGTAGATTCTTTGACATTTAATACTTATGTCGATTTTACCCTTTGAGGAAAATAAGGAAAACTTATTAAAAATATAAATTTAATGCATTATTTCCTTGTAATTGAATTTCAGAATTTAAATTTTGAATTCTTTCCTTGGTAATATTTATCTAATATATGGACAAAATACAATTTAATCAATCAAAAGTAAGGATCCACATATTATTCCAATCGATTAGACAAGCACCCATATGAAATTATGTACATGACATACATGTAAATAGTGTTATTATTAGCAACGAAAAAAACTTAGTGATAGCAATACCACCAGATGGTGAAACCCGACATAGGTCCCATTTTGGTAAAGGTCGAAGTTGCGTGGTTTCCGGGTACAGTGAGTGCCTTGCTTTTTTTGAAAGCTGTCCGTCTTCCGGAGGAGTTTGGATTCACATGTGGGTGATGAAAGAGGATGGTGTGGGCAAATCATGGGCTAAACTATTTGCAATATGGCTGCAACTGGAAACGGAAGACGGGACAACGGTTAATTTGGTTGGTATTAGAAACAGTGGTGAGCTTGTGCTCAGAGTCAGAGTGAGTGGTAAAGAAGATGATCAATGTTTGTCTGTGAACCCTAAGACCAGACAAGTTAAGAATTTTCGAATTGAGAAGAAGGCAGGCACATGTCCATGGGTGCTTTTACAGAGAGCCTTGTCTTTCTTGCCCAACCCAATGTAAATACTACTAAAATTAGCAACTATATTAACGTTGGAAGATTTGCTTTCTTTCACTTAGAATTAATGTGTTCTTTTATTTTCTTCAAATCTATTTGAGTGTAAATTATATTATCATTCTATGATATTGAATTGATAACCAATAATCTAATTTTATTTTTGACTAGCCCCTTGGCACATGCATGGTTTTATTTTTTATTTTTTTATTTTATTTTTATAATTAAGAAAAGATAATATAGGTAGTTATATTCCATAAAAGTAGGACCGTTTAATTAATATTTTACCATATTATCCTCATTTAATTAATAATTTTAATTCTTAATGTTTGAATTAATCAAGGGCATTTTCTAGTATTTTGAATGTTTCACCATTCTTTGCTTTTTGCTTTATATATATAGATTTGTTGGAACAAATAACACAAGCAGATGTATTTTTTAAAGCAGTTTTCCGCATATTAATTAGAACAGATCGATTCAGATTTTGTTTAAAAATGTTGGTGTTACAAAATGCACTGTTTTCTTATATATGCTAATTTGTCAAATTTTCGGATATTCTCTCAACACAATTTCACCAATTAATATTCGGTAAGAAACACATAAGCATCATAAAAGAAACACACTCTTTGATTAAAATTATGAAGAACACATAATTTGCTAGTGATCCGATTTGGATTTAGAACCCATTGAGCAGCTGATTGTGAGACTTCTTTGATCGGGTTTGGACCTATTTACTTTCTGATACTTGCCTTCTCAGATTTCAATCAACTAACTTTGATTGCAATCTATTTTCAATGGCCACCGTATTATTTTTTTATTTTTTTCCCTTTTCTGCCAGCTATTTATTTATTTATTTATTTTGAAAATTTAATGCCAAACAGTAATTATAAAGCAGCACGGTTTTCTTGACAAAGTAATGACTGCATTTTACATTTTTGTGCATGATTTAAGACTCATATGACTCTATCTTGATGATGAGATATATATATATATATATATATAGAGGGAGATTATATTTATAAATTAGTCATAAGCGCAACACAAATAAAACACAGAGAGATCTAATCACGGCATCAAACTTATATGGTACACCTCCACTTAAGCCACACAGAAAGAAAAAAGGATTAGGTTTATGAAGGTGTTATTATAGGATTAGGATTAGGATTAAGAAATTTAAAAGGATTAGGTTTCTTCCCAGACCAAGACTTTGCCCTATATAACCTTAAAATAAAACCCCAAATCCATGTACATATGACTAATAATACAGACAAGAGAATTGGATCGATGAAGGTTCCTGAAGAAATCGTATACGAAATCTTGCTTAGGTTACCCGTCAAGTCTCTACTTCGGTTCACGACAGTGTGCAAGTCATGGAATTGTATGATCAAAAGCTCTACCTTCATCCACACCCATCTCAAATCCAACCATCGAAACGACGACGTTCAACTCCTACTCCACCATCCTGAATTTGATATTTACTCATTGTACAGGGACGACGACAACAAAGACGACGGCCGTGCATGTGCATCATCATCTACGCTTATAGAGTATAGTACCGAACTTGACAATCCTTATGCATATTACGCCGAACGCACTGGAACCAAGACCTGGGGATCCGAGTTTGTGGGAACTTGTAACGGGCTCGTGTGCATTGCTGGGAAAGACATTGACTTGACCACATTAGTTTGGAACCCTAGCATCAGAAAGTTTGTGGTTTTGCCCAAGTCTGGTGTTACCTTTTGTCATGAATATCATCATCGACAAGGAATAAGCTTTGCCTTTGGCTACGACAGGCGAGCCAATGACTATAAGGTCTTACGAAGAGTGTCTTGTTTTCGAGGAGGCCCATTGGTCTCATGTCAATATGAGATTTGGTCGTTAGCCAAGGGCACTTGGAAGACTCTAATCAATACTGCCAATGATCGTCATCAGGAACTTGACATTGGAAACCGGTACTTTGAGGCTGGTCATCCGCCTGCTTTTGTCAATGGTGCTCAGCATTGGCTTCAAGCCAACGTGAGCACCTGGAATATTTCCATTTTGTCATTTGATATGTCCGGTGAAGTGTTCAGCAAGATAGCCATACCACCAGAAGCTGAAACAAGAATATGTTTGGATTTTAATCGAGATTGCGTGGTTTCGAGGTACAAAGAGTCCCTTGCATTTTTCGAAAGCTGTCTGGAGAGGAGGCAAAGTGGTTTGGTTCTTCGCATGAACATGTGGGTCATGGAAGAGTATGGTTTGGCCAAATCATGGACTAAACTATTTGCAATATGCCTGGAAGGGCGTACTTGTAGACTGGTTGGTTGTAGTAAAAGTGGTGAAGAAGTTGTGCTCAAACTAAAGGTTGATGATGATATCGTTGAATATAAATCTGTGAACACCAAGACCAAACAAGTTAAGAATTTTCATTTTGATGGAGAACGTTCTACTTATTACTCGGTCATGGATGCTTTCACAGAGAACCTTGTCTTGCTTGACAAGCCTAATGTATTTACATACTAAAAGCAACGACATGATGTATAATTTGATTTGAGTTACAACTTGCTTTTCACTTATTATGTGTTCTGTTTTCTTATGCTAATTTCAAAATTTAAGGTTTCTGTTTTTTTTTCTTTTCATTTTTGTTGAAAGAGATCAATAACAAATCCTCAATTTCGTTGATGATCCAGTTGTATTCCATGGAAAATTAATGATTCGATTTCCCAACCGATGTACATATGAACGATACTTTTGTTGAAACAAAACAAGCTACAAATGGAATTGAGAAACATTTGCGATTTGAACGCGGTCTGCATATGTCATCAATTAAAACTACCTAAGAAACATCAAATTCAAATCAAACAGATGATGGAGGAACTGTCCTTGAAACCATAAATTCAGATTTGATCATGATCTTGGCGTAGTTTGAGTAGCTCTTGGCACCACTTTAGATGATTGTAGTTGTTGAGGAAAGCAAACTACTCATAACACAATTTCACCAATATTTGTTATCAATTTTTTTTTTAAAATTATCAATATTTGAAAAGAATAAAGGCTTTTGTTAATTACATTTCGACACATTCAAGATAATAATCTCTTAATTGTCGAAACATTCGAGATAATAATATCTCTTAATTATGATTACTTATGATAAGCATCATAAAAGAAACACACCCTTTAATTGAAATTATGAAGAAACCATAATTTGGAATGAAAACCAAATTTCCTATGTATCCTTTTGAGGGAATCAAGCCAGCTTGTAGTTCATTGGAGTCGGGCATGATTGTCGGTGATGAAAATTTGAATGGAGATGGTGTGTTTGGGGATAATTTGTGTTGATGCTCAAAATGGTTAGGCCAAGATTGAGTCCAACTTAGTGATGTGGTGTGATGGAGGATGAATGAAGGTGATGACCTTAAGCATGTGTGTAAAGACTTGGGCAAGCGATAAATGTAAAGAAGACAAGATATACGTGGTTCACCCTTAATGAATGGGCTACGTCCACGGATAAGTATGTTCTCATTATAACAGTGTATGATTACATTTGTACATGGGGTTGGACCCGAATATAAAGATGACAGGTGAGATGCCCAGGCTAGGGATCTAGAAGAGAGTCCCCGACCCTAGGGTCTAGTCTGAGACCCGGATCCTCTTCTAAGTGGAGAGAGGAAGTCCCCTTTTCACATGATACTACTCCCTATTTATAGGGAGGTGAAAGTGGGAGGTTTGCATAGAATTTCGATGTGGGACTCTTGCAAGTCACTGTGGTGGTGACACATGTCACGGTGTTGATGCTCTTGGTGCTGTTGCTTTGATGTCGGATATGCTCGGTTGATTATGGTATAAACAATTTGGATATGAAAAAGTGTTTGGGGCCAAATTTAGTTAGGATAAACTAGCGATTCTTTTTGGGCTTGTGGTTGCATCTAGAAATGTTTCTAGATTGCCTATGTAACCTTGACGGTATCGAAACCAATGTAGTTCAGTCAAAGGAATGCTTTGGGTGGTTGTGTACAACTTGGTTTTTGATTTGGTAATTAATTTGGCTTTGGTGAATGCGTGAATTTGGACTTTTGAGATGGCACAAGTCCGTCAAGTTTGGAAACCGATCATGGGTGAATTTGATTTGTACACCCACTTAATGGGTATTTTCCTTGTGATCTTGGTCCCCTTCACGATTGGTTTTGAGCCCATTAATTCAGAATTTTGTGAATTTAAAAATCGTGGAGCTGTTTCGGAAGTCAGTTTATAAAAAGTTGCTGGTCATTCGCCTGCTATTGTCAATGACTCAATGGTGCTCTGCACTGGCTTCAAGCCAACGTGAGCACCCGGGATATTTACATTGTGTCGTTTGATATGTCCGATGAAGTAGTCGGCAAGATAGCCAAACCACCAGAAGTTGAAACACAAAAATGTTTCAAACAGTAGAGCCGAGCGGGCATACTTTAAAGGTGGAGCCGAGCGGCTATACTCTATAAATATAATATCTTGACAGTATAGCCGCCCGGCTATACCATTTAAGTAGCATAATATGGATTTCTCGTTTTTAATTACTTTAATTAGTAGTTATGTTTTAGTTATTATTTAATTAGTGAATTATTACTATTTAAATATTTTATTATAGAAAAAAATAGCAAATTTTAATTACTATTTATTAAGTAATATAATTCATGAAGTTAATTAAAATATTTAACACTAATTATTCACTAAAGAAATCATAATTAAAGTATAATTACTAATTTAACTAATTAAATAAGGCAAAGGATATTATTTAATTACTAAAAATAAAATTGAAAAAAATTAATTTTAAAAGAAAAACCCCTCTGGACGAAATTTTGTCTGCACATTTGCCAACATACAACTGTGAGGGGTTTTTGTTTTGTTTTAGTTTTTAAAATATAAATTTAGTTTCTTTACTTTTATTTTATTTTCCCAACTTCTTTAATTTAATATGTGTAATTAAGTAATATCTTAGCCATTTTGAATTACTTTGATTAGTAATTATGTTTTAATTATAATTTCTTTAGTGAATATTTAAACATGTTATTGATTTCATAAATGACTTAATAAATAGTAATTAATTATTTTAAACCTAATTTCATTCAAATTTAAATTGAAAGGATATGTCTTATTTCCGTTTCCGTGTCTTAATTAAATTTTTCTAGAGCCCAAATAGGAAGAAACGTAGAAAAGGATTAGGTTTCTTCCTAGACCAAGACTTTCTCCTATATGACCTAAAATAAAACCCCAAATGCAAATAACACGGAGAATTGGATCGATGGAACCAATTGTATGGGACAAGGTTCCCGAAGAAATCATATACGAAATCTTGCTAAGGTTACCCGTCAAATCTCTACTTGGGTGCACGGTAGTATGCAAGTCATGGAGTTGTATGATCAAAAGCCCTACCTTCATCCACACCCATCTGATCAACCGATTATTCAAATCCAACCGTCGAAACAACGACGGCGTTCAACTCCTTCTTCACAATCTTGAATTTGAGCTTTACTCATTGTACAGATGACGACCCACGTGCATCATCATCTACGCTTAGGGAGTATACCCATCTTGACAATCCATACGAAGTTTACGCTGAACGCACCAGAAACCATATCTGGGGATCAGTGGTGGTTCCAAGATTTGAAAGCCGACCGGGCAAAATTTATGTAATAAACTCGACGGTACGAGTGAATTTCATTAATAAACATAAAAAGATACACCTAGTCAGGGGGGACGTAATGAGTCTTACCCTTAAATGCATCTAGATCTACAAATACAAAAACTAAAATAAAAACAAAAGTTAAATGCAATGCAATGCAATACAAAACAACATTATTTAAATCTAAAATCTAACCCTACGAGGCTTAGAACTCTTAAATTCCTCAATTATGGATGCATTGTCAATAGCATTGGCAAACTCTCTTTCAATGTGGAGGATCATACAATCACCAAGAAATTCATCACTTATGGTGCTTCGAAGTCGATTCTTAATAATTCTCATACATGAGAAAGCTCGTTCCGTTGTTGCTATAGAAACAGGAAAAGTCAACACCAACCGAACCAACCTGTTAATCAAATAGTAGTTTTTCCCCAAAGTTGTTTCCACCAATTGTTGACATAACTGAGAAAGAGTAGTGATTTCCTTAAAGCATGGAAGACGTTTTATATCATTCTGAAAATACTTGAGCTCTACTTCTAAAGCTTTCAACTCATGAGGAATGAAATCAGCAGGATAGAATTTCTGAGCAAGTTTACATATATGCTCAATAATAGCCATGTGTTCTTTACCCGATTCATCAAGTGATTCGTCAACAAGAATACAAAATTTGTTCATCCCAAGTTCTCTACAAATTGTCTTCCTCACATTGGTAGCAAAAATATGCAAGATTTGTTTTTGTATGTCATTGGAAATATACTGAGCATTTTGATGAGCCTTATCTAGGACAACTTTCTCAACTTCCATATTCATTCTTGCAAAACACTTTATGATTTCAACGAAATTGCCTCAATTAGATGAGCCAATAGATTCATCATGGCCTCGAAAAACCAATGCTTGATTTGCTAGATACCTAATGTCCTCTATTGTGGTTGTAAGTCACAACCGATTGTCCATCACTTGTTGATTTGATTGCTTTTCTACCACTTCTTCAATATGAACATAAGGATTTTTTAAGCTAATCCACTTTTGCATAGAAATATGATGTGGTGAATTTAGTTTGCCTACATGATGTTGAAATGCACAATGATTCCCACCAATTCTCTTCCAACTTTGAAACCCATCAACAGTAAAGGCCGGAAATGATTGAGTCCTATCAAATAGGAAACAAGGAAAACAAAATGCCTTGTTCTTAGCAACTGAATACTCAAGCCAAGAGAATTGACCAAACCACTTTTTATTAAATCGACGTAAGATTTTCCCTTCTAAGTGGCTTGGATAATCTTTTAACTCGGGTTGACATGGCCCTAAAAGAATATATGCTCTTCGCACATTATCTTGTTCATTCATTGAATATTTGCATATTAGACGACGTAATCCTAGATCACGTTCAAGATAATTGATATTAAAATCTTGATCATCATTAACTCTTTGACTCTCAACTCTTTCAACTTGAGGCTCAACAATGGGAGACTCGGGAAGATTTTGCTCATCACAAATTAGAGGAGTAGATAAAGAAGTGCTAGGCATCGTATTAGATGATGACCCACCATCATTCTTTTTCTTAAAAAAAGACAACAAGTTCTTTATTTTCATGGGGTTTCGATTGTGATCCGACATAATAAAAGATAACCTATAAATAATATATACAAATTATTTTAGTCAAACATGTCAACAACAACAAAACTAATTATCATAATATAATCAATGCATTTAATCAAACATACCAACACAACACACAAATCAAACATCTCAACAAAATTCCTAAAATCAAAGCCCTAATTAATTTCAACAAAATCTCCCAATTAGAATTCATTCCTAATTAAACCCTAGAATATTTTCTATTCAAATTAAAGAGCATAAGATAATTAAAATGAGAGAGTGAGAGAAGAATACTTGTTGCCAAGAAGAGAAGTTGCTCCTGCAAAGAAGTTGAGAGTTGAGTTGATGGTGGCTGAAGGTTGAGCTTGAGACGGAGAGGGAAGTGCTGATATTTTTCACAGAGAGTGAAGTTTCTGTTTGGTGGCTGACTGCACGCTGGTTCACTTCAAATTTTAATTTTGGTTGTTGCACTTGCAGTGCATATATTCTTTGTTTAAGTAGGCTTGTTTAAGTGAGTGGGCTACTTGCCTTTGAATTATTGGCTGGGCAAGTTACTTAGTATTTTTTTTTGGTCAAAATTTTGGGCCGGGCATGATCCCAACCAGCCCATGGCTGGAACCACCACTGCTTGCAGTGCATATATTCTTTGTTTAAGTGGGCTTGTTTAAGTGAGTGGGCAACTTGCCTTTGAATTATTGGCTGGGCAAGTTACTTAGTATTTTTTTTTGGTCAAAATTTTGCCCATGGCTGGAACCGCCACTGCTTGCAGTGCATATATTCTTTGTTTAAGTGGGATTGTTTAAGTGAGTGGGCTACTTGCCTTTGAATTATTGGCTGGGTAAGTTACTTAGTTTTTTTTTGGGTCAAAATTTTGGGCCGGGCATGAGCCCAGCCAGCCCATGGCTGGAACCGCCACTGCTGGGGATATGAGTTTTTCGGAACTTGTAACGGGCTCGTGTGCCTTGCTGCGGAAGACATTGAATTGACCACATTAGTTTGGAACCCTAGCATCAGAAAGTTTGTGGTTTTGCCCAAGTCTGGTGTTACCTTTTGTCATGGATATGGTCGAGAAGCAAGATGCGCCTTTGGCTACGAGAAAGCTACGTGAATTGAGTCTGCACTTGCCTTATCTTAACCTTGCCCTTGGCTTTTGGGGTGGAGGTGCTCTTAGAGAAAGCTAAGTAGAAAAGTGAAAGCCATTATTGATATATTGTTTAGTGGAACAGGGGATCTCAAATTCTCAACTAGGCTCATCCCAAATAATCCCCAACGCCCATGAAAAGACAGCCGCTCGCGGACGGTGCGTGTGCGTCTGTGTACACGTAACAATACGACATCATCCAGTGTCGTCACACACCATCCCCTCCTTAGCACAACAATCGCAACCAACGCACGCCTTTTCTGGTTTTTCTTTGTGGCAAGAATGGGTTTTGTTTTTCTTGTTGACTGAAAAAAGTAAGCTAATTTTGGAAGCTTCGAGGCCTTTGACGTTTTAGCTGTTTGCACACGTCTCTCTTCCTCTCCTCAAGTTTGTTTGCATGCTCTTTTTGTCGTTCAGCTTGTTTGCTTGAACTTCACTGGTTTTCAGACCCAAAAAAAGAAAGAACTTCACTGCTTGTATCCCTTTTGGCCTCGGTTGTTTTCTGGGCTTGCAATGAATTCCAGTATTGACCAAAAAAAGAAAAGAAAAAAAGAACCAAACTACACAGGCAACATGACCTATAAATATGTTTTAGTTTATCCTAAGCTAGTGCACAAATATAGTGAATCCTTTTAATTGCAAAATGGGTGAGTGAGAAGTTTCTTGTAAGGATAAATTAAAAATAAAAGTGGGTGAAATGAATGATGCATATATTTTCACCAAATTAGACATAACATCATCTCATCCCCTCTCTCTTAGTACAAATGTTGAAAGTATACCGAACCTTGATATCATGCAAGCCAAAGCCATGACGCTTTAGAAAAAGCTAAGTAGAAAAATTAAATCCATTATTGATATCCATATCCCGTGTGTGCGTCTGTGTGCACCTAACAATCTGAGAATATCATGACAATTATATGTATATTATTGACTAAGTGGACGTTGCGGCTCTCGTTCAGAAATGTGATTGGCCGGCCAACTTTTACATGGTTCGTTGAGACAACTTGTTCAATCTGAGAACACCATCCACAGAACTTAATTCCGGTGCATTAAATGCGCATGCACCAAAGAACTCATGCGCCATATGTGTATTTAACCGAGAAAATAAGATAGACGCATACGTCCATTGGTAGGTGAAGAATTATATATAAGTTTAAAAACCTACCCTTCAATAAGTATTTTTGTTTACCTATATATATCTCTGGCCTTGGAACATTTCCTCTCACAAAATAACACTCATCTCATTCTCTCTTCTCTGTTTTCAGCATGAAGGCAATGTCTTATAACTTTGGTCAGGTTTTCAACACCACTCTAAAATTTTTGGGGTTTCTGTGCTTCATGAATCTGATAGCGGTTAATTCCAACCCTACTGGGCCTCCTATGATGCAGCCTAATTCCGATTTTGCAGCCAATGAGCATTACGGCTTGCCCAAAGACAGAGCTCTGGTTCCACCGCCCGGCCCCAATCCATGCATCCCGAGAGTCGGTAATGTCCATTGCAAGTTTTTATAAATAAATACATTTTAGCATGAAATAATATTAAAAAAAACCTTATAGAGTCTATTTTGAGAGGAAAAACCCAGCACTAGCTACTTGTGCGTGGTTCTTTAGTATGAAACTCGTCAATTGCCGTCTGGTTTTTTTATGCGATTATGCTGTACCATATATTAGATCTACGCTACTTGCTTTGAACTGGGTTTTTTGTGTGTGTAAATTTTGGTTTATTAATACATATACATATATATATAATGAATATCAACTTCTAACTATTTTGATTATTGATTTATTAATTTGTTGCAATGTTACAGCGGGTAAAAGATCATGGCCTGAGTTGGTCGGAGAAATTGGGGAAGCTGCAGCAGTGAAGATAGAGAGAGACAACCCAAATGTTCGAGCAATCGTTGTGGTGGAAGGCACTCCAAGGCCAGCAAAGGATCTCAAGTGTGACAAAGTTTGGGTCTGGATCAATTCAAACGGCATCGTGAGAAAGGTCCCTAGTCTACGCAACTGAAACGAATCGTTTTCAATGAATAAACTTGTTGTACGGAACGTTTAGGGTTCAGGGAAAAAATTAATATGTGGAAAGTATAATATGTATGTGGTATTCCTTGTGTGATCGATTGATATAATATGTGAGTCTTTACTTAATTAAATTATATTTTATCCATATATTATGAATAGAATGTTGTTATTTTCACCCACATATTCTATTTTTCTACTCACCATGAAAATTTGAAAACCCACAATCGTATCTTTGCACCCACCATTATTCCATAAAATAAATAGAAAGAGATAGAAGATTCCAATCTTTATTCTTTCCTTCTTAACTATTTCCTAGACGTGCCAATTTTGAGGTTACAGCGATTCAACCCTTCCAAAACCAGAATAAATTTTTTTTAAATGCAAAAAGTCGTCATAAAAGCGACACCCTTCCAAAACCAGAATAAATTTTTTTTTAAATGCAAAAAGTTGTCAAAAAAGCACGGGGATTTTGTCAATCAATGTCAAGTGCAGCAAAGTCTGACATTTAATAGAAAGCAATCTAATGATGCCGTCGGGCTTGATCAAGGATAGCGCGAACTCTGGTATATTTATAGGCTCCGGTCCACCAACCATATGGCGCCAAATATCTGGTTAAAGTCTTCGTCGCGTTGTGTGGCAGTTGGAATGTATTGTCTAAAAAGAAAAAGGAATACACGTTGAACTTTTTGGACTTCTTCCTCCCCATCGATCTTATCTCTCTTTCCTCTTTTGGGTCATACAACAAATAAAGCTCACCCCTCTATTTCACTTTATTTCTTCACTTGATTGTAGTTTTCAATTTAATTACTTTGTGTGTAATTTGTTAAAGAATGATAAAATTCCTTGTTTCGTCTTTGGATGTATTCTCATCACTCTTCTTAATACTTACTTTGTATTTATGGAATCATAGTTATGCATATGGACAAATATTAAGTGTTGAGAAGGATGGTGAGAATTCACCTTGAGTTAAAATGACGAGGCACCTCTAACCAAATAACAGGATTCATGCAAGTTAAAGAAAATCTAGCTAATGTTATTTAGATTCTATAAGATCCACAAATGGCATGTCATAGGATCAACAACTTTATTTGACGACATTCGGCTTTAGACGACATGCGTTTTCAAGTTGTTAGAACCTACGCAGGATATGCAGAAGGCAGAACCTTACGCAGAGCAAAATTTGCGAATGGGTTTGCTATGCTGAGTTTATGTTTTCCTATAAACTTTTTATGTCATTTGGATTCTCAAGATAAATTTTAGTGTAGTTTTTGTTTTGGGCATTTGGCTCCGCAATTGAAGTCATAACCATTACCCATATATGGGCTATATGTGCAACTTCATTGCTACAAACCCAAATAACATTTTTTCATTTTTCTTATTATACAATCGAAAAACGAACCTAAAATATTGGGTATGAAAGTAAATACCTTTAACTACTTGAGCTACAACCCTCATTCAATGATGACTTTTTGTTGGACCCAAAAAGAAATAAACTCGTCGTTTTCATGAGGTTTTTAGTACTAGATATGCCGACATGTTTTGTTAGAAAAAAATAATAATTGAACTTGCTCTTCACCACAGAAGATTTCGATGAGAAAGCTAAGTTCAAACATCATCTCCTGCCAACATTTATGGAGCAGATGTTCTTTGATAACCTTTGATTTCTTTTACTGCTGGTAGTCTGCTGTAACAGATATTAACAACCAATGTCAAACTTGTTTAGGTTAATCAATCGGGAACGGGAACCAACTATATTGAATATGACCAGAATTTATGACCATATATCAATATTCATTTGTGCCACCAGAAGAACCAAAACTACACAGGCAACATGACCAAGCATGAAGCTACTTGAAACCGAACCGCTAGAAGAGCAATGTGCAGAACTGATGTATACCATAATCTTAGCCATTTTGAATTACTTTGATTAGTAATTATGTTTTAATTATTATTTCTTTAGTGAATATTTAAACATGTTATTGATTTCATTAATGACTTAATAAATAGTAATTAATTATTTTAAACCTAATTTCATTCAAATTTAAATTGAAAGGATATGTCTTATTTCTGTTTCCGTGTCTTAATTAAATTTTTCCAGAGCCCAAATAGGAAGAAACGTAGAAAATGATTAGGTTTCTCCCTAGACCAAGACTTTCTCCTATATGACCTAAAATAAAACCCCAAATGCAAATAACACGGAGACTTGGATCGATGGAACCAATTGTATGGGACAAGGTTCCCAAAGAAATCATATACGAAATCTTGCTAAGGTTACCCGTCAAATCTCTACTTGGGTGCACGGCAGTGTGCAAGTCATGGAGTTGTATGATCAAAAGCCCTACCTTCATCCACACCCATCTGATCAACCGATTAATCGAATCCAACCGTCGAAACAACGACGGCGTTCAACTCCTCCTTCACAATCCTGAATTTGAGCTTTACTCATTGTACAGGGATGACGACGACCCACGTGCATCATCATCTACGCTTAGGGAGTATACCCATCTTGACAATCCATACGAAGTTTACCGCAGCAGAAACCATATCCGGGGATCCGAGTTTTTCGGAACTTGTAACGGGCTCGTGTGCCTTGCTGCGGAAGACATTGAATTGACCACATTAGTTTGGAACCCTAGCATCAGAAAGTTTGTGGTTTTGCCCAAGTCCGATGTTACCTTTTGTCATGGATATGGTCGAGAAGCAAGATGCGCCTTTGGCTACGACAGGCGTGCCAATGACTATAAGGTCTTACGAAGAGTGTCTTGTTTTCAAGAAGGCAAATTTATCTCATGTCCATATGAGATTTGGTCGTTAGCCAAGGGCTCTTGGAAGACTCTCAATACTGGTAATGATCGTCATCATCATGAACGTGACATCGAACAACGGGACTTTGATGCTGGTCATCCGCCTGCTTTTGTCAATGGTGCTCTGCATTGGGTTCAAGTCAACGTGAACACCGGGAATATTTCCGTTGGGTCGTTTGATATGTCCGATGAAGTATTCGGCAAGATAACCATACCACCAGAAGCTGAAACACAAAAATGTTTCGATTCTGATCCACATTGCGTGGTGTCGAGGTACAGAGAGTCCCTTGCATTTTTTGAAAGCTCTGAGGAGAGGAGAGAAAGTGTTGGTTGTGGTTGGCTTCTTCACATGACCATGTGGGTGATGAAAGAGTAGGGTGTGGCCAAATCATGGGATAAACTCTTTGCAATATGCCTGGAAGGGAGTATTTGTAGACTGGTTGGTTGTAGAAAAAGTGGTGATGAAGTTGTGCTCAAACTGATTGTTGATAACGTTCAATATCGGTCCGTGAACTCTAAGACCAAACAAGTTAAGAATTTGCAAATTAAAGGATCGTGCTGTTACTCGGTCATGGATGCTTTTACTGAAAGCAACGACATGATGTATAATTTGATTTGAGTTAGAACTTGCTTTTCACTTATTATGTGTTCTGTTTTCTTATGCTAATTTCAAAAGTTTAAGGTTTTCTTTTTCGTTATGTTGAAAAAGATCAACAACAAATCCCCAATTCTGTTGATCCAGTTGTATTACATGGAAAATTAATGGCGGCTAATGATTTGATTTCCCAACCGATACATATGAACAATAGAGTTTTTGAAACCAAACAACTACTAATGGAATATTGAGAAACATTTGCAATGCGAACTGGTCTACATATTTCATCAATTAAAAGTACCTAACCAAACTATATTCAGTTTAAATTTAAGGGGGTAGGAACATCAAAACTCAAATCAAACAGCTGATGAAGGAGGGCCTGTCCTTGAGACCACGAATCCAGGTTTGAGCATTGCCGGATCGTTGCATTCGTCGGTATATACATAAGCCAATCCACCATGACTGGTCACATCCATTCCTGCCATCTCCTTCTCTGATGAAATCCTCAAGAGCTTCAACTTGTGCAGCAAGAAAAACAATGTTCCCATTGTCAACCTCACAAACCCTACAATCACCACAATCTGAACCAAATGTGCAGCCAAGAGCTTTCCAACTCCTCCCATCAAAAGCCCATATGGCCTGTTTGGTTGCCCTGAATAGACTTCACCCACATAAGCCTTTTTGGCAAACAATGCAGTGAATATAATTCCCCCTGAGCCACACCCTCCATGAAGCTGTGCTGCTTCCAATGGATCATCATACTTCAACTTCTCAGCAAGCTTGTTGCATCCCATCAAAACCCAAGCTGCCACAAACCCACAAATGATTGCAGCCCAAGGATCGAAAACTGAACAACCAGAGGTGATTGCTGCAAACCCACCAAGCAAGCCATTGCAAACGTCGGTGAGGTTCCAATGACCGGAGAGCAAGCGCTTCCCGAAGAGAGTAGTCAGTGCTGCTGAGCATCCAGCCATTGTGGTTGTCACTGCAGTTCTTCCTATTAAACTCCATTGTCCATAATAGGATCCGCTCTCCCCATAGGCCTTGAGAATGTTGAGGAATGAGCCTGCATTGAAGCCATACCAACCAAACCAATGCAGAAATGTCCCCAAAACAACCAATGTGCCGCTATGTCCACGCAAAGCCACAGACCTACCTTCATGATCGAACCGGCCTATGCGTGGGCCTTCAATAAGAGCACCCCACAAGCCTGCTATGCCTCCAACCAAGTGAACAACACCAGAGCCTGCAAAATCAATGACCCCAGAACAAAATAAAATGACCTACTTCATAGTATAATTCAACAGCTTCACGAGTGTAATTGTGTTCTTGATCCCATGACAAGGGTGGGCAGTTTTCTGAAAACATGTTTGAAAGCTCCGGAAAACACAAAATGCACATATATCCAAAAGCATTGGATGCTACATAGAAAACTCATAGGCAATTCAACTTTAAAATATAACAGAACACTTTAAAAGAAGGATATCATGTCCAGATTAGCTGACAACATTTGCATCCAAACCATGACATTCAACAATGGACTTTGAAAACAGAAATTCTAACCATTTGAAGGACCACATCAGTGTCCTGTGCTTGATGCCGACACAAGATTGTTCTCAACCCTTTTCATTCACACTAACCATTTTAAGTGGTAGGTTACAGCAACATCTAGGGATTAAGTGGTAGGTGCATTAAAGAATTATATAAAATATACGTACTGGAGTTTGAACGGTGATAATACGCATGCCCCATGCATTTAACCGAGAAAAGAAGATCGATGCATCCATTGGTAAGTAAAGAATTATATAAACTCTTCAAACAAAGATAAGTTAAAAACCTATCCTTCTACAAATATGCACCAAAAAACTCTTCAAACCATCCTTCTAGAAGTATTTGTTTCGCTATATATTTGGTCGAGACCTTAGAACATTTCCTCCCACAATAAAAAAAGCGAACCTTAACACTCATCTCATCTATCTTCTCTATTTTCAGCATGAAAGCAATATCTTATAACTTTGGGCAGGGTTTCAACACAAATGTAAAATTTGTGGGGTTTTTGTGCTTCGTGAATCTGATTTTGCAGGTTAATTCGCAGTCATAAATAATGTACTCTAAATTTGTCCTACTTGGGGATGAAGATGAATTGATGATGTGGACCTAATGAATTGATGATGTGGACCTATTTATGCGTACTGACTGACAAAAGTAAAAATAGGGCATGTTTACAAGGTATTTTTAGTTGTACGTGTTTTGCACCTTAAGGAGGCGCATGCTACTATTAGCGAAGCCATTAATAAAAGAAGCCAAAGAAGCCAACTGTCGCCCTATTTGATGAAGAATCTGACAGCTGGCAAACCGCTATTTGGACAATTGTCATTCAACTGCAGAGCGATCAAGGTTTTAAGCACGAAATGCTTTTGTTAGTAGATGGTGGATGATAATCAATTGTTTGATGAACTAACGGTTAACAGTTATTTATGAGTGTGTCAAACATTATTTATCACAAGTCATCAACTAAATTAAACTCATTGTTTCGAAAATATGTAGGTTGGCCCTTTAGTTTATCGTAAGCTAGTGCACAAATATAACGAATCCTTTTAATTGCAAAATGGGTGAGTGAGAAGTTTCTTGTAAGGATAAATTAAAAATAAAAGTGGGTGAAATGAATGATGCATATATTTTCACCAAATTAGACATAACATCATCTCATGCCCTCTCTCTTAGCTAGTACAAATGTTGAAAGTAGACCGAACCTTGATATCACGCAAGCCAAAGCCATGAGGCTTTAGAAAAAGCTAAGTAGAAAAGTGAAAGCCATTATTATTTCCTAGACATATACCCATCATTCTATAAATCTATGTGTAAAATACAATTTCAAACTTAAATTACCTGTAGGATATAAGGGGTCGTAGTATTCCTATGTTTTTACATATCCTTGTCATCAAACTTCATATTTTATTTATAATATTTTATTAACTGCCATAATTGTAATTAAAACTCCCTATTAATAGTATATCAATCACCCCACAATATCTCCATTAAAAATCCAAATCTCTTGATTCCCCCCTCTTTCAATGTGGTCCTTCCCTAAACGTTCTCAATGAACAAAGTTGTTGCATGGGATGCTAACATGCACTGTACGAGTCTACGCCATCGTTGACTCGTTGTGCGTATTGTATTCGAATGATTAGCGCTTAATTATATAAAACTAAAAAGCAAAAGGAATGTGCAGAACTGATGTATACCATAATTTGAACCACCCATGAGTACCAACCTACAAACCACCTAATTGGTATCGATGCCGCAACACTGGAAGTTGGAACATTCCGCAACACTGGACAAATATGATTTCACATTGTCAGACTTGTAAACTGATTTTGCCCTTGCAGCAGTCATCCTTAGATTGCGCAGGAGATCAATCACTGGAACATTCCTAGGAAAGTCATTTATTATTGAAATAGTAATCTGTGTTCAGTTGTTTACCACTTTATCTGTTAGGAAAAGTATTTGCTCCACAGACAATACTTCTGCCATAATTGCTCCATTAGTAATAATAACACCTTTTGGTTCTCACTTGTGTACAAAGCAAATGCATAACTGAGATACCATCCTTAGAAGTTTCACCTTAAATTCCAAGTCTTTGAGAAAATAGCATATGACCTACTTTTTAAATGCGTAGAGCAATTTGGAAGGCATGACAGAATCTGCACAAAGCATTTTGATATGAGCAGGACATTATGAAACAAGAGAAAGAGAGCCAGACATAAGAACAACCTAAAAAGAACATGTAGTACGAAGCAACATAAATCATGTGTTCAATGCTAACAATATAGTGTCTAATCTGCTTTGACCCTCACATTTTGAATGTTAACAATATCACGTGAATCAACGCCTGCCTCAAGTCCATCAAGTAGGCCTTGAACATAGTCGTAGAAGTAATCAGGGTCATCACAGACAGAAAAGGCAAGGACCTGCAAAGCAAAAGGAACAAACAATTACATGACATGTCAAGAGCAGCAAATTAATTCTCTACAGAAAGGAATCCAATGACATATTTTTGCCTTCAACGAACTCAGCCAAGAGCTCAATGCCAAACCAACAATTGTACCCCAACTGGAAATCGATTACATGAAAACATTATAGATCGATCACCATAAACTTATTCTATTATGTCACAGTATTATACTTGTTGTAAACAAGTAAGATATAATTCATCTTTTATTTGTACATTATAGAAAAGTTTGGTTTCGTGAAGAAAAAAAAAATTGCTAATACTCCGAGAGAGAGAGAGAGAGAGAGAGAGAGAGAGAGGTAAAGTAACTTTAGCTCTAAATTCTTAATCAATATTGGACAGAACAAGCAAGACCCCCTGAGAAACAATTTGAACAAGAAAATTAGACCCATCTGTTCAGCATCTAGAATTCCTCTACAATCAGAAAGCATGCATTGGCACGTGATTGATGGGCTTATGTACTTGGAACTCAGTAAGATGTCTAAATACACAAAAGAAATTTCCATATATGCAAGCCAAATCAGAAACTAAAGCCAATACTCACAGAATATCGTGGAGCAATATCTTGATGGTTTGAATATAGACCAGATTGTGAGGCTTTAGAAAAAGCTAAGTAGAAAAGTGAAAGCCATTATTATTTCCTAGACATAATACCTATCATTCTATAAATCTATGTGTAAAACCCAATTTCAAACTTAAATTACCAGTAGGATATAAGAGGTCGTAGTATTCCTATGTTTTTACATCATTGCCGTTAGACTTCATATTTTATTTATAATATTTCATTAATTGTCATAATTGTAATTAAAACTTCCTATTAATAGTATATCAATCACGGGAGCATTTTTGCTCACCACATTAACTAGAGGTATATGCTCACCACTACCCTTAAAACATGACACATGTCCCATAATTAACCTTAGTTAAGTTTTATGTGAGAATTTAAAAAAAAATTGAAAAATGGCCCACAGCCCAGCACTGCTCTCCTCCTTTCTTTTCTTTTCGTTTTTCCCTCACCTCCGACCCTTCTCTCTTCTCTCCTCTTGCCGGCACTCTCTCCCTCACTTTGTTTCTTGTTCAGCCCTTTCAATGTCCACAGCTAATCTAAGACTGGGTATGCAAAATGGCGTGTGGCTTGAGCATGGGATTGAAGAGCAAATTAAACAAAAACAGAGTCTACCTTGATACCCATTACATGAACTTCATCTGGGTATCTCTGTGCCAGGATTTTGAACACTTGTCCGTCCATTTGGGGTGGTCCTGAGGCACTTTTGGATTGATTTATACGACTCAAGCCATGTTTGAGCTTGTAAGCTGAAATGTGCTTGCAGGGTTTGGGTTTGTACATGAAGGTTTTCTAGTCGACATCGTTGACAGAGATTGAGAAAGGAAGCTCTGATTTGTTACAAATAAAAAATAAAAACTGTACTAACAAAAATGGCAATAATAATAATCATAATAGATTAATGATAAATAATAAGACTGGCAAAGCAAGATCCAATATTCCAGTAAAGAAAGAGATGGAAGGATTTGTTTTGGAGGATGGTTACGGTGCGAGAGAGGGAGAAATACAGAGAGAGGAGAGAGAAAGGTCCCGTGTGGGGAGGAAAGTGTTAGGCTGTGGGCCATTTTTCAATTTTTTTTTAATTCTCACATAAAACTTAACTAAGGTTAACTGTGGGACAGGTGTCATGTTTTAAGGGTAGTGGTGAGCATGTACCTCTAGTTAATGTGGTGAGCAAAAATGCTCCTTATCAATCACCCCATTTCTTTTGGTTGTCATTCCCTCTAACATATGCCCCCTTAAAATTGCAAATTAAAAAAAAATATAAATTACATATCCAATAATCTAGGAATCTATACGAAATAAGTGATGGCTTGATTCCTAGCAATCGTCAGACTTGTAAACTGATTTTGCCCTTACAGCAGTCATCCTTAGATTGCGCCGGAGATCAATCACTGGAACATTCCTCAATTTGAGTTGCCCACATACGTTCCTTTCTAAGTACATGTTCATTTAGCAATTAATTAGTAAGTATGCATAGATGATAAAAATCTCTTTTGAAAGGACCCTCTATTAATAAATATCACTGAATAATTTTTGGCCTCTATATCATAAAATTGGCCGGAGAATCCTAAACCTGTGGGCTTGTATAGAGCCTTAGAGCCCCACATTTTGTCAAAGAGAAGCTACAGTTTGTGACCAAGAATTCATTCTTCTTATTTTTTTCTAGAAGACGCAATTTTATTGAAACCCTTAGAAACAAAGTTGAATAACAAAGATAAATCAAAAACTAAATGTCTTCTAGAAGATGCAATTTGGACTAATAGAGTAGATATGTATCATTAAAAAATAATATTTGTTTCTCTATATATTGGTTTCCCTCACATCCAAACCTTAGAACGTTTCCTCCCACACAAAAAAAAATGCAAACCTTAACACTCATTTCATCTCTCTTCTCTATTTTCAGCATGAAAGCAATATCTTATAACTTTGGGCAGGGTTTCAACACAAGTCTAAAATTTGTGGGGTTTTTGTGCTGCGTGAATCTGATTTTGCAGGTTAATTCCAACCCTACTGCAGCTCCTATGAAGCATTACTTCTTGCCCAAAGATAGTGCTCTGATTCCACCTGCCGGCCCCAATCCATGTATCCCAATAGTCGGTAATGTCCATTGCAGGTTTTTTTAAATAAATACATTTTAGCATGACATAATATTACATAATATAATGAATATCAATGTCTAACTAGCTAATTAGTTGTGTGATTAATTGATTATTGGTTTATTAATTTGTTGCAATGTTACAGAGGGTAAAAGATCATGGCCCGAGTTGGTCGGCCAAATTGGGAAATCTGCAGCGGTAAAGATAGAGCGAGAGAACCCTAATGTTGGAGCAATCATTGTAGAGGAAGGCACTCCAAGTCCAACAAAGGACCGCAAGTGCGACAAAGTTCGGGTCTGGATCGATCAAAACGGCGTCGTGACAAGGGTCCCTAGTGTGCGCAACTAAAAAGAATTCACTGGAACTTTTTCAATGAGCATCGTTTTCAATGAATAATGTTGTTGCATGGTATGTTAATTATAACGTGCATGAGCACGAACACCTCTCTCTCTCTCTCTCTCTCTCCACTTGTCTTCTTCTTTTGGATATGGTGGGATCGGTCAAAGGACGACGCGATCCCTTTGACTCTGGCGACTTTAAAATAATGTTTATCTTATGGCGCCATTGGTTAAAGTCTTCGTCGTCGTTGTGTGACGGTTGGAATGTAAAAACAATAACATAGTTATATAAAACCTTATGCATTATGTATCCTCCATTTTCTTCATCACCTCAACTGTTACTTGTTTGTCCCCCAAAGATTTGAATAAACTCATTGCATTACAAGAAAGATTATCTTTGCCATCTCTTTTATATGACCATTTTTTGGATTTATATCATTAAAAAAAGCATTTAATCAGCTTATTTTTTTAGCATGATATTTTGACTTCGCAAAATGCTCATATAAGATTTATGCGTGAGTAGAATATATGTTGCACAAAATGAATGAAAAGGCAAGAAGGAAATGTAGTTAACATTCCGTTATTATATATATTCCCAATAACAGTCCCGCTCATCTAAGGACTTAAAAATAAGGTCATGTGAGGTTCTCTTTAATAAAAACCATTAAACTCCACGTTTCAACCTCAAACCCTTCCAAAAACACTCTGTGGGGGTAGGTATACCATAATTTTAACCATAAGGAATTCATAAAATAGGAGAAGATTATTAAGCAAGTCCATTCCCTCAATGCACGTATCATATAGGAACCGTATTCGACACCACACTTGCATGCCCTTTTTTTTTCTTTTTTTTTTTCCAAAATTGCATACCACACTTGGTTTCTGGAGAATGAGCTGAAACCAAGAATTTTGTCAACCTGTTTCTTCTTACAAAAAACTTTTAAAAAAAACCTAAAAAAACAAAAAAAAACTGAATAAGTCTTGAAGCAAATTATGTTCTAGAAGCAATTTGACTAATAATAATACAAGCCTATGGTCGAACTTTCCCCTTAACATAACATCTTTGACTTAACAAACCTATGTGTTCCTCTCTCAGCCACATGAAGTCTCTCATAATAATCTTTTTACATAGTCACATTCGCTTTACTTTATTTCTTCTCAAGGATAAACTTGATTGTAGTTTTCAATCTATTTGCTTGATGTGTATTTGCAACAAATAATTTGCTAAAGAAGGATAAAGTGCTATTTTAAATATTTGGGTGTATATGTATTTCTGCTCCATGTATTGACAAATTAAGGTGATTTGAAACTCCAAAGCTGCAATACCTGTAGTAGAAATATGTGTATCTCTTTTATTTTACTAGCAATGCAGTATTTGTTTGATGTTTGACAATGTGTATTTAATTTGGTGTTTATTTATATATTGCTTTAAGAAAAACAAGTTTATGTTAGATATCTTGTTAAAAAAAATATTAGTCTCTCCTATAAAAATTCCTTGTTCCGTCTTTGGATGTATCATCATCACCCTTCTTAATACTTACTTTGTATTTATGGAACCATTGTTATGCATATGGACAAATGTCAAGTGTTGAGAAGGATGGTGAGAATCCACCTTAAGTTAAAATGGTGAGGCACCTCAAACCAAATAACAGGATTCATGCAAAGTTAAAAAAAATCTAGCTAATAATGTTATTTAGATTCTATAAGTTCCACAAATTGCTGTCATAGGATCAACAACTTTATTAGACGACATTTAGACGACATGCGTTTTTAAGTTGCTAGAACCTACGCAGGATATGCAGAAGGCAAAACCTTACGCAGAGCAAAATTTGCGAATGGGTTTGCTGTGCTGAGTTTATGTTTTCCCATAAGCTTTTTATGTCATTTGGATTCTCGAGATACATTTTAGTGTAGTTTATGTTTTGGGCCTTCGGCTCCGCAATTGAAGTCATAACCTTTACCCATGGGCCCTCTCACACATGTTTTGTTAGAGAAAAAATACTAATTGAACTTGCTCATCACCACAGAAGATTTCGATGAGAAAGCTAAGCTCAAACATCATCTCCTGCCAACATTTATGGAGCAGATGTTGTTTGATAACCTCTGATTTCTTTTACTGCTGGTAGTCTGCTGTAATAGATATTAACCAAGCATGAAGCTATCTGAAAACCGAACCGCTAGAAGAGCAATGTGCAGAACTGATGTATACCAACCTACAAACCACCTAATTGGTATCGATGCCGCAACACAGGGACAAGTATGATTTAACATTGTCAGACTTGTAAACTGATTTTTTGCCCTTGCAACGGTCATCCTTAGATTGCGCAGGAGATCAATCACTGGAAAACATTCCTCACCTAGCCACCAACAGCTCTGCACCGCAAAATTGGTGTAAACCTCCGCCAGGTTTTCTCAAGGTGAATTGCGATGCTGCGTGGTCAGCTCCGGCATCGCGCGGGGGAGTCGGTTGGGTCATTCGGGACACTTTCGAGTTGCTGCTCTGTGCTGGTGGCCAGGGGGACCTCCATGGCTCCTCCGCTCTTATGATGGAGCTTCTTGCTATTCGTCATGCTCTTAGTGCATGTGTTCATTTCCATCTCACTGACTTAATAGTGGAGTCGGATACTCAGACAGGAATCTTGATGCTTACTGGACAAATTGCAGTAGTCTCAGATCTGGAGGGGATTATTTTTGATATCAAACACTTGGTGGCTTCTCTTTCTCGGGTCTCCTTTGTGTTCGCTCCCAAGGCTTGTAACAAAGCTGCTCACACTGTGGCTGGTTTCGTTTCTAAACAGGAGGGTAATCATGTTTGGGATGACTTTGGAACTGACTGGCTTTTCAATATTCTTGCTTCCGATGTAAACCTTACAATTCGTTATTAGTAAATTTTTCCAGCGATTTTGACCAAAAAAGAAAGAAAGTAATATCTTAGCCATTTTGAATTACTTTGATTAGTAATTATGTTTTAATTATTATTTCTTTAGTGAATATTTAAACATGTTATTGATTTCATTAATGACTTAATAAATAGTAATTAATTATTTTAAACCTAATTTCATTCAAATTTAAATTGAAAGGATATGTCTTATTTCTGTTTCCGTGTCTTAATTAAATTTTTCCAGAGCCCAAATAGGAAGAAACGTAGAAAAGGATTAGGTTTCTCCCTAGACCAAGACTTTCTCGTATATGACCTAAAATAAAACCCCAAATGCAAATAACACGGAGAATTGGATCGATGGAACCAATTGTATGGGACAAGGTTCCCGAAGAAATCATATACGAAATCTTGCTAAGGTTACCCGTCAAATCTCTACTTGGGTGCACGGCAGTGTGCAAGTCATGGAGTTGTATGATCAAAAGCCCTACCTTCATCCACACCCATCTGATCAACCGATTAATCGAATCCAACCGTCGAAACAACGACGGCGTTCAACTCCTCCTTCACAATCCTGAATTTGAGCTTTACTCATTGTACAGGGATGACGACGACCCCCGTGCATCATCATCTACGCTTAGGGAGTATATCGATCTTGACAATCCATATGAAGTTAACGCCGAACGCACCAGAAACCATACCTGGGGATCCGAGTTTGTCGGAACTTGTAACGGGCTCGTGTGCCTTGCTGGGGAAGACATTGACTTGACTACATTAGTTTGGAACCCTAGCATCAGAAAGTTTGTGGTTTTGCCCAAGTCTGGTGTTACCTTTTGTCATGGATATGATCGTCGAGAAGCAAGATGCTCCTTTGGCTACGACAGGCGTGCCAATGACTATAAGGTCTTACGAAGAGTGTCTTGTTTGCAAGAAGGCAAATTTATCTCATGTCAATATGAGATTTGGTCGTTAGCCAAGGGCTCTTGGAAGACTCTCAATACTGGTAATGATCGTCATCATCATGAACGTGACATCGAACAACGGGACTTTGATGCTGGTCATCCGCCTGCTTTTGTCAATGGTGCTCTGCATTGGGTTCAAGTCAACGTGAACACCGGGAATATTTCCGTTGAGTCGTTTGATATGTCCGATGAAGTATTCGGCAAGATAACCATACCACCAGAAGCTGAAAAACAAAAATGTTTCGATTCTGATCCACATTGCGTGGTGTCGAGGTACGGACAGTCCCTTGCATTTTTCGAAAGCTCTGAGGAGAGGAGAGAAAGTGTTGGTTGTGGTTGGCTTCTTCACATGACCATGTGGGTGATGAAAGAGTATGGTGTGGCCAAATCATGGGATAAACTCTTTGCAATATGCCTGGAAGGGAGTATTTGTAGACTGGTTGGTTGTAGAAAAAGTGGTGATGAAGTTGTGCTCAAACTGATTGTTGATAACGTTCAATATCGGTCTGTGAACTCTAAGACCAAACAAGTTAAGAATTTGCAAATTAAAGGATCGTGCTGTTACTCGGTCATGGATGCTTTTACTGAAAGCCTTGTCTTGCTTGACCAGCCTAATGTATTTACATACTAAAAGCAACAACATGATGTATAATTTGATTTGAGTTAGAACTTGCTTTTCACTTATTATGTCTTCTGTTTTCTTATGCTAATTTCAAAAGTTTAAGGTTTTCTTTTTCGTTATGTTGTAAAAGATCAACAACAAATCCCCAATTCTGTTGATCCAGTTGTCTTACATGGAAAATTAATGGCGGCTAATGATTTGATTTCCCAACCGATACATATGAACAATACTGTTTTCGAAACCAAACAAACTACTAATGGAATATTGAGAAACATTTGCAATGCGAACTGGTCTACATATTTCATTTAAAAGTACCTAACCAAACAATATTACAGTTTAAAGTTGAGGGGGTAGGAACATCAAAACTCAAATCAAACAGCTGATGAAGGAGGGCCTGTCCTTGAGACCACGAATCCAGGTTTGAGCATTGCCGGATCGTTGCATTCGTCGGTATATACATAAGCCAATCCACCATGACTGGTCACATCCATTCCTGCCATCTCCTCCTCTGATGAAATCCTCAAGAGCTTCAACTTGTGCAACAAGAAAAACAATGTTCCCATTGTCAAGCTCACAAACCCTACAATCTGAACCAAATGTGCAGCCAAGAGCTTTCCACCTCCTCCCATCAATGCAGTGAATATAATTCCCCATGAGCCACACCCTCCATGAAGCAGTGCTGCTTCCAATGGATCATCATACTTCAACTTCTCAGCAAGCTTGTTGCATCCCATCAAAACCCACCTGCCACAAACCCACAAATGATTGCAGCCCAAGGATCGAAAACTGAGCAACCAGAGGTGATTGCTGCAAACCCACCAAGCAAGCCATTGCAAACGTCGGTGAGGTTCCAATGACCGGAGAGCAAGCGCTTCCCGAAAAGAGTAGTCAGTGCTGCTGAGCATCTAGCCATTGTGGTTGTCACTGCAGTTCTTCCTATTGCACTCCATTGTCCATAATAGGATCCACTCTCCCCATAGGCCTTGAGAATGTTGAGGAATGAGCCTGCATTGAAGCCATACCAACCAAACCAAAGCAGAAATGTCCCCAAAACAACCAATGTGCCGCTATATCCACGCATAGCCACAGACCTACCTTCATGATCGAACCGGCCTATGCATGGGCCTTCAATAAGAGCACCCCACAAGCCTGCTATGCCTCCAACCAAGTGAACAACACCAGAGCCTGCAAAATCAATGACCCCAGAACCAAATAAAATGACCTACTTCATAGTATAATTCAACAGCTTCACGAGTGTAATCATGTTCCTGATCCCATGAAAAAGGTGGGCAGTTTTCTGAAAACATGTTTGAAAGCTCCGGAAAACACAAAATGCACATATATCCAAAAGCATTGGATGCTACATAGAAAACTCATACGCAATTCAACTTTAAAATATAACAGAACACTTTAAAAGAAGGATATCATGTCCAGATTAGCTGACAACATTTCAGTCTCCCAGAAATCCTCAATGAAGTCACTGGACATAACCTCTGCATACAGCAGAAGAACTAGCCAATGAAGAATATTATTCTTATCTAATACAGCTATCTTAATCCTGTAAGTTCTTGATACATTGCCTTCCCAATTTTCAGTCCTCTACTTTCGATCGTGGAAACAAGGTCCTGCATAGTTTCAACAAAGAAATAAACATGAGCCTGAGAACAATCACAAACAGTTCATTCATAATTGTATCATTCCATTAGTAATATAATCAAACCTTAGCCTCTGATATAGCCTTGGAAACTTGAGCCTCACGCTGTTCATGTTCCATCTTCTTTGACTCAATTTGCCTTAACAGCTTCTTTAGCTCTTCGTTACTTGGGTCATGCTTAAGCCCATTTTGGCAATGCAAAGTTGATTCAGGCAACAAGTTCAATGCAAAACAAGCTTTGGATGCTCGGCACAGAGCCTATTATCAAAACCCATATTGCTAAAATCACAACAAAAAAAGAGTAAATATTCAAACAAAGCCCAGCTGAGAACAATAACATGGTAAAAATTTGAGCACCTTGACATTAATGGAACAGAGCTTAATTGAGTACTCAGCATCAGTAAGAGCACGTCTGTAGTTACCAAGTAAAAGATTGACATGGACCCTATTTGAAAAGAGAAGAGAGGTGTCAGAGTCACTCAAAGCTTGCTGATTTATTGCTCCCGTGTAGCAATCTATGGCATCAGCGAAGTGCTTTTTGCCCATCTTCACATACTCGTTACCCTTGTCCTGCCAAACCCAACAAAATAATATATATGTAAAAACAAGGACAATATAATCCTATCAAGTGCTTTTATTGTGTGAGAGAGAGAAAACCTTGAGTTCAATAGCAGTATTTTGTTTGAGAGCGGCTATGGCATCAAGGTCATCTCTTTCGCTTTCGGTCTGGGGTTCAGACCCCTTTTCCATCAATAGTGCCATTGCTTCTTCGAATTCGCTTCTTTTCTATTTTGCTTTTCTTGTTCTGCTGCTGGCAAGAGTATTGCTGGAACCTTACGCAGAAGCTGGGACTTGCATACTCGTAGTGTACAAGGAGCAAAATATGATTGCGAATGCGTTTGCTGGGCTGAGTTTAAATTTTCCTATAGGCCCTTTATGTCATTTGGATTCTCAAGATACATATTAGTGTAGTTTATGTTTTGGGCCTTTGGCTCCGCAATTGAAGTCATAACCTTTACCCATGGGCCCTCTCACGCATGTTTTGTTAGAGAAAAAAAAAATTGAACTTGCTCATCACCACATAAGATTTCGATGAGAAAGCTATGTTCAAACATCAATCTCCTGCCAACATTTATGGAGCAGATGTTCTTTGATAACCTTTGATTTCCTTTACTGCTGGTAGTCTGCTGTAATAGATATTAACCAAGCATGAAGCTACCTGAAAACCAAACCGCTAGAAGAGAAATGTGCAGAACTGATGTATACCATAATTTTAACCACATAGGACCACCCAGGAGTACCAACCTACAAACAACCTAATTGGTATCGATGCCGCAACACAGGGACAAGTATGATTTAACATTGTCCGACTTGTAAACTGATTTTTTGCCCTTGCAATTAGATTGCGCAGGAGGTCAATCACTGGAAAACATTCCTCAATTTGAGTTGCCAACATACGTTCCTTTCTAAGTACATGTTCATTTAGCAACACGGCCCATTAATAAAAAATCAGTGGTGACAGAAGAACACAGCCAAACGACGGGACGGTTATGCCCCTACCAATTGGACAAAATATAATAAGCAGATGCTTGGAGTTTATTTTTGAGTATTTCAATGTCTTCAATTCAACTGTGTGGGTTGGGTGAGTCACCAATGATGTCCCATTGAAAATCTCACTTTTTTGTTTTAGAGTAAGAGGATTAAAGTAGAGTAATTCAAACTTTAGAATAACTGAAGGAATCAGCAATGGCATCGATCTCTCTTGCATGGATCCACCCATTCACGAAAGCAATATCCGTAGGACACACTTTCCCCCTAAGAAAGCAATTTCGGTTTTCAAGACAAGTTGAACAATGTTTGGAAGCATCAAAATAGCCAAAATTGGCTTGCTTGCACGACACATCCAAGGGCCGGTCCCTTTATACCAATCGTCCTTTACATTGTTTTTCAAGCCTTTCAATTGAAACAGAATATGCTTCTTGCTCCTATCGTCCTTTACATTGTTGTTCCATATAGATTTTACATATCATTTCTGTATAGAAATTCAGTCTTCGAAAACATCAACAATGGGAAATTGCGCTGCCCTCTCAGCTTCAGCAAGGGGTGTTTTCAAGAAAAGCAAGGCTTTACCTATCGAAACCACATTCAAGCTTCCGGCTCCATTACCCAGCTGGCCACCTGGTACGTGCTACCGCCTCTAATTTAGACACACACTATATGTGTTTGATGATGATATATTTTCTCTTTGGATACATAGTCTGTATCCTTAATTATACCATGTTTCAGGTGATGGGTTCGCAAGTGGAAGCATCGATCTAGGTGGATTACAAGTATACCAGATATCATCTTTCACCAAAGTCTGGGCTACCTATGAGGGGGGACCAGACAACCTTGGGGCAAGCTTCTTCGAACCTTCACCCTTACCCCAAGGTTTCTATATGCTTGGTTGCTATAGCCAACCCAACAACAAACCTCTTTCGGGATGGGCCCTTGCTGCAAAATCAACAAAACATAAAGATGAAGATGAAGATGACCACCTTTTACTCAAGAAACCACTTGATTACACTCTCGTGTGGAACAGCGAGTCCTTGAAGAATCTAAAGAAAGATGGCGATGGCTACGTCTGGTTACCCACTCCCCCACATGGTTATGAAGCCATCGGCCATGTGGTCACCAGCTCTCCGGAGAAGCCATCTCTTGATCAAATCAGGTGCGTTCGATCTGACCTCACTGACCACTGCGAGGCTGACTCGTGGATTTGGGGACCAGGTACCGCTGGTGATGCCAATGGTTTTAATGTGTTTAGCCTCAGACCAAGCAATAGGGGGACCCAAGCTATAGGCGTACCCGCTGGCACATTCGTAGCCCTAAATGGTCTTCCTTCGTCTACTATTACGATCGCTTGTTTGAAGAACACGCTACCTCTATCTAATTCTCATATTTACATGCCCAACCTAACTCAAATTAAGGCATTACTTGAAGTTTACTCCCCACTCATATACTTGCATCCTGACGAAGTATACCTCCCTTCTTCGGTGGCCTGGTTTTTTAGCAATGGGGCCCTTCTATACAAGAAACAAGGTGATGCAGTTGCCATCGAACCAACGGGCTCCAACCTTCCCCAAGGTGGCTCAAATGATGGCTCCTATTGGCTGGACCTACCCGTGGATAAAAGCGCCAGTGAAAGAGTGAAAAAGGGAGATCTACTCCACTATCAAGTGTATTTACACATAAAGCCCATGATGGGATCAACATTTACGGATATAGCCATATGGGTATTCTACCCTTTCAATGGGCCGGCGACGGCCAAAGTTGAGTTTTTCAACATCTCATTAGGGAAGATAGGCGAGCATGTTGGTGATTGGGAGCATTTGACCTTACGAGTCAGCAATTTCACAGGGGAACTGTGGAGGGTCTTCTTCTCACAGCACAGCGGGGGCACGTGGGTGGACGCTTCCCAGCTTGAGTTTGAAAATGGAAACAAAGCAGTGGGCTATGCGTCATTGCATGGGCATGCCTTGTATCCGAAGGCAGGGCTTGTTTTGCAAGGGAGTGGGGGAATAGGAATAAGGAATGATTCAGCCAAGAGTAACAAGGTATTGGACACTGGACAAAGCTCTTTATTAGTCTCGGCTGAGTATTTGGGGTCGGCTGTGACTGAGCCACCATGGCTGAACTACTCTAGGAAATGGGGTCCAAACATTAGTTATGACATTGCGGACGAAATCAAAAAGGTGGAGAAACTTTTGCCTGGAAAGCTCAAATCTGCTTTTGATAAATTCGTAAAGAGTCTACCAAATGAAGTATTAGGGGAAGAAGGGCCTACAGGTCCCAAGATGAAGAACAGCTGGACTGGAGATGAAGTTTGACTCACACACACTTTCCTTTAAGTTTATGTAATTAAGATTATTTCGGCAATATCAATTTCATCCTCTTTTGTCTGTTTAGCATGCATTCCTACCTCAATGTAAAAAATAACATGCAAAAGAAATAAAACGGTGAGTCAGAGTGCAAAGAGTCAAACAATATGGGGTAAAATAGTTTTTGATATATTTTCATCTTTCAAAAGGAGGTATTTATAATACAAGTATGTAAACTCTAGTAGGGTTATATGACGAAACAAATAAACTCCTAATTACACAATTTGTACAAAAGAGAAAGAAATAAAATCCTAGTAGAATAGGAAATAAATCTCCTAATAGAATTAGAAAACAAATTATTGGTTTCAAAAAAATATTAGTCACCCCTATAAAAATTCCTTGTTCCTTCTTTGATGTATTCTCTCCATCATTCTTAATACTTACTTTATATTTATGGAATCATAGTTATGCATATGGACAAATATTAAGTGATGAGAAGGATGGTGAGGATCCACCTTGAGTTAAAGTAGTGAGGCACCTCAAACCAAATAAGATCCATGCAAGTTAAATAAAATCTAGCTAATGTTATTTAGATTCTATAAGATCCACAATTGGCATGGCATAGGATCAACAACTTTATTAGACGACATGCGTTTTTAAGTTGTTAGAACCTACGCAGAAGCTGGGATATGTAGAAGGCAGAACCTTACGCAGAGCAAAATTTTCGAATGGGTTTGCTGTGCTGAGTTTATGTTTTCCTATAAGCTTTTTATTTCATTTGGATTCTCAAGATAAATTTTAGTGTATATTTTAGTGTAGTTTTTGTTTTGGGCCTTTGGCTCCGCAATTGAAGTCATAACCCTTACCCATGGGCTATATGTGCAACTTCATTGCCACAAACATAACTTTTTTTCGTTTTTTTTATGAAAAACAATCAACATTGGGGAAGAGAAAAACGAACCTAAAGTATTGGGTATGAAAGTAAATACCTTTAATTACTTGAGTTACAATGGAATGATGACTTTTTGTTGGACCCAAAAAGAAATAAACTCGTCATTTTCATGGGGTTTCTAGTACTAGATATGCCGACATGTTTTGTTAGAAAATTTTTTTAAAAAAAATTGAACTTGCTCTTCGCCACAGAAGATTTCGATGAGAAAGCTAAGTTAAAACATCATCTGCCAACATTTATGGAGCAGATATTCTTTGATAACCTCTGATTTTTTTTTACTGCTGGTAGTCTGTTGTAATAACCAATGTCAAACTTGTTTAGGTTAATCAATCGGGAACCAACTATATTGAATATGACCATAATTTATGACCACATATCAACATTCATTTGTGCCACCAGAAGAACCAAAATCACACAGGCAACATGACCAAGGATGAAGCTACTTGAAACCGAACCGCTAGAAGAGCAATGTGCAGGACTGCTGTATACCATAATTTTAACCATAAGGAATTCATAAAATAGGAGAAGATTGTGAAAAACAACCAGCCTCTATACAGCATCTCACCTAACAATACCTTTGTACACTCAGACTTCATAAGACTATACAAGACCAAAGCTCATTACAACCGTAAGCCTGCAGACAATGATTTTGCTGAAACACAAATTGTGTTAAATAGCTTCTTTTAATTTGAAAGCACAAGCGAGGCTCGCTATACCCATGCAAGCTTCAGGTCTTTAGGGAAGCACGGATAGAGGCCGTCGAGACTACACCTGTGTGAGACCATTCCAAGAGGTTTCGAAATCAAACATAAGCATTCCTGGCTCTATAAAAGTAGGCTCAGGAGACAAGGCATTTAGATGAGATGGCACAGAATCACTTGTTACTGCTGGAACAGACTGGTTTTCCAGTAGCCAGGTTAATTGACTGTCCAAACTGACATTAGCAATTTCATTAGACTGCTCCTTCACGAGAGATGGCACATATATAGGCTCGGTGCTTTGAATTTGACAAGTTTCAACCGGCGGCGGCTGAAAAGGAGGCTGCTGAATTGGAGGATGCTGAATGCTTTGACTGGAATTGTCCACCCAACTAAAGTTACAATCTGAAAAACCCATATCTGCAACACTTGCACATAGATTATCTTGCAAACAGATATTTTGGCTTGAATTCTGACTTTGATTCCCGTACTGATATCCACCTTGAGTGGCATCCTGACTTTGATTCCCATACTGGGAGATATATTGGCTATTATTTTGCCTTTGATTGCCTTGATCAGGAAAATTTGTGCTTAAAACTGAGTCAAAAATAGTGGCCATAGGACTACATGTTTGGGGTTGGGAAGGCACTGTATTTCCAACGAATGCGGCCATGGGCTGGGAGTTCTGATGCACGGTAGAAGGAACATTCTGCCACCTGAAGTGATTTCTGTCACTTGATGCTGTCATGGGAGCGGAATTTCTGCCATATTGAGATGGACTGGTACAATTACTGTTATTTGCTGAACCAAATGTGGTTTGGTTTACTGGCAAGGTGCCACCAACAGCTCCTACTCTTTTGAACATTGGATGAGAAGAGACAGATTGAGGGCCTAAATTACCAATATTATGACCTCTGTTCCTCCCAACAACATTATTGCGTGCACCAACCAACTGCTTCGAAACTGAACATGGATGGGCTCGGTTCTTAGACAAAATAAATTCTGATTGGTGGCTTCTACCCGGGTTTCTGACGCTAGGCATAGTGCGACTGGCTGAGGAGCAAGCACGGATTGTAGCTGGCCTAGAGACCTGATTCTGTGATATAGAGCTAGGTGCCAGCCGAATAATATTAAGTGGTGCACCTTGACTAATTTTAGGCAGAGCCGCAGGCAATTTTGGAGCTGGTAATGGAGCACCTTTCATAATCTTCGAATTCTTCCTCAATATTTTCCATGTCTCTTCTTTATCAGTAGCATGACAATGGCCAACGTTGGAGACTCCAGTGCCCCAATGTACACAGGGTGCCAGAGAGTCACAAACATAACAGTGACACTGCACATAAGCAAAAATAGAAGTCAGAGCGGTAAACCTTCAACCTTAGACAAAGTAGGATATGCTTTGAAATTATATAAGCCATGGCTTGCATGAGTCAACTTACAAGGTCACAGTGCTTCTCATGCAGGGTAGTTTTGAAAGGAAACTTGGCACAAAGATGCCGTGGATGAGGGTAATCTCTGCATGCTATCTGCAACCAAATTAAATAATGTCAATTAAAGATGGAAAATACAAAAGGGTGCATACATCTTTCCAAACAATTCAAAATAACATTGGATTCGACGCTAACTGGTACTAGGATCCAACATATGAAAAATAAGTCTTAACTTAAAATACGATAAGGGGACTATCAAAGACTAAGTGGCCAAACAAACATATGCCACCAAAGACAAGCTAATCCAGAATAATTATAAATAAAAAATTTCCATGAGCAAAGGGAAACTTCTTCAAACCTTCGGAATTTCAATATCAAGTTCATCAAACACAATAAAAAGAGTTGTTCATTGTGAAACAACAAGAACAATATAACCAAGTTCTACTGTTTCTGAAGAAAATACCATAGAAACTGATATTTAGGAATAACAAAACCTCCCTTGATATGAGATCTCCCATGGACCCCAAATCAGGTTGTGACTGTTATTCATACCTTCTAGATCTAAACCAGTACCATGAGGCAGAACTACGCATCTCCATTGTAACTAACAACTTGATTTGTGCACCATTGTGAAACATTGTGTCTATTCTGTCAACAAGACGCCTTGTCACACCACAAAACCCCAGAAAATTACAGAAAACAACATCATCAATAACTACCAAAGTTGTGCTTCAGAGAAAATTGGACCAAAGTCACCAAATTATGTCTAATTCATGCTGATGCATCCATAATAAATCTTTCCTTACTGAAAAAGTAAACAAGAAAAGGGGGGAAATGAGTCTTAGATTATTCCTCTTTCTGCATATGCCAACAACATCTAATTTGGGAAAGAGTTCTGCTTTCTTATCAGTCTGCAATAACTTCATGGCAACCAATTAAAGCAAAAACAAGGCGGAAACGAAACATAGTTCAGCTCAAGCAGAAGAATGATTAAACTACACGGCTTATTTTACAGCCTAATGCAACAGTTACCCTTCAGTTGAATTAATATCTTATAACTCCTCTAATCAAAATTAAAAACAAGGTCCAACATTTATTTCTCTTTCTCTAACTTCCACTTTTGAGTAACAAACAAACCAATGTAAATCCATCCAAAGAAAAAACAAACATTACACACTAAAAATTCTCATTTTAAAAGATAAAGCCGGTTGATTTTATACCTGCCCCTTCTCCCCTACTACAAGCAACTCGTCGGAGTTGCTACCCGAATCGTCCACTACCGAAACCGGCTTATCCGGGTCACCATCCAAGACAACGCAATCGTCGTCCACATCTGTCACCGTCGGTTTTGAAGACTTGGTCTTGGGCTTGATGTTGACCTCACCAATCACCACAACATCATCGGAATCGTCATCGTTTTGGTTGTCGATGCTGTCCATAAGTTCCGATATCCAATCGTAGATTGCCTCGTCTTCCTTCTCGTTCCAGCCCGATTCTTCGTCGGAGCTTATGTCGATAGGACCCGAATTCATCGCAATCAGAAATTCAAATTCACAGACTAGGGTTTGAAGGAAATCTCAAACGCTTTCTTCAACTGAAAAATTCGACGCATGAGGTATGAACAGATCATATGGGAAGCTAATGCTTGAGGCAAAGAAAAATGGGCAAGTCTTGGATTTCCTGGAAATTACTACACTGAAAACTTTTGGTTGGCTAGGAAATTTCCGTCTTAAGTAGAAAGATGGAAAAAGGGCATAGGGTTTTGTGCGGGCGATATATAAATATCAGGGTTTTGAATTGGGTCGTCGAATTTTTCTGGAAAAAAAAGAAAGAATCGGATCGTCGATTTTGGCGGAGAGCGAGAGAGAGAGAGAGAGAGAAGAGAGAAAAACTGAGAGTGAGAAGTGACTTGGACTTCAAAGTCGTCTAACCTAGCCCGATGAGGGGGTTAGGGATATCGGTGGAATTTTACTTTTTTCAAGGGTATGTTTCGGAAATAGGAAAATATGTTGCGCTTGGACATGTTGCCCAATTACGACTTCAAATGGAGTGTCGTTGATCCGGTTGGGCCATGCAGGCCTTTGTGGGGCATTTGAAGGAAGATAAAAATATGGGCTGCAAATAGTGAAGTCCTAGTGGCATAATTGGGCTAGAACATGCCTATTCAGTACCATCTTACTAAAATGAAAAGTCCTTTTAACTTTTTTTAATTAATAAGGAGGGCGGATACGAACTTGATAAAAATCCGACTAAACGTTTGTTGGTGAAAACCGGCTCTTTTTTTAAAATCAATATAACCAGATAGAGGTTATTTTCGAATGACAACGGTGGTTATATCTTTAGATTTTAAACGATATGATAGTAATTCTTTATATTTTTATACAAGCGATATTCAAAAATGAAAAAAATTCAGACATAGGATCTCGTATGTAGGCCTATCAAGTTGTCTACCACAAACATCATTTGTGTAACGTCCAAAAAATTCAATGGGAATTAATTGAAAGCTATGTGCCTACTATGTGAGTATTGATAATCTTTGATTTATTTGTGTTTAACCATCTCCTGGCTGTTGAGAGAATTGGAATCTTGCCAACTATAATGTCAATTAAATTGCACGAAATTCTTGAGACTGAATTTTTACACCCTCAAGTTGAAAAGCTATGTTGCTTGAGTAAAACAATGGATAAAGTCTTTCAACTTTTGCAAGAGATCATTCCATAAAATCACTGTATTGTTTATTCTGTTTGATGGGTTATTTATGCATGGGAAATTGAATTAACTTTTTGTTTAATCTGTCGTCGGGATTGCACCATTAAAAAAGATGGACAAAGCAAGAGATAGAACAGATATGTTTTGTGTCAAAGGAGTATATTTGTTTTGGATTTGATGAGAAAATACACATACATCTCTTTCATATACAAGTATGTTTGTTCAATGTCTACAAAATTGGATGATTTCATCCCTAATGGTTGAAATAGAAAAGAGACTATGGCTTTGATCAAGCGCCTGAACAGGCACTCAAGTCCTTCTTCTATATCTTGAATGTTTGCCTCCAAATCCCGGAGCCAAATTTGCACATTCTCAACATGCATTGCGTAATCAGATTTCTTAGACTTGTGAGTAATAAGGGCGTTCAATGCGGCATCCACTTTCTCAAGTTCATTCGTATCTGCAGTTTCCTCACCCTCACAGGATACTCTTTTGGGCTGCACTAGCTTGGAAACTACAATCTGATGGAGCACTCTCGCTTTATACAACAAATTACCCATTGGATACTCCTAATTATGTCTGTTGGTCAACACACTGAGGGTAGTGGTTTTCAGGTCATCTTCGATCAGTCTGGCTATTTACCTTACAGACACAAACGGAAGCATACTTTATATTCATGTGGTACATTGTCTGTGTCAGAATCATTCATCACCTTCCATCACTTAGACCGACCATGAAGAATGTCACACAGATGCTTGAAGGAACTGCTGAAGTCTTAGTCCCGCCAAATCCATCCTCATTATAGGTTTATCTAAGTGATCACAATTATACGTGATTAATGTTCGAAAAACCGCTAAGCTGTAGGTATGGGAGGCGCCTAGGCCATTTTTATATAATATAATAATTATTTTGTATTATAAATTATAAATTTATACCAAAATAAATTATAAATTTATACCAAAATAAATATAAATATATATATATATATATATGTGAATCATTCATGCACTTTAATATAAAGCAGAGGGTTGAAATAAAAACACAATTAAGTTATGTTTTAGTATATGGGCCCAAGCCCATAAGAGAACCTTGTTAAAATACCAGCCCATAAGTGAAACACAGCGTTTCAATAACACTAGCTTCACCCTTTTTTGGACGAGCCCTATCCTCACTTATCTCTGATCTCTCCGCCTCCATCACCTCCCATCTCTTTCTACCTTCATCGTCTCTCCTCTTTCTCTGACGAGTGGATAAGAAGCGTCGCTGCCAGTGGTTGGGTCGAGAAGAGTAGAGAAGCAGTCACCAAACCCGCCCAGGCCCGCCTAGACCCGCCTAGGCGCTTAGGCGCCGCCTAGACCCGCCTAGGCACCGCCTAGGCCAATTTTTCCGTGCTGCCATGCAAAATATAATGCAAATGGTCATGTTCATAAACTGTTTGCCATGAAGTACTCCTCTAAACACTGGAGACATATGCTCCTTGCTCCCATGGCATTTGAACTAGCATATCCCTTATGCTTTCTACTTCTCCTTCTTCAACTCGCATATCTTTGGGTTCGTCCCTCATTGCACAGGACGATACATCTTTCTGGGCCTCACCATCTGGAGTATTTGCTTTTGGTTTCTGCTCAATGATGGAGCAGGCAAACAGATATGGAGTGTTGATTCTGCTGGCACTGGAGTTTCCTATGCAGCCATGCTTGACACAGGAAATTTTGTGCTGGCTAACCGAAGTTCAATAAATTCTTCGGAGATTATTTGCTGCCGAAAGAATTATGAGGCAGAGATAGAGGATGAGGTCAAATGACACTAGCTGATTGGGCATATGATTGCTATAAGCAAAAGAAACTGCACATGCTATTGGAGAATGATGATGAGGCAAAGGATGACTTGAAGAAGATGGAAATGTATTTGATGATTGCATTTTGGTGCATTCAAGAGGATCTAAGTGATCAAAATTTTATTTTATATCTGGATATCAAAATATTTCTGTGTTTGATATGAAAAAATGTGAATATCTGCTACACATTAGTAACAAATGCCAGAATTTTTTGGTTGATTATTATAGTTGAATGGCTTTTTTTGTTGTTATTATTCTTTTACAGTACGAATATTTTTTTCTTCACAATTTTCTTATACACACCATGAAAGTCTTCAAAGGCTTATGCCTTGCCTTACGGGACATGACTATTCTTAAGACTTTCGCAATATGAAAGACCTGAAAAGACTTCATAGAAAACTCATCTAACTTACAAGAATATATCTCTAGCTCTAGGCTCATCCCTCACTGCTATGAATGCTAACTCTTTCTTACCCTCACTATCAGGGGAGTTTTGTTTCCACTTATCCTTAAATCATTTGATATTTTAAAGAACCAATAGCGACAAAGTTCATTGCACATGAAAGAGGCTAACAAGGGCAGAGACAGAAAGCTTTGAAAACAATGAAAAATATGTGCGGAATGATCCAAAAGGACGTATCTCCATATCTGTCCATACACAGTGTATTTGAACGAAATCATTATTTAGTTAAACAGATTCTTAGTACGCCGAACAAAGATTCAATTTGCACATACAAACAGCAAGAGAAATCATATCATATCATAGAACATTTGAATTTTTTGTGTATATCAAGGGAGGACTGCATTTGTTTGTCATTTTAGCAAACTTATGTGGGCAGCAAACCAGAGCATAACACATTCAGTTAAAACATTGCATGGATTGTCGATGATCTTAAGGTACTGTAGGTGACTCCACAGATGATGGCATTATATAAAGATATAGCAAATGATGCTCATCCGCAGTTTCACCATTAACTCCTTAATTATGTACCATGGCTTTTGAACTACCATATCCTTTTTTTCTTTTTACTCCTCCTACAGATACTGTCATTTTCAATCATTGCTCAAACTTACAACAACATATCTTTGGGCTCTTCCCTCACTGCAAAGGATAACAATAACTCTGTCTGGTGCTCACCATATGGGGAATTCGCTTTCAGTTTCCAAAAGATTGGTAGTGATGGTGGCTTCATACTAGCCATCTGGTTTAACAAAATACCCGAAAAGACTATTCTGGTCAGCCAATGGCAACAATCCAGTGCAACAAGGATCCACAGTTGAACTCACTGCACATGGCCAGTTGATGCTCAATGATATTGCAACAGGCAAACATAAAAGGATTGCTGACTTTGGTGGTAGTGGAGTTGCCTATGCAGCCATGCTTGACACAGGAAATTTCGTTCTGGCCAATGGAATATTCAAACAATTTGAGGGAGAGTTTTGATCAACCAACTAATACCTACCAACATAGAGACTCTAAAACTAAACAACACACTCGAGGGTAGCTACATGGCGTCAAACTACTCAGGAGTCAGGAGGGAGGTTCCAGTTTGCACTACAATCTGATGGAGCACTCTCGCTTTATACAAAATTTCCCATTGGATACTCCTAATTATGTCTATTGGTCAACACACACTGAGGGTAGTGGTTTTCAGGTCATCTTCAACCAGTCTGGCTCTATTTACCATACAGCCACAAACGGAAGCATACTTTATATTCATGTGGTAAATTTTCTGTGTCAGAATCATTCATCACCTTCCATTTCCTACCAACTGCTCTTTTAATATCATACACATGCATATGCTGCTAGTGTTCGAAAAATCGGCCTAGGCGGCCGCCTAGGCGGATCGTGGGCAGGTCTGGGCGCCTGGGCGGATCCTTCATCTCCGAGAGCTTTAGGTGGCATCGTGTGGTAAACTAAGCGAAGAAGATTTGGCTGGATATGCTCCACGAGCTTGCGGCGGCAGCACCGGGTAGTAAACGCGAAGAAGATGACCTAATGGAATACGCTGTAAATAGAAGTTTAAAAGTATAGCCGCTCGGCTATATGTTTTAAATAGAATATTTTCAAAGTATAGCCGCACGGCTATCCCCTTTAAATTCTTTTTTCTAATTACTTTATTTAGTAGTTATGTTTTAGTTATTATTTACTTAGTGAATACTAGTATTTAAATATTTTATTGAATTAAAAATGTTAAAAAAATAATTACCATTTATTAAGTAATATAATTTATGAAGTTAAATAAAATATTTATTTATTCACTAAAGAAAAATAATTAAATCATATAATTACAGATGAAAGCAATTAACAATTTAGCACTTTCACGTTAATAATGTATTATATACATACGTATATATTTTTCAGTAATACATCCGTATGTTCTGCACACGTCTTAAAAAGTCAGTAAAGTTCACATTTTTTAAAAAGCAAACGTACAGTACTCGTATTATACAAGTACGTACATATTTGTCATGTTTAATACATGTATTTTTTACAAAAATTTCAGTAAAACACACAAAATTCACATATTATACACATGATTATCACATATTATTGAATAAAAATAATATATATTAAAAAAATTAATATAGTGGCTGAACATTTAAGTTGTAATTTGAAAAAATTTGACCGATTGAAACACGTACTATTTTATTAGTACTTTTTCACGTTCTGTATTTTACTAACTATGAATGAATGTGCAGCCACATGGCTATACTCGGTTTTTTTCACCTATACTTGGTTTTTCTTTTAAATAGTATAGCTGCGTGGCTATACTCATTCTTCCTTAATTCTTTTTACAAATAGTAAAACCGCTGTTATATCTAGTTTTTTATTTATAAAAAAAAATAGTATAGCCGTGCAGAAAATTCAAACTACACAACAAACCATAGAATATATATAATAGTAAGGCAATAACTCTTTTATCCAGCATTCCAGCTCTACTTGCCTGCCTGCCTCCATGGAGACGAGTTCTCTATAACTCTGCCCTGGAAATATATAAATTCAATGGAAATGATCAATGAACACAATATTTTACATTAATAAATCAATTAAAATCATGTGGTCACATATTGTCTGTGCCAAAGACTCAAAACCTTGTTAGATGCATGCATTTGAATTCTCCTGTGCTTTTCTTCATGAAATGCATTTATATATGTTATATTATAAATTATAATATTGCAGGTCCATTGCATAGCTCACATGTAAATGCAGACACAACAATTAATTATATTGCTAATTAATTTATTTATCAAATTGTGGGTGTTCACAGAGGAGGCAAGATCTGCATTTGCCACTTCTCTGTCTTTCTCAAGAAAATAATCGAGGCTAATAAGCAAAGAGGCTCATTATATGGGGCTGTTACCACAAAGAAAAGCAACCATGTGGCACTTTTAGAAAAAGTGGTAACAGTTATCATTATTTGGTAACTAATGTGGGGGTGACTAAAGTAACTAATCGAGGCTAATAAGCAAAGAGGCTCATTATTAGTCACCAAATGTCACCAAATAATAGTAACTGTTGCCACTAGATTCAAATATGCAAACTATCATGTGACTCATCAAACACCATTTATTCTCAAAAGAGAAGGTTGCAACATGTATGTTTTTCCAAAACCCCTTTTCATATGCCAGAGTTCTAAAGTCTTGCCATGATCACTAGGATTCATGTTCATCACAAAGGCAAAGTATCAAAAAAGTGCACGTAGGCTCTGAATGAGACCAACTGGCATGTGGTCCTATTATCATAAGTGAGTTGAATGTGGATAATGGATTGATGGGCAAGTCAGACCAACCAGACCATCCGACATATATACTTGTTTGGCAGTGTTTGATGAATTCTATTCATTTTCCTAGATGACAACATAGATCTCTTTCTTTCTTTTTCTTTCTTTTTTTCTTTCTACCTATTGGGTTTCCTGTTGTGCGCTTGTGTACAATTACTTAGAACCATTTTTCGCAATGGGTTTTCAAAGATTAGCTGTATGCATGTGGCCATGATCGCCATGCATTATTAGGCAACAGTACTAACCATGCACAGTATAAGTTAATCAGTGCGCGACTATTTGGGACCACTTACAAATTACAATTAGGTATCAAACGAACAACAAATGCACATTATTCTCTGATTTATATGAACCAAATACGAGACTCTCATATAACTAAATAAAAACATATACTGCCATGCTAAAGATTAGTTGAAAGTCATTAAACATTATTATAGATGGAGGTAGATTGGCTTATGGATTAAAAATTAATAATCCTAGGTTCAATGTAATCGGGACTAATCTCTTTTTAAGTAATTTTTGGTTCTGAGAATCCTTCCCGTAAAGTCGCAATGGCTCGTTTGTATTTGTAATTTTGTAAGCGCCAAGTGCCAACGACTCCTTAATCACGCGCGAAAACTTGATTTTAAAATAATAAACAAGTACCGAGAAAACGCACGTGCTGATCTGTGCAACCTAGGAGGATTTCCCGCGACTAATTATTTAATTAATTAATTTAACTCAATGCCCTAATGAATCAGATGCATATTCGACGGTCAGGATTTAAGGAGTTACGACGCGTCAGCATCACCAACGGCTTTTTGAAAGTAGGGCCCACTGCATTAACTGTTTGTCTGCTGAAAGTGGGGGGCTTTCTGCATGCGACACGTTGAATTGGATATCAAAGTCAAAAACACTTTCTCGTTATTGGAAGTTATTACGATTTCGATTTTTTTTATTTTAAACTTTGATATAATCCAGTTTCGAGCCTTAAGGTTTGTGATAATATCATAAACACCCCCTATTTTTAGAAACATCACAGGCCGACCCTTTTGTGTTCATACATAGTAATATAGTATACATTCCCATGTCAATTATATGATTGTTGTAAGGTTGTCACACGTGTTAGAACAAAATAAATAAAACCATGTATGGCGCGTTATGACATTATCTAAAACTCAGGGTGGTCTCTGATATTCTCTGAAATTCGATTTCTACCTGAGTTATTATTTTGTTGTTGTTGGAAGAGATGCCATCATGTTCAATACTTCTTAACTTCCTTTTCTTTCTTCTCTTGCTAAAAAAAACTTCTCCTTTCTTTTATACAACCCCATTCTAAATTTAACAACTCCCCTTCTCTCCCCAATCTGAAGAACAACGTCATCTTTCAAACCCAAAAACAGGTACCAATATTTCTCAAATCACAGCCTGATTTTTTAATTTTTTTAATTTTAAATTCATGTGTTTCATGGTATTTAATTTCCTCATGCGGTTACCATCGCAATTATTCTCTTTATATTCTGTTTCGGTTACAAATCCATGATGGCATTCACAAATTTTGAAATATCAAAAGTCATAGATGGTGATTTTGCACCTTTATTATCTACATTATTGTGCTTATAGCAGCAGCTTTCAATTCATGGTTTTTGCTTCTCATTGTATTGAGATTTTTTCAGGGTCGTCTCCATTATATGCATTGTTAAAGTTCAAAACTTTCATGGAAATAGTGAAGTTTGCATGACAAAGGACATAAATTTGTTGATTGTCTGAGCAAATTGAATGAATTTGCGATCTGGGTTTTTGTAAAATCGAGGATCAAACACATTTAAGGAGAAATCCATTTCAGATTTTTTTGTCATTTGCAATCTGGGCATCCTTATTGTTGGTTGGTATGTTAAAGAAGTGGTAGGAAGTAGTGAAATGGGTTAAAATGGATGGAAAAGAAGATGGTGAAGCATACGAAGAGCAGGCTTCCTCGCCTATTCAGGTTTTGCAGGAGATATCCGAGGAGGCATTTAAAATGGCAGGGGAGACACTGCAAAACATGTACTCGGGTAATTCGAGCATGCCGCCATTGGCACCGGGGCATAGACGCTCCCAAAGTGAAGTTGTAACTACGAGACACCGGCGCAGTAACAGCTTGCAGAAATTGAAATGTCAAATGCAGAAGGCTTGGAAATGGGGTAGCAATTCGAGGGGGGATTTGCGATTGGCTTTCAATCCTGAGGTTTTGGCAAACCAAAAACGCCAATGGTATCAGCTTCACTCCAGATCAAAGGTGTTTTTCTGTAATTTTTGCTCCCTGGAATCCCGCTTAAAAAGTTATATTCTTTATCAATTTATCTTGTGCCTAACGAACTAAAATTTATGATGATTCCATTCTAGGACCGTATAAAATTGACGGAGCCAGATTCACTGTTTGAGCATTTTATTATCTCGGGGCTTCATCCTGATGTTAACCTTGAGACTGTGGAGGGTGCATTTGTCAAGAGAAGGAAATGGGAGATAGATATGATAAACTCTGGAATAGTAGACCTTACATTGCTACAGCAGCGGGGACCTCCAATCCCAACATTAGAACCTCAGGTTGACTGCATAACTGCACTTGTTTCAACAGTAAATATGAATATGTTTTCAACACTATCTTTTTAACATTCGGATATGATTTTAGTGGTATTTTGGGACAACGCAATCTGTCCTGATGAGTTTTCCTTGTAGATACAAATAATTTTGAAGTTCCTCAATAGAAATACATTGGATCTTAGTTCATAAAGGAGAAAAAGAAAGAGACTTTGGATCCATTATCTAAAATTTTGCAAGATTTTTACGTACTGCATAAATAGGCAGTCATTTGTGGTTGTCTTCTGGCATGTGATGATAATATACTTATTTTCCAAATGTGTTTACTGGATCCACAGATACTTTTTAAATATCCTCCTGGGAAGCGGCTAGCAATGCGTTTGAAAGATTTATCTGCCTTTTGTTTTCCTGGAGGGGTTAAGGTTTGATATTACTCATTTTCCATGATGCTAAGTTCACTCATTAAACTTATATTCATTTAACACTTATGTTGTATTGATGTAATTCTAAATGATTCTCTTGAGTGGATTTTCATGATACAGGCACGGTTAATGGAGAAGACTCCTTCACTAAGTGATTTGAATCAAGTTGTTTATGGACAGGTGCACACCAAATCGTGTATCTTGTACTCTGTGACATATTTATTTCTCACCCTTTCAAAAACCTCCTATTTTTTCCCATCTATCTAACACAACTTCTTGTTTGTTGGATAGTTTGCATCTGTAACAAACTTTTGCAGTAGTAGGTTCTGTATAACAAATCAACATGTGAACAAAAGTAGCGATTTTAACATTTTCATTGTATTGTTGTTATATTTCTTCATCTACCTTTTTCTATTTGCACAAACAAAAACAAGTGAGAAAAAGAAGAAGAATACAAAGCATAACAGGTATTGAACAATGAAAAAGTAGGTGCCACATAATTATCTTTTTTCTTTGTTCTTCCTTGCTCATACCAGAACCTACGTCTAAACTGTTAGGAAGTGAGTCACAATGTATATTAAGCTAACACCCTTTTCCATGTGCAGTCCATCCTGCACCTGGATAGGCAAACATACATGTAGATAGAGAAACATAGGTGCATCCCCAACCTGCACGTTGCAAACTATTAAATAAGTGGGGAACATGGATATGAGGTTTCGAACACGGGACCTCTGGGAGATAAAGCTCTGATATTTTATACCACCATTGAACCTCGAAAGCTTAAACTATTAGGGAATGAGCCAACAATGTATATCAAGTTAAGATGATCTTTGAAAGCTCTCCTCTTTGTCATCAAGTTAGCCTACTGAAACTCTTTCTCAAATATTTAGGTCGGTACCTTGCCTTTTTAAACAGTCCCAATAGAATTTACTTTTCAGAGTGGAAGCAAAGATAGCAACAATGTTTGGGGCTTGATTCATTTCAAACCTTTATTTTTAACTAAACAAAACTGATCTTGTTTCTGGAATAAGTCCTAACTTTTATCAATCAGATATATCCTCGTGAAAAAGTGTGAGTCATATCCATTAGAGTTTTGCATTTGACTTGCCACTTCATGTTTTATCTCATTATTTTTGATTAACTAATGCTATATTAACTTATAAATCTATAACACAGATAGCACTCTAATTAGTTGATATTCTCTTCAGGAGCATTTAGGCAAAGATGATTTAGCATTTATTTTCTCACTCAAGGTATCCTATGTCTTTATTTGTTGTCTCTTTTGAAGATTTATGCTACCTTCTTGCTTTCGCAGTGTGCTATTTATATATGTTTGTAGCACACATGGTTTCTGAAAGTTATCTTTGTGCCCTTTGATCAGGTGGCAGACAATGCAACACTTTATGGTATTTGCCTACATGTGTCAGAAATTGTTCAGAGGCCTCCTGCTATCTTAGGCATCTCATCCCCTCATCCTCATTCATCTGGAGGACTCTTCCGTTTTTTGGTTTCTGCACCTCGATGCTACTGTGTGCTATCCAGAGTTCCTTTTTTTGAGTTACATTATGAGATGCTCAATAGGTAATGCGATGGAATTTTAATTTCTCTATAACCTGTAAATATGGTATATACATTTCAAATTCATTTTTTATCCTCATGAAATCAATCGCTGTATTTTACTTGGATGCAGTATCATTCAAGAGGAGCGTCTGAATCGAATAACACAATTTGCTAGTGAAATATCCCTCCATGATTATGTTCCTACATTGCCCAAAGTACATGATGAAATGAATGATCATGATGATTCCCCTCATAAGGAGTCATTTGATGATTGGATGGACTCTGCAATACCTGTTGACAGTGCACTAGCCCTTACGGCTGCTGGTGCAGGAATTAGATCAGATGATGAGACTCCACCTTCTTCACTCAAGATATGGGAACCTCAGTCCCCTGAAAGTGTTACTGCTAGTGAGAGTTCAGATTTTAGTCAAGTACGGTATTTAGACAAGGATGGTAGAAAGGATTCACAATGTTATGATGACTATGGTTTTGAGGCCATAGAAACTCACTCGGAGACTTCAGAAAGAATATATGGAAGCTATGGAAATGGCCACACTTCTCCAGAGGTTGGGCCATCTTTCTCCTCCAGGAATCGCACATTGGAGAGTCTTGGGAGTTCTGAATATCTATTTAGGTGGTAAATATATTGTTATCTTACTATTTGGTTTATCATTTTGTGCTTAAGACATAAATTAATTAATTGTTTTCAGAAATGGCCATACTTCTCCAGAGGTTGGGACATCGTTTTCCTCTAGGAGTCGCACATTGGAACGTCTTGGGAGTTCTGAATCTCTATTCAGGTGGTAAATATATGGTTATCTTACTATTTGACTTGTCCTTTTATTCTTAAGACATAAATTAGTAGTTTTTCTTTTACCCATTGCTCTGTTGGTATATATGCTGTTACACGGGATTCAGTAGTTCTTGAAACATTTCTGCTACTCTTATGCGGTCATTTGGATATACCCATTTATAATTTCTCTCTCAATTCTTTATGGCATGTCAAATAACTTAATGATTCCCATTTGTCTAAGTACAACTTCAATAATCTATTATTATCTTTGGCAGTCCAGCTAGAAGCATGGTATCAGAGGATGACGACGATGACCTTTTCTCAAATTGTGAGAAAGAGTTTGGTGATGAATTGATAATGGAATGGGCTAGGGTGAGTTTATTAATTTTTATCAATATCTTCGATGTTTACACAACTTTTTTTTTCCTTCTATGTAAGTGATATTTTGAATTCCATATGACAGTTATTTTTGTATAAACTCTCTATGATAGGAGAATAAGAACGATTTGCTACAGATTGTTTGTGGTTTTCATGCTCTGCCTCTTCCCCAACCAGGAAGTGAACTAGCTTTTCAACCTCTTGAACATCTACAGGCTATTGAGTATAGGCGACCTCCAGTTACTGCCCTTGGTTTTGATGAAAAAAGTTTAGATTCGTTTGAAGATCCTGGGGTATTTGATTAATTGCTCATTGTTCTTAGGCCACTCTCTCTCTCTCTCTCTCTCTCTCTCTCTCTCTCTCTCTCTCTCTCTCACACACACACACACACACACACATATTTTAGCATTTTATAATATTCACTCAACATTACTTCACTTGGTTAAAGGTCAATGCTAAATTGGCTGCTGCTGAGGAAGCTTTTGCACTATCACTATGGACGACTGCTACAATTTGCCGAGTTCTCTCCCTTGAAAGCGTAAGCTCAATTGTTTTGCTCAAGTCCATTCTAAATTTTTTTCATTATATGGTTCAGATTTTTTTTTTCCTTCTGTAGTAACCAATATATCATCATGTCACGTAATGAGTTTCTATTCTTTCCTATGTGATCAATGTTTTCTCAATATAAGTTTCACAGGAGGGAAATAACACAGCCGGTGAAAATTTGTTTATAAGGCCAGAAATCCCCAAAGATCTAACATAGAAAAATAATAACTGGATAACCTGTAACTGTATTGATGTGAGCCCTCCATCCGGTAGGGTTTTTATCATTTTCAAATTTGAATGGCAACGAGGAAAGCTACAAGGACAGTACAACAATTCTTGCTCCTGTGACCTTTGTAACACAAAGTAAAAGTGCCGTATAAAGCCAAAATCTTCGAGGAAACACCACAACTCTAAAGACAGCCCAACTTTGTGGACTATTATCATCTTCGTACGGCCATCTGAGTTAAGTCAATCGAGTGAGACTAAAAGTAACAATGGTACCACCACTGAAAATGACGTTCCTGCTTTAGCTTATCTCATTTTCATGTGATTTACCTCTTAATAAGTTGGTAGATAAGGTACTTATATACAGAAACAATATGGAGAACTTGTTAGCATAGTTCTTCTGGAAATGCTTGGTACATGATCTTAAGCCTTCACATTTTGACCTAACAGTATCTTTGAAAGTGGGCTGATGTTTGTGGTCAAGAATGTACCCACTTTTGCCCCAGGAAAAAGAAAGTTTATTTTGTCCCCCCAGTAAATCTTGTTGTCTACTTTTGTTAATTCATAACTGGTTTTTTTTCCAGATTTTAGCGTTGTTTGCGGGTGTGTTACTAGAAAAACAAGTGGTAGTAGTGTGTCCGAATCTGGTGAGTTAATGTTTGTATTGGAATTACTTTGTCAATCCTGAGAGCAATTTTTGTCTTCTTCAAATTTTGACCATTTGACACTTCACTAATGCAGGGTGTGCTATCAGCTACAGTGTTATCTCTCATTCCCATGATTCGTCCATTTCAATGGCAGAGTTTAATGCTTCCTGTAAGCTCGATATTATTAGTGTTCTGCATCTACTTTAATTGGTTTATATATGTGAGTTTATGTGTACTTTAACGAAACTTGGGAAGTCTGAGTTCTTAAATATTTAATGATTAAACTGTTCTGGGGTTTTATCGTAAATAAAGTTTGTTAGTTTTAAACCCCTTCAACAATACTGAATTTTCACCAATGAGGATTACATGCATAAACAATGGTGTTTTGTTCGGTGTACATAAATGTTTCCTAATACACTGACTTCACTCTTGGATTTGTCCTGTCCTTGTATTATACACACACACACACACACACACACACACACTGTTCTTTGATAATATTGTTTCGTCTCGGATGGTCATTTACCAAGTATTCTATAGGTGCACTAGTACTTCTTTATGAACATCGTATTTTCTTAAGTTTCTTCAATATTCTTCAGGTTCTACCAGGGAAAATGGTTGATTTTCTTGACGCCCCAGTTCCGTTTATTGTGAGTTTCATCCCATATTAATCGTCGTACTTGTATCTTTTGTTATATGTATTCCATTGCATTTTGTTGTATGGCTAGTTAAGTTTAAGGCTTGATTAAACTCAGTTGATTGCTTTGATTGAATATTTACCAAACCAGAATTCTAAAGGGGATGCCAAAGCGAAATGCATAATATTGCTTCGCTTGGAATTCTATTTTGTTCCTAGATTATATATAGGAAATACTTACTTCTAGAAAATTCATGTAACTCTAAGTTCGAACTTGAATTTCAGGGGTTGTAAGAAAATGGTACCATTGTTTCCAGTTTTATTTTTTTTTGCTCTTATCATTTTGCAGATCGGGATACAACAAGTTCCTGCAGATCTAAAGAGGAAAGCATGGGATCCTGTTCAAGTTAATGTGCAAAAGGATCAGGTTTCTTATTTTTACTTTTTTCTGCTATCAAATATAGATGATCTCTAAAACACAATGGAATTTTTTTTTTTTTTTTTTTACTTTTTTGCATGCTTGAGAATCACACAATTGAAATTGAACATTCTAGAACTTCTGAAATTTTGAAATTTGTTGCAGTTTATAAGTTTCCTTTTGGACTAAGAATGTCTTTTTTTCTTTGGGTCTGAGGACTACCAATGTATGTGCTTCAAATTGTCTTTTTTATTTTATATTTTATAAGGATGAAAAAACATAAAAATTTCCGTGGTCTTCCACCTTGTATCTCTTGCGAACTACGGAATGCTCAGTTTTCCTTGCAACTACTTTGATGGAATTATGATGTATTTTATAGTTTTCAATAATTACCCAAAAATTTGCAAACTAAGAATAATTAGTATCAACTTTATTGCTCATGCAGGTGAAAATGTGTCATTTGCCAACACTTCCAAGACATAAAGATCTGGCCTCTGAACTAGGGCCCATCCATGCTAGACTGTCACGTGAAGGTTCATTTGCTAAAAAGCATCCTGTATATAGGTGCAACGAAGTGCAGGTTTATTGTCATACTTGCATGCTTACTGCTTCTGCTCGTGATTCTGATGGATTTACACTAACAAAGAGTGATGTTGGAAACTTCACTCTCATACTTGCATGCCTACTGTTTATGCTCGTTACTCGTATTATGGAAAAAAATTTTAGAATCTATAATTAAAGGCCTGGGGTCATGTAACGAGTCCAAAGCGAGTTTTTTAGTTTTCAACAATATGGTTATGATACTTTTCTAAGCAGTTTCACTCTTTTACGTTTCAGGTCGAAGCTGCAGGTCAGTTTTTAGACGTCATGAAGAACTACTTGGAGTCACTTTGTTCTGAGCTAAGGTCTTACACAATAACGAGTGTACAATCAAACAATGACAGGGTAGAGAAATTAATGCCATAGTTTCTATATTCCTCCAAATCTTCAATAATATAAAACTATAAATAGCTAAATATCACAGAAGACCTGGCTTATTATACTTTTTTGACATGTAAATTTTTTCCTGTCTATTCAGGTTTCTTTACTTCTTAAAGAGAGCTTCATTGATTCCTTTCCTAGCAAGGACCGGTCGTTTATCAAGGTAACGTGCAATTCTTTCTAAATGTCTCATGCATATTTCATTACATTTACTTATCTATTTAGGCTAAGTTGTAGTTGAATGCAGTTATTTTATCACCTTTCTATTATTTCATCTGCAACTTTCGGCTTCTACAGTTGTTTGTAGACACACAAATGTTCACTGTTCTATCGGACTCTCGCCTGTCAAGCTTCGAGAATGGTGAACCCTAAGTTAAACCTTTTACAAGTTTAAGTGCATTGTTGTAAGATTCCAAGTTGCAACTCAAAGATTTTTCTCAAGGGTAATGGCTTCTGCAACAGTTGACGAATCACAAGGCACAACTAATTCAGAGTGAGGGGGCGGAATGGCTTATGGTCCTTTTGGTGATGGCCTGTCCAGGAATTTGCCAACCTAATATGGTTTGGGGGCCACGCCACTATCTCTTGCAAACTGCTGGCTAAAGCCTGCGGCAAATACTTTGTAACATAAAGTTATAGTCAAAAGTGCAAAATCCCCACACCACCATCTATTGTAGTGCACACACTAAAGGATCACAATCCCAATTATTTTATGGGATTTGATGTTGGATCTATAAGAAACTTCCATCTCGTCAAAATCTTGTAAATGTCAATAGACAAAACATAGTATTACGAGACTTTTTTCTGATCAAATATGTTTTGGCCGCTGATGCTTAAATTGTTATTGTCATAGGTAAATGTGAATTGCATCGAAATACATTTCGCTTATTTTGAGGGCAAAATAATCTCGACTATTTTCAATGAAATGCGAGGCTGAGCATAAACAAAAAACCTGATTTCAGTAAATGTAAACACAATTGTAATATAGCACATACCCGTGTATTATTTGTTTTACATGCAAACTCGGTTTCCAACCCCCAAAAGAAAAATGTTTCCACTAAGCTCTTCATTTTGATCGCATATACATTGCCATAGTCTAATTTCTGAGGGCAAAGTGGCATCGACCGCATTTCCGTTTACATTTACATTGTCATTTGATGCAGTGGCTAATGCCATCGGTTAATTCTTGCAGAAGCACTGTACAGAGGTAAGGTGCTATGCAAGGGCTGCCTCACAGTAGCCTCTGGTTTCTGCCCTGTTACAGCAATTGCGTTTTCTAGAAATGGCCAACCTTAATCAAATCATTTCTCTTCATCCTCGGAGTCCGATTTTGCAAAAACTGTTTCGGGCTGGGTTTGTGCATAAGCTGGAGCAATGTACTTTGGATCTTTTGCTGCAACATCCGCAAACTTCAGTATGGCTTCTCTGGGATCTTCCTCCATCCAAGTCTCCTTGATCATGCCCCCTTGCTGAAACGGGACTAAAAGGATGAGTATCTTTTCTACAGTTGCATTAAATTTGGAAAGAAAAGATAAATAATGAACGGAGAAATAACCATTACCTTCATAAGGTACTGGGTCAATAAGCTTCCTTTACTTGCGCCTACTCGTCCACCAAAGCCTGGGCCTGTCATGGGAAGTTCAGGCTTATGGGATTTCAGTGGGTCCTTCAATGTTTTCTCTCGCTCACGCTTACGGCTTGGTTGATCTCTAAATAAAGGTAGAGCATGAGGGTTGTGAATCACTGGTTTTGCCTCAAAATCGTCAATAGATTTTTTCCTTGGAGCACGTGCAACACAAACAAGAGCTCCTTTTTCACTAAGGGTTGGATCATATAACACATGAGTTCCTCCTTGGCTTTTATCTCCAGCTGTTGCAAAGATCTTCACAAACAAAGGCATGTGAGACTTTTCATTTTTTACTTTTGGAAAATCGAAGGCATGTAATTATGAGTATACTTTCATCCTTCATTTATTGTGCATGCATGCGTATGAATGTGTTCAGTGATTCTCAATAGATCAACAAGCGCTTCAGAAAAATGATAGATTAAACAAGCATGTTATTATTGAGAGTTTACCTGATTGAGTTTTGGGTGCCAAGCACAGTGTACAACACTACAGGTGGGGGATATCCCAACTTTTGAAACAAGTTGAAGTTTTGCTCGATCAAAGAAGCATAGCAAACCTCCAGTAGTGCTCTCCCTTTCAACAGATGTTCCAGTCAAGAAGAGTTGCTCATCAGGACTAAATGCTATATTAGTTTGGGCATAGTTGTTTGGGAGATCATCAAACACCTTAAGAGGATCCTTCATCTGACGCAAATCCCAAACCTGGTACACATGTAAATTAGAAGGGAGACACACAACAGAAAGAAAAAAAAATTCTGACATAGTCCGATAATAAACAGCAGTATATCCTTACTCATGTAATTCATTACCTTCAATGAACCATCAAGGCTTCTTGATAGTAAGATTCTCCCATCCATAGAAAACTTAAGTGCAGTAATATCATCTGAATGACTGTTTTGAACATGTATATCTGGCCTGCTCCCCCATCCAGGCTTAAGGTTCCATATCTGTCAGAATGATACATGTTATGTGAGAAGAAGCTGATGGAAATAGCATTAAGTACAATAACATCACAAATCTATCTATCCAACCAATGCAAACTTCCATTTTGGGGTGGGGGAGACCTAGTTCGCTTTTTTAGTACTGAGCCCATTTGAAGTAAGAGAGATTCAGCCAATACCTGTATAGAACCATCTCCTATACCACCTGCAATGCGTTTTCCATCACGATCCCAGGCACAAGTGGTGACCGGAATTCTTCCAGGCCTTGCAAGTTTTGGCTTGATTACCTGTTCATTGAGGTATTGCATCATTTAGTTTAAAGCATCAAGTTCGGTAATATACCTTCTCATTAATTAAAAAAAAGTAAAACAGAGTATCCACAGTAGAAATCATTCTAAAAGGCAAAGTAGCATTATCAGATCCAGGATCAATAATCCAATTTACTATTACACAAAGCACTTGCAAATTCTGCAGAGAACTAAAACCATTTTGCTAGTCACATAGTTATGCAAGACAACCGAAACCAATATTATACAAAAGCATATCTTTAAGCAAGACCCAAAACAATATCGAACCTGTTTCTGAGTTTTGAAGTCATTGACATCCCAAATACGCAGTGATCCATCCTCGGATGATGTCAAAATGGTGTCTTTAGTTCTAGGGTGCCACTCTCCACAAGTCAATCCAGAAATGTGGCCCTTGGTATTCTTGAGATCACGAATATACATATCCCCCTTTACAAACTCTCCCAAAGTAAGCCCATCGCGATCATATATCTGAAAATTTCACACAAAGACGAAAACGGTATAGGAAATGCAAATGCCCATTACGCGCCAATCTCATATACACAAAACCAAAATCAAAGAAAGAAAAAATAATAACAAAATTCACACAAGAAGATGTTGATTAAGAGCACCTTCGCTTGAGCTGAGCCTGTAACACAGAGAAAACGATCGGCTGTTGGACTCCAGCTTATGGTACGAACTTGATGACCTTCAGATGGTTCGAGCTGCCTAAAAGATTGCAACTTTGAATTCATTCCTTGGAAATCGTACATTCGCACAGAATAGTCATAGCTACCGGAAACAACTCTAGACCCAGTGTGATCGACGGCGAGGGCCGAAACGACCTTGGTATGGCCCTTCAGCACAATCTCATTGCTTAGCGGAATCCGATACCTATTCTCCAACTTTGAATCCGAATCAGAATCCGAATCCGAATCCGAATCGTCCATGTTGGACCCCACCGGCGGCCTCGGCGGTCCAATCATCTCGCCATCGTCGTCGTCACTCTCGGCAATCTCAGATTGTGGCGGCGGAGGCGGCGGTCCAATCATGACATCGCCATCTCCATCCTCATCGTCTGCAGGGCTAGGTTCAGGATTAGGGTTAGGTTTAGGGTTTTTGGGGGCGCGGAGGGAGGTGAGCCAGGTTTGGGAGGAGGAGGAGAGAGAAGGGAGGTCGTTGGTTTTGGTGGAGGAGGGGTTTTCTGGAGGATTGTTATCAGAACGACGAGTCGTGTTGTGAATGGCTTCGAGAGAGGTTTGAGCCTTGGATTGCTTGCCAAACGTGAGAGGAAATTCAGCTCTGATTCCGTCGTATATCTCTGCCTCATCGTCCGCCATTGGAATGTGTCTCTCTGCACTGTTCTTCTTCTTCTCCTCCTTTATCGATGTCCAAAACGTCGGCGTTTCTGGTGTTTTCCGACGGAGACTGGTTTATACGTGTTCAAGCTCTACCGCCATGAATTTTAAGATTTCGTTGCTGTTTGCAACTTTGCCGCGAGAGAAAGAAATAGCTGGTGGGTTGGGGTGGCCCAATTACTGCCCCATTTTGGACTAAGCCCAATTTTTGGAATTTTATTTGGACACCCAGTCTAAGTTTACAGTATTCCAAACCCAATATAGATTCTTTCACGTCTGTGACAACCTCCATATAATTAATCTCTTCATAAATCTAAGGGGGTTGTATTCAATTGAGATTTTAAAAGACTATTTAGAGATAAAAAAGTCTAGTGGATTTAAACAGAATGTAATGATTTATAAGATTTTATTTATGAATTTTTTATAATCAAGATTTTTTAGTTATGTATTTTATAAGATTTATATCAAAATATATAAAATTTGAAAGGACCACATGGATTTAGCGGATTATGAGTTTAAAAAATCCAATGGCTTAGAATATACCACATCAGCTAAATAAGTTTTGGTTTTATTTTTTTGAAACTGGGTTTAACAATGCTAACTGCAATTCTGCTAGTAACCTTTAACCCCTCTTGAACTTCTTGAAGAATCACCAAAAGGTGGATGCACATGGTGGCGAGAATCAAAGATAAAAAACACAAAGTTGGGTTAATTCTTTCTACCATGCACGTTGAGCAAAATTCCACAAAAAAATGCTGAAATTAATTTCTCCTTCATATTAAGAAAGAGAAAACCACATAGTCTCCTCAACATTGAACAAGTTTAGATTTGGGTTGCTGCGTTTTCAGCTGAATTCTCTACCTCTCATTCAACAGAATCAATGGTAGTACTCCCATTAGCAAAACCATCGTCCCCTACTGCTTGAACACTACCTTCAAGTTCAATCAAGTTCTGCCACATCTCAACTTTTTGATCCTCGACTACGTCACTACTTGTCATATTGTCACTAATTACCCCATCATCACGATCATTTACCATTTTGTTTTCAGTTGCAACTAGATTGTCAGAAACATTATCTCCTTTACTAATAGAGTATTGAGCTGCAACCCCATTGTATTCCACTTGAGCTAGTGAGCTGAGAATTTGGATCATTCTCTCCTTTCACAGCAGAAGGCATGTTATCAGGTAAGTTAACATCCCTGGACAATCCCATATTGGTTCTCAGTTGCTGCAGCAAAGCCTCTTTGAGGCATTTTGTTGAACAAATGGTGGGAACCAACTAAGTGCTGAGTATTGCAAGAACAGTAGACATGTACTCGAAATGTATTTTGTACAGTCTTAGCTGTAGACAAAAGAACACCAGATATAGCATTATCAAGAACTTCAACACATCTAACCCTCGCAGACTTTGAATTTGGAAGCATACTCATCACTTGTTCAGTCACTCCACCAGACTCAGATGTGATCGGATAATACAATACCCAGACTTTGTTGTATACCTCTGAGAGGAATTAAACAAAGCATAGCCCACTAAATTGGTCTCAAGTATTCCTCTAAGAGCTTGCCCACAACGTAAAGCATAAAAATTTGTAAAGGCAAGGCCAGCATGAGCCATGGTTATGTACTTGGGGATCGCCGGAGAGGGTGGTTTTGTGATATGGATCGATGGGTTTAGGCGGGTCCTTCAGTAGAGCCTCGGGTTCATCTTTTCCAGAGAAAAAAAAATCCCACATGAAAAAATCCCACACAATTTCACATTTTTAAAAATCCTTCGAAATTAGCAAGTTTTTGAATATCATAAGACTTTTTGTTACTTGTTTAAAGTCTTGATTGAATACTATGTGATTTCGACACCCTCTTTTAAAAATCATAATAATCTTAATGGAATACCACAAGATTTGTTTAGATTATTTGAAAGTCTTAATTGAATACCACAAGACTTTTTTATTCTAAAATAGTCTTTTAAAATCTTAATTGAATACACCCCCTTTAAGACTCATGCAATAAATAAGCATATAAAGAAAAGGGCTTCTGAAATCAATATAATTACTGGATATGAAGAATTTTAAGAGTAAGCCAAAACTGGAGTCTTGAAACACCATCTGCTTTCCAAAAACTACAATTTAAGGTTCGAAATACAAGAGCAAAGAATTACATCAAATAGGGGAAAATTTTTTAAAAACACTAAATTGCAGACCTTGCAGCTTTTGCTGTTGTGGAAAAAGAAATGGAGAGGATGGCCGTACTCTTTTCTTCACTGAAAAGTCTCATACTACTTTGTCACGGGTCACATGGCGGCTATGCCGTCGCAGAAGTGCTCGCAGACAGCGTCGTGACGAATTTAGGGTTAGGGATTCGGTTTTGGTCGAATAGGTTTGGGGATTGTGGTGAAGAAAGAAAAATTATGGGATTTCGGCAACTCCTTCCCTTACTAAGGCCACTTCCAGCAGTGGGAATCTTGCCATGACAAGGGGGGGCTAGGGCTGACACTATTCACAGGAATAGTGTCTGCCTTTACAAAAAGTAAGTTGCACTTCCAGCAGTTGTCATGGCCAGGGGGGGTACTATTCAATTGTTTGTTTTTTTCACAAATTTGTTTACCTAAACAATTAATTTGGACAATATTTTCAGATGAGATTTTTTGATAAAATATTCTGATAAGATTTTCGGTTTCAAATTTAAGATAAATTTTTGTTTCAAATTTCAGATAAATTTCATTTGAATTTCAACTTTTCATTTGAATTTCAATTTTAGATAAATTTCATCCGAGTTTCAAATTTCGGATAAGATTTTCACCCTATAAAATTGTGCCACGTGTCATCTGGATTTCAAATTTAAGATAAATTTCATTTGAATTTCAACTTTTCATTTGAATTTCACATTTCAGATACATTTCATTTGAATTTCACATTTCAAATACATTTCATTTGAATTTCAAATTTCGGATAAGATTTTCACCTTATAAAATTGCGCCACGTGTCATGTCTATCGACCTAAATTTTTCTATAAAACGAAGGCTCAGCTCATAAACCTCTCACACTACATCTTCTCAAAAATTTCATTTCTCAGATTTTAGATTTCATATTTCATATTCCATTCACAATGTCAGACATGGAGGAGGTTTTGGAGAGGCAAGAGCGAGAAATAAGAGAAAGAATGCGTAGACGAGCTGCAAGCAAAAGAGCGTAGAGAGATCTAGATCAGCAACTTGTCGTGGCTGTGGCTTTGCTTGATGAAGAAAACCAGAGCAGTCGTGGTTCCCATGAAGGTCGTGCCCCAAATGTTGACAGATATAGGCATTCTCGGGGTAAAAATCTTATGGAAGATTATTTTATCCCAACATCTTTGTACTATGACGTTCATTTTCGAGGGCAGTATAGAATGCAACAACATTTGTTCAATAAAATCATGCATGATATTTGCAATTATGATGAATACTTTGTTCAAAAGAGAAATTGTGCTGGTGTTTTGGGACTGCTTCCCGAACAAAAGTTCATAGCTGTTATACGAATGTTGGCGTATGGTGCATCTGCTGATCAGGTGGATGAGATTGCCCGGATGGGGAAGTCCACTGCCTTGGAAAGTTTGGTTAGATTTTGTGATGCAGTCGAAACTCTGTACACCAGGGACTATCTGCGCCGACCCACGCCCAGGGACCTGCAACGACTTCTACAGAAAGCCGAACGGAGATGATTTCCAAGAATGATTGGTAGCATCGACTGCATGCACTGACAATGGAAGAATTGCCCAACTGCTTGGCAGGGTGATTACAGAAATCAGAAAGGCCAAAAAAGCATAATCCTTGAAGCCGTTGCAGGTTTCGATATATGGGTTTGACACACCTTCTTCGGAGTTGCTGGAGCTCAAAATGACTTGAACATCCTAGGTCAATCCCCGGTGTTCAATGATGTTTTGAGAGGAGAAGCCCCGAAAATCACATATGAAGTCAATAATACCGTCTACCAAACTGGATATTATCTAGCTGACAGCATCTACCCAAGGTGGACAACATTTGTGAAATCACTTCCGCATCCCCGAACCCAGAAGCAAAAATTATTTGCTACATATCAAGAGGGTTACAAAAAGGATGTGGAGAGGTGCTTTGGTATCCTCCAAGCTCGGTGGGCGATCATTAGGGGTGCAGCGCGTATGTTTGATGAGGAGGTGTTGAGGAGCATAATGATGACATGCATCATCCTTCATAACATGATTGTGGAGGATGAGTATGATTACGAAGCTGAAGAGGTGTACGAACCGGATCCCATGAACATGGCCTTGACCCGAATTTATGAAAAACCCATAAGGGCAAATGGAGGACTAGTGGAGCATGAACCGTTGGTTAGAGATGGTCTTTTCATTAACCGTATGATTGATCGATATACGGAGATGCAATCTTCGTATATTCATGAACAAGTTGACTTAATGGAGCATTTATGGGCAGTGAAAAGCAATGACGGTGAATGAAGTGAAGTGAAGAACATTTTTAAGATTTTAATGTTTATGTTTTATGTTTGGTTTTTTTATGCTTTGGTTGGGGTTTGTTTGTTTTTATATTTTTAATGCTTTGGTTGTGGTTTGTTTGTTTTTATATTTTTAATGCTTTGGTTGTGGTTAGTTTTTTTATGTATGGAATGTTTTGAATAAAAAGGAATTTTATTTAATAGTTTCTTTGGTAACTCAAAGAAAACCAATACTACTAATAAAATAAAATACATGAATTACAACTAATTTTTAAAACAAAACATTAAAATACAATGAAATGAAAAAGCAAGCAAACTAACTTAAGGGTTTTCATCATTTAACCAATCCGTATTGCTAGGTCCATCATCACGAAAAAGTCTTCGTCTCATAATAGCCTTTCGTTCTAGCTTCCAATATTGTTTTGTTTCAGGAGACATGTGGCTTGTATTCATGGCCATGGTTTCCCGATCCTTCTTTTCTTTGTTTTCTTTGCGTTGATACTCCCTTTCTTTGCTTACATACTCCCTTTCTTTAGCAAATTCTATTGCCATTGCCCTATCATCTTCTTGGACTTTCCTGTCTATTTCAATTCTCAAGGCGCTTTGCCTTGCAATTTCCTCCAAAAATTTAGAGGTATTACTCGTAGAATTAATTCCTCTCTTTGCCTTCGCCGCCTTCCTCCCAATAAGCCTCGGCTCCTTTTCAATGGGTGAGTCTTCACTCATAGGGGATTCCATAGGTGAATCCGAAGCTTGTGAATCATGGAGTGGCGTCTCGTTTAACACCACCGTTGGAGCCGTTGGAATAATGCTAAATTACAATGCTTCACCACCTCCCAACATTGGGTATGGTTGAAACTTTTTTTCCCTTGTCCAGTAGGACAATACCACATTTGAGCTTGCACAATCTATATATAAAAAAAAATTGAATAAGCAAGGAACTTAAAAAAAATATTGGTAATGCAAAAAAGATAAACATATGAATGAAAATCCAAGAAATATTAACAAAATATAGAGAATGCAACAACCATTTAAATAAATATTAGAAATACAAGAAATAATAACAAAATATAAAAATTGCAAGAAACATTTAAATAAATATGGAAATACAAGAAATATTAACAAAATATACCAATTGCAAGAAACATTAAAATTAAAATTAATAGGACATTAAAATTAATAAAATGAAAATTACAAATAATTTACCTCATCGCTGAGATTTTCCCCGCTTGCATGGGTATTCATCGCTTTTGTGAGGGCATCTCTCCATTTCCCCAACTCTCTGTTGAGAAGTTTCCACCGACTTGACAATGCGCTTTCCATACGGGTGGAACCCGATCTTTCAACAAATTCGTGAAGAATTTTTTTCCACATTTGACTGAATTTCATCTCATTACCCGATATGGGATCATGACTAATTTGGACTCAACACTCACACAACGAGACATCTTCCATGATGCTCCATGCCCCTTCGGTTTCTTGAGAAAAAGCCATAATGATAGAGAAAAATTAAACTTGAAAGTGAAAACAATTTAGAGTAGAAAGTGAAGAAAATATTGAGTAGAAAGTGAATAATAGTTGGAGAAGGAGAAGATGTATGAGAATTTATTGTTAAAACTGAAGAGTAGGTATTGGTATTTATAGAAAAAAATTCAGTATTTTTTGGGGTTTTTTTAAAAAAATTTACTATTTTTTTTCATAATTTTTTGCATTGAAAAATTCCAGACCGTTGGATTGGATGACAAGACGAAATCGGAAGGACCAGAGTGCGCCACGTCGCAACGCGCCAACGGTAAAAAATTTTAAAAGCGCATGATGACGTCAAACTGACATCAGCAATGACGTCAGCCGCGCCTTCGGGCCAGCCCAGGCTCATGGACCCCACCCTGCCCGGGCCAGCCTTTGTTGCTGAAAAGTCGTTTTGGGCTCTACCCCACCCCCCCGGCCCGAGCCCTAGGGGGCTGCTGGAAGTGGCCTAACAATAATCCGATTTGGCGCTTAGAAAACTGATTTGGGCGTTAGCGGCTAGCCCAATTCCTGACGTTCCGGAGTTTCCAATTCATCTAAAACCCAATTATTTCCTAAAGTGCGCCGCCGGGCCCACATATCCAATCTTTTATCATACGTGTCTATTATCTACATGTCATCGTTAGGGATAGATGTGACCTCCTAAATCTGAACCACCACAGATCTTGGACTCTTACATGTAAATGGTGTTTTTTTATAGTCGGCTGAAAATCTAATTGGTTTTATAGCAATTATGTAGTCAAACCCCCGTATTGGTCAATTCATCCACAATGCATAGAATATTAAAAATTAAATGAACGGTGATTATAGACATTGGCATGTATTAGCAGCCTCAATGTAAGCTAGGCTATAAACATATTAATTTATAAATTAATTCAATCATTACATGAAATGAAAGTGGCCAACAGACCCTAGTTGCTTGGGGTTGAGCGCATCATAAAAAGAATGTGACCAAGGTCATTTTATGTCTGACTTTGACCTCATCTTTAATTGCGTGGTTATGCGCACTTGTCGTGGCTTCGATTCGATTTTTTCAAACCAAGACTTAAACAGGAGCCGTGGTGGCAGTGGGTTGTTGCACTAGTCTTCTTGGGATTTAGACTACATGGGTGGGTTCAATGTGCCCTGTTATAGGGCGGTTCTTAATAGGTGAGGGGTTTTATCACATAATGCATCGGTCATATTAATAGCGGAACTATTCATTATATATTGTATTTTATTTAGTCAAGTTTCCGATGTGAGACTTATATTCTTCAGCACCTCGTTTAAAACAAAATATGTGAGCGAACCCAAGACCATATACATCTATGAATTGTGATCTGCAACACATGTTTGTTTGCATATCAAGTTGACTTGAGGCAAAATAGAAAATGAAATAAATTACAATCAATATGGAAAATCTGGTGAACTCATATCAACGCATTTTCCTTTTGGGCAAAAATTGATGGCGCTTATGTTTGGAATAGGTGGCCGCCGATTTGGCGCATTCAAATGATGCGAACTCGATAAATGCAATACATATATAGTTGGTATAGTAATTAGCTAGCCGATGTAAAAGTCAAACCCCCACATGATGAATTTCACTCTCTTTGGCGTGAACGGTGAAGGAGGAGCCAGCCAGCCAGCCACAATACGTGCCATATATGAAAATGTAATGAATGGTGATGATATCATCCATGATGTCTGAAACTTTTGATTATGACATATATCATGCATGACTTCTATCTATAAATTATCCAGGAAAGTGGCCAACAAAAAGCCAAACCCTTTTTCTCTTGCCTTTTGTTTTCCCATGATTTGCTATCTTCTTTATTAAGTTGGTACTTTGGATAAAAAAGATTTGGGTTTTTAATTTGTAGCTCTAGCTAGCTCTCACTGGTTCTTCTACATGGAGATAAGTTGTGATCTTGAGAAAGCTGGTCACAGTTTCAAAAATGCTTCCTTTTGGACTGACAATGGCGCAGGAGTTTTCTCATCATCTTCACGTGGAGAGGATGATGAGGAAGCTCTCAAGTGGGCTGCTCTTCAGAGACTTCCAACTTTCCAGCGCTTGAAGAAAGGTTTGATCTCTACATCCGAAGGCCGTGCCGACGAAGTTGATGTGAGCCGTCTTCAAGTACAAGAAAGGAAGAATTTGATTGAGAGGTTGGTTGGAGTAGCTGAAGAGGATCATGAGAACTTCTTGTTGAGGCTCAAGAACCGCATTGATAGGTAAGAATTTAGAATTAATCTCAACTCTACATGTTGCTCTTTTCTTGAATTTTCTCTGTTTTAAAAAAATTATATATTTATAGTAATGGGTTTGTTGTACTTGGAATGTATCTCAGAGTTGGAATTAGTCTTCCTACAATTGAAGTTAGGTTTGAGCATTTAAAAATTGCCGCTGAAGCTTATGTAGGAGGCAGAGCTCTGCCTAGTGTCTTTAACTACTGTGTTAATTTAGTGGAGGTAATAATTGACCACTAAAATTCAGTTTGTGTATTGCATCCATAATCTTGGTGTTAATACGTTCTAACATAACTATTTGTTTCTGGCTTCCAAGGGTTTGTTGAACTCCTTCCGTATTCTTCCTAGCAAGAAGCAACACTTGACTATCCTTAAGGATGTCAGTGGGATCATCAAGCCTTGCAGGTGAGAAAGTTGCAGACTATGTCTTATATATATATATATATATATATACATTTGTTGGAGTTTGTGTGGCCTAATACTCACTTGGTTCATGTGTTTGCTCAGAATGACACTGCTTTTGGGTCCTCCGAGTTCCGGAAAGACCACACTCTTGTTGGCTTTGGCGGGAGAGCTTGACCGGGATCTTAAGGTTACACAACATGAAATGGGGCCTTAAGATTTTTTATTTTAGCTTTAGTCTAAAGGTATTACTCTTGGATTATGTTACTAATTAGTCAAAATTCTTGTGCAGTTTTCTGGACGTGTGACCTACAATGGTCATGACATGCATGAGTTTGTGCCTCAGAGGAGTGCTGTCTATATCAGTCAACATGATGTTCATATTGGAGAGATGACAGTCGGAGAAACATTGAATTTTTCTGCAAGATGTCAAGGGGTTGGAGCTCGTTATGGTTCGTTTACAGGACTTCTTTTTATTGAACTTTCAGAATCAGACCAAAGACTATAACAGGAAAAGATGACTGAGGTTTTTTTTTCTTCTGAATTTTGACAGATATCCTAGCAGAGATAAGTAGAAGAGAGAAAGAAGCAAATATTAAGCCAGATGCAGACTTGGATATCTACATGAAGGTGAGAATATCTACTTAAGAGGTCTGTAAACTACAACTATATTATGGACACCATTTTTCTTGGATGATTAGTTAATTTTAAGTTGTTTTTTGTTATTATAGGCAGTGGCATCAGAAAGCCAGAGGGCACAAGTGGTGACAGATTATATTCTAAAGGTAAAGCATCATATTTGTTTTTGCAATAACAAAAGGACTTTTGAAAATTACCCATGCACTATTTCTCTTTATTGATCAATAATCCATTTGATTTTCAGATCCTGGGACTGGATGTCTGTGCAGATACCTTGGTAGGGGATCAATTAATTAGGGGCATCTCTGGAGGACAAAAGAAACGAGTCACAACGGGTAAACAAAGTCTTGTTCTTGCATTAAAGCACATGCATTTTAAATTTAAGTGGCAAATCTTTGACAAATGAATCATATATAGGTGAAATGTTGGTTGGACCTGCTAAGGCATTATTCATGGACGAAATATCTACTGGTTTGGATAGTTCAACTACATATCAAATTGTGAATTCGATCAAGCAATATGTTCATATTCTCAAGGGGACTGCATTCATCTCACTGCTGCAGCCAGCACCTGAGACTTATGAACTATTTGATGACATTGTTCTCCTTTCTGATGGTCAAATTGTGTACCAAGGTCCTCGTGAACAAGTTCTTGAATTTTTTGAATCCATGGGCTTTAGATGTCCTGAGAGGAAAGGTGTGGCCGACTTCCTGCAAGAAGTAGGCCCTTATATTGCTTTGTTTTGATCTTTTGAAAATAAAGAAAATGAGCATCACACATGGAGTCTCACATAAAATATGTTGTAGGTGACGTCAAGGAAAGATCAGGAGCAATATTGGGCAAGCAAAGATGAGCCTTACAAGTTCATCACAGTAGATGAATTTGTTGAGGCATTCAACTCATTCCCTGTGGGACGCAAATTTGCAGATGAACTTGCAACTCCATTTGACAAGTCAAAGAGCCATCCTGCTGCACTAACAACAAAAAAGTATGGTGTTCAAAGAACAGAACTATTGAAAGCTTGCTTTGCAAGGGAATTCTTGCTTATGAAGAGGAACTCATTTGTCCACCTTTTCAAGCTTACCCAAGTGAGTTTTAACTTTACTTAAGCTTCTACTATAACCATTCTTTTGTCTTGTGCTCCTGGGTTTGATTTTTATTTTTGATTTTCCTTATTTTTAGCTCTCAATCTTGGCTCTAATTACAATGACACTGTTCCTACGGACTGAGATGCACCGTGATTCAGTAAGTAACGGAGGAATTTATGCTGGTGCTTTGTTCTTCTCTATGGTTTCTGTTATGTTCAATGGAATGGCAGAGCTTTCTATGACAATTGCCAAGCTTCCTGTTTTTTATAAGCAAAGAAAACTACTCTTCTTTCCACCATGGGCATATGCCCTTCCCGCATGGATCCTCAAGATCCCTATCACTTGTCTTGAAGTAGCTGTTTGGGTATTTATTACCTACTATGTCATTGGATATGATCCAAATGTTGAAAGGTAAAACAACTAGAAAAAGTTACCACTTTATGGCTAACATTTGTTTTCATGTTTTCTCCATTAAAAAAATTAATGAATATTCATGCACATGATGCAGGTTGTTTAAGCAGTACCTTCTACTCTTACTCATTAATCAGATGGCTTCTGCGTTGTTCCGATTCATTGCTGGAGTTGGTAGAAGCTTGACTATCGCGAACACATTTGGATCATTTGCTTTGGTCATGCTTTTTGCTTTGGGTGGCTTTGTCTTGTCAAGAGGTATAAAACAAGTAAAGAAACATTGCTTAATTGGTATGCAATGGTGTTTATTTTCTTTTGATTGTTTCCACAGAGGATATAAAGAAATGGTGGATATGGGGCTATTGGATATCACCTTTGATGTACGGGCAGAATGCAATAGTAGTCAATGAGTTCCTTGGAAAGAGTTGGAGTCATGTAATCCTTTGATTTGCCCTTTTCAAACATTTTGGCTTGTGTCGCTTATTCATAGTCTAATTACTTTTTTCTCTTGAAGGTTCTTCCAAACTCAACAGAACCGTTAGGAGTTGCTGTTCTGAAGTCCCGCGGATTCTTCACTCATCCATCTTGGTATTGGATTGGCGTGGGAGCATTGGCTGGATACATGCTTATATTCAATGTTTTTTCACTTTGGCTCTCACTTATCTAAAGCGTGGGTACCTTCACCTTATCTTATGTGCATTAAATCTTACAAGTCAGACTTTAACTCATAAGATATAAAACATTGTGCAGCATTTGACAAGCCACAGGCTGTTAGATTGGAAGACTCTAGCTCATCTCCTCAAATTAGCCAAGGTGATATATCTCATAAGTAATGTTTGTGTATGTCTGCTTTGAGTGAAATATGATTAATATTTTTCTCTTTTTGGTGAAAATAAAATGTTATGGACATACAGAGAATGGAAATGGAAGTGTATCTTCCAGGTCCTCATCTGCAAGGACAGAAGCTACTGCTGACACTAACCCTAACAAGAAAAGAGGAATGGTTCTTCCGTTTGAACCATATTCTATCACCTTTGATGAAATCACGTACTCTGTGGACATGCCACAGGTGATTTATATATGCAACCACAGTTTAAGCGTGTTTGACTTTTGGCAAATCCGGTGCAAGTCCAACATTGTAAGACTTTTTTTTAATTTGGACTTGCAGGAAATGAAGAATCAAGGTGTTCCAGAGGATAAATTGGTGCTCCTCAGGCGTGTGAGTGGTGCTTTCAGGCCTGGTGTTCTTACAGCTCTGATGGGAGTGAGTGGTGCTGGTAAAACGACGCTAATGGATGTACTTGCTGGCAGAAAAACTGGTGGTTATATTGAGGGAAAAATCACAATCTCTGGGCACCCAAAGAAGCAAGAATCATTTGCACGGATTTCTGGATATTGTGAGCAGAATGACATACATTCTCCTCATGTTACTCTCTACGAGTCCTTGATGTACTCAGCGTGGTTGCGTTTACCTGCAGGAATCAATTCAGAAACTAGGAAGGTTGGTATTTTAAGTTACAAACTATAGTTTCTAAGCTTAATTTTGATTCTTATGAAGTTTTGCTGTTGTGAACTAGTTGAATCGATTGAAAGTTTGGTCCACTTTCTATTCCAAGTTACCATTCATGTTCAACTTTCACATATTTAGAGTGAGCTATTCTATAGCTTTCCCTGCTGTTGATCCAGACATTCCCATCAAGTTTATGAGCATTGTTAAGTTCAACAAGTATTCCTTCTTTTTGTTAAAAGATTATTAACCAAGATTGGACTTGTTGTACATATGCATGATTTAAAAGTTCACTAAAGCTGGGTTGTTAGAAAAATAAGTTTGTAAGTCAACCACCTGCCTCATCAAGTTTCATAAAATGAACATGATTGCAGATGTTCGTTGAGGAAGTGATGGGACTTGTGGAGCTGAATCCGTTGAGACAAGCACTAGTCGGGTTGCCTGGTGCGAATGGTCTCTCAACAGAGCAGCGGAAGAGGCTGACCATTGCGGTTGAACTCGTGGCTAACCCCTCCATAATATTCATGGATGAACCAACTTCAGGCTTAGATGCAAGAGCTGCTGCTATTGTTATGAGAACGGTTAGGAACACTGTGGATACTGGAAGAACAGTTGTATGCACCATCCATCAACCAAGCATTGACATATTTGACGCTTTTGATGAGGTGAAAATACTTCATATATCGAAAGATTGGACTTAGAACTCTACTTCATTGATCTGTTCTACATGAGTATGATTATTTAACATGTCATTGCAGCTATTCCTGCTGAAGAAAGGAGGACAAGAGCTATATGTAGGGCCACTTGGCCGTCATTCTTTCCACCTAATCAAGTACTTTGAGGTATGATGAATCAAGAAATTTCGAGCATGGATATATCTGTATATTTTCTTTAAAGGTTTTGCTAATACGTGTATTTTTCTATGAAGGGAATTGAGAACGTCAGTAAAATCAAGGATGGTTATAATCCAGCAACCTGGATGTTAGAAGTCACCAGTTCAGCAAAAGAAATAGCTTTGGGGATTGATTTTGCTGATGTGTATAAAAAATCAGAAATTTACAGGTTTGGTTTTATATTGGAAAGAACCTCTCTCTTCCTGAGCAAGACTTGTTGGTGAAAACATACTCATCTATGGCATGTCTTTCAGGAGAAACAAAGCACTTATTGAAGAACTGAGCACCGCGGCTTCTGGTTCTGAGGACCTCTATTTCCCTACTAAATACTCTCAGCCATTTTTAACCCAATGCATAGCTTGCTTATGGAAACAACATTGGTCATATTGGCGCAATCCACCATACACTGCCATAAGGTTGATCTATACAACCTTCATAGCCTTGATGTTTGGGACAATGTTCTGGAACCTTGGCTCCAAAACGTAAGTTACAATGCATAACAGAAAGACAGATATATATATATATTCTTACCAATATATTTTCTTCCAAATGCGATTTTGAAAATTTTGAATCCAGGACGAAACAACGGGATCTCTTCAATGCAATTGGTTCTATGTATGCTGCTGTTCTCTTTCTTGGTATTAAAAATTCTACAACAGTGCAGCCAGTCGTAGATGTGGAAAGAACAGTCTTCTATAGAGAACGAGCTGCTGGAATGTATTCTGCCTTGGCATATGCCTTTGCACAGGTGACTGATCATATATTCTACTAACATAATATTTTAGGTTTCACTGAGATTACTTGTATTATTTATCTTATGCCATTTCCGTATCTTGTTGCAGGTTATAATTGAGATCCCTTATGTTTTTGCACAAGCAGTTATCTATAGTGTCATAGTTTATGCAATGATTGGGTTTGAGTGGACTTTGGCTAAATTCTTGTGGTACCTGTTCTTCATGTATTTCACATTTTTGTACTTCACCTACTATGGCATGATGGGTGTGGCCTTGACGCCGAACCAACACGTTGCTGCTATAAGTGCCAGTGCATTTTACGCAATATGGAATGTCTTCTCAGGGTTCGTCATTCCCCGAACTGTAAGTGTTGCTTACCCTCAACTTGTAGTGCATGTTTTTGTGTGCATAGAATCTGTCTTCATGTCTTATTTTCTCATCCTGTAATTTTGATTCATGTTCATTTGGCCAACTACAGAGGATTCCTATATGGTGGAGGTGGTACTATTGGGCATGTCCAATGGCTTGGACCTTGTATGGACTGGCTGCGTCACAGTTTGGAGATATACAGGACAAGCTTGAGACTGGTGAAACGGTGGAAGAATTTATGCGGAATTACTTCGGTTTCAAGCAAGAATTTATAGGAGTGGTGGCTGCTGTGGTGGTTGGATTCACTCTACTCTTTGCACTTATCTTTGCCTTGTCCATCAAGATGTTGAATTTCCAAAGGCGATGAAATTTTTGTTTCAACAGGATTGTCTGGGGATGGCTAACATGTCAACAACTTGTTCATCATCTAGGAATTTCTTTGATCTTATGTGTTGCAGTTTTAATTGTATAATTGGACAAGCTGCTTATGAGATACAAAATTTATAAATAATGATATGATTCGTTTACAAGTTTCGAATTTTCGAGGGCTAATCACTCCACAAGCAGGCCAAAAAGTTGGCACCAACCATTATCGTTTTCGCCTCTATCATGTGAAGCCTGACAACTGACACAATTATATTCGTGAAGGCCATGCTAACTAAGTTGATTGTAGAAGATATTAAGCTCAAACTTACAAGTTATTTTTTGATAGGGAAAGCCTCTATGTTGATTGTAGATATAACATTATATTATTATTTGTCGCCTGCTAAATTTCATGTAGTATTAGCCTGAAAAATAAATGTTGGCTGGAAAGCAGCAGGAGAAATGCCTTAATCAGCAGCAAGCAGCCAGTTTAGAGTTTAAAATGACGGTTTAAGAGATTTCGCAACGATTTTGTGGATTTTGCGGCGAATATCTGACTTTTCGTGACGAAATTCGGGCACCTAATCAGTGAAACACCCTTTAGCAACACTTTTAACCGCTGCTAAGCGTCGCAACAGAGATATTTAGCAGCGTAAGCCTAAACCGCCGCTAAAAGTCAATTTTGGAGTTTTGGTCGGCTCTCTAATTCAGAGACTATTACAAATGTACTCTTCCACACATCGTGCATTTAGAAATCTACTCACTACAGAAAAAGAGAAGACATTTTCTTACATGTCCATGTTTACAATTATTACAAGAAAATATTACAAATTTCACTACAAATATTACAAATTTGCTGTGCAGAACTCCTTTCCCGCTTGTCAGTACTTAGGTGATCACTCCCCCATAATTTAGAAGTAACAAAAATGTCATCTCTTTCAAAATTCGCATCAAGAATTGCCTCTGTCAAAGCATTTCTTAGAGCTGCCGGCTCAGAACCATAAATCTTCGCAGTGTCAAAATGCCGGTAACCCATCTGCATTACAAAATCATGCACTTTTAGAACACATTCATTCAGTGCTTGATAAAATAAATAAATAGTAAATAGTTGGAAACAAGAATATCTGTATGATCAAGTGAGTGATTGGAAGAGTTGCAAAACAAAAGGCAGTACACAGCAAGCACGGAGTTTCTGTTTTGGCCTTCAATGGCAAAGGTTGAGGAATTAATATGGGTGGGCCTGGCTTGCTAAAAATGGCCATACACAAAAACAATCTCATAATTAGGCTGTGTGTGTTGAGATAAGGAGGATCCACATGCTTGATTTTTGTTAATTTATGCATCTTAGGTAGCACCACCAGTGAGGCTTGTGATGAGTCACTCACAGGTGTCATTCATATTTCATTCTACGACTGCTACGAACACCAAATTTTATTCACCAAATGACGTAACAGTGTTTAATTGATATTTTATTCACCAAATGACATAACCTAATTGATGTTTTATAATGACAAACTTATTTGCACTCTCTCTAAAAAAAAAGTGTAAGAGATGTTTGGGTTGTCCCAATATCATGAAGCCATTATTCGAGTCTACTACAATGTGAAAATACCACAGGGTAAGGAAAACTGCAAAAGTAATTTCATGCTTATACAACAGAAGAATAATAGAGATGTCAATCTTCAAACTAATAGACCCCAGAGAGGTAATCTAAAAAACTCTTCTAAGGAATTGGTTTCATCAATTCAAACATTTTGAATTTAATCTTCTTCCTTTAACTTCATGGTTCTAATAAATTACTGAATTTATATCACCAAAAGCATAACCAAAGTAACAACAACAAGAAGGAAACCAAATCAAGACGAACTTGTATATCAGGGAAAAGAAAAAGGATGCAAATTTTGGTTTTCTACTGGTCAGATATGTGGAACATGAAAATAAAATGATATGATCTTTTGAACCAGTTAGATATAAAAGGCGCAAATTTTCTAGTGCAGAAGCTAAGCATTTACCTGTTTCGTTCAAATTGGGAGCATGGTAGTGCATTTCCCCTCTTGTTACTCATCTTTCATGGCAGCTTCGGCACCGTAGGAGTGCTGGCGACGACGGTTTGAAGAATTAGGTTTAGGGGTTTTGTTTTCGGTCGAATAGATTTGGGGATTTTGTCAAAACGGGTTGGTCGACGTCGCGACGATAACCAATTGGTCCCAATCGCAGGCCTGAAATCGTCATTTCATATTCTTCAAGTTTGGGTGAGGAGAGAAAGAGAAATTGGGCTTTTTTTGTGGCCCAAAGATACTTTTGTATTCAGTAATGAGCCCAATCTAGAAAAAGCATGTTTTAAATAAATATGATTGGAATAATTGCGGTTGTTGTAGTGGGAGTGTGGGATGAGGAGATATATCTTTCCATTTTCAAATTTTCTTGAAGTACTTTTCATTTTATTATTTTACCCTTATATATAAAATGGTGTTCCATTTTACATGTTAATTAACTTAGGGCATTTCGTTTGGTCGAATCGAATAGGTTCGCTGATACTCACTTGAACTAGAAGCTCTTCGCATCTTCACCTATGTTATACTTAATTACGAGGCAGAACACCAAACAAAATTTTCCTTTCTCCTTTTGGGTTTGAGTACCATGTGTACATATGTAGTTGGTATAGCTAGTCAATGTAAAATCAAGTCGTGAGATTGAAGGCTGTTGATACCATGTAAAACAATAGAGAGCCCAGGAATTGTTTGATGAGCTTGTATCCATCAACACGATGGAACAGCAAATTTATATTAGCAAAACAACAATATCAGTTACAAGGATTACATCATATCCTTATAAGCTGTTACAGATTTTGAATTTAAACACGTATAAGCTTTGTCTAACAGAATTTCACTCTCTTTGGCGTGAACGGTGAAGGGGGCCAGCCACAATGCGTGTGATATATGAAAATGTAATGAATGGTGATGATATCATCCATGATGTCAGAAACTTTTGATCATGACTATATCATGCACGACTTCTTTCTATAAATCATTCCAGGAAAGTGGCCAACAAAAGCCAAACCCTTTTTCTCTTTTGCTTTCTGTTTTCCCATGGTTTGCTATCTTCTTTAAATTGTAGCTCTAGCTAGCTCTTGCTGGTTCTTCTACAATGGAGATAAGTTGTGATCTTGAGAAAGCTGGTCATAGTTTCAAAAACTCTTCCTTTTGGACTGACAATGGCGCAGGAGTTTTCTCATCATCTTCACGTGGAGGGGTTGACGAGGAAGCTCTCAAGTGGGCTGCTCTTCAGAGACTTCCAACTTTCCAGCGCTTGAAGAAAGGTTTGATCTCTACATCCGAAGGCCGTGCCGACGAAGTTGATGTGAGCCGTCTTCAAGTACAAGAAAGGAAGAATTTGATTGAGAGGTTGGTTGGAGTAGCTGAAGAGGATCATGAGAACTTCTTGTTGAGGCTCAAGAACCGCATTGATAGGTAAGAATTTAGAATTAATCTCAACTCTACATATGTTCTTTTTCTTGAATTTTCTCTTATTTATAATAATGGGTTTGTTTTACTTGGAATGTATCTCAGAGTTGGAATTAGTCTTCCTACAATTGAAGTTAGATTTGCTGCATTTAAAAATTGCAGCTGAAGCTTATGTAGGAGGCAGAGCTCTGCCTACAGTCTTTAAGTACTGTGTTAATTTAGTGGAGGTAATGATTAACCACTAGAATTCAGTTTGTGTATTGCATATATAATCTTGGTGTTAATACATTCTAACATAACTATTTGTTTCTGGGTTCCAAAGGGTTTGTTGAACTCCTTCCGTATTCTTCCTAGCAAGAAGCAACACTTGACTATCCTTAAAAATGTCAGTGGGATCATCAAGCCTTGCAGGTGAGAAAGCTGTAGACTATGTCTTATATGTTTGTTGGAGTTTGTGTGGCTTAATACTCACTTGGTTCATGTGTTTGCTCAGAATGACACTGCTTTTGGGTCCTCCGAGTTCCGGAAAGACCACACTCTTGTTGGCTTTGGCGGGAGAGCTTGACCAGGATCTTAAGGTTACACAAAATGAAATGGGGCCTTAAGATTTTTTATTCTAGCTTTAGTCTAAAGGTATTACTCTTGGATTATGTTACTAATTAGTCAAAATTCTTGTGCAGTTTTCTGGACGTGTGACCTACAATGGTCATGACATGCATGAGTTTGTGCCTCAGAGGAGTGCTGTCTATATCAGTCAACATGATGTTCATATGGGAGAGATGACAGTCGGAGAAAACGTTGGCTTTTTCTGCAAGATGCCAAGGGATTGGAACTCGTTATGGTTCGTTTACAGGACTTCTTTTATTGAGCTTTCAGAATCATACCAAAGACTATAACAGGAAAAGATGATTGAGGTTCTTTTTACTTCTGAATTTTGACAGATATCCTAGCAGAGATAAGTAGAAGAGAGAAAGAAGCGAATATTAAGCCAGATGCAGACTTGGATATCTACATGAAGGTGAGAATATCTACTTAAGAGGTCTGTAAAACTACATGATGTAGAACAAATGGCAGATTTTATCGCGGTTGAGCTAGAAAAAGGACGTAGTGGGAATTTGCAGATTTGTCATCCGAGCTTCGATTAGGACGCAAAATACCATTTCGGAAAGGGAACGACGCCACGAGTCAAACTCACGGATTTGCCGTGATGTATGATGGATTTGGCATCCGAGGTCGTTTGGCCTTCCAAAACTGCATTCAAAGTTTCGTAGTTAATTTTCGGAATAAATTATGTTTTTCAGTTTTAATGTAATAACTCCCCTAGCAGCTCAAGGGTTGAGAGATGTGTATTTAGACAGTTTTGGTGAACGTTTTTCGACAGCTCAGATTTTAATAAAATTATCCCAAGAGAATTACTCTTAATTTCTGGTGGAATCCAGATTTCTTGTTACTCAAGGTTTTCGTTTGAAACCTTTGTTGCTTGTGCTGCGTCACTACAACTATATTATGGACACCATTTTCTTGGATGATTACTTAATTAAAGGACAAACTATATTCAGGATTCAGGGGAGTTTTTTTTTGTTTTACAAGATGTTTTTTAAGTTGTTTTTTGTTATTATAAGCAGTGGCGTCAGAAAGCCAGAGGGCACAAGTGGTGACAGATTATATTCTAAAGGTAAAGCATCATATTTGTTTTTGCAATAACAAAAGGACTTTTGAAAATTACCCTTGCACTATTTCTCTTTATTGATCAATAATCCATTTGATTTTCAGATCCTGGGACTGGATGTCTGTGCAGATACCTTGGTAGGGGATCAATTAATTAGGGGCATCTCTGGAGGACAAAAGAAACGAGTCACAACGGGTAAACAAAGTGTTGTTCTTGCATTAAAGCACATGCATTTTAAATTTAAGTGGCAAATCTTTGACAAATGAATCATATATAGGTGAAATGTTGGTTGGACCTGCTAAGGCATTATTCATGGACGAAATATCTACTGGTTTGGATAGTTCAACTACATATCAAATTGTGAATTCGATCAAGCAATATGTTCATATTCTCAAGGGGACTTCATTCATCTCACTGCTGCAGCCAGCACCTGAGACTTATGAACTATTTGATGACATTGTTCTCCTTTCTGATGGTCAAATTGTGTACCAAGGTCCTCGTGAACAAGTTCTTGAATTTTTCGAATCCATGGGCTTTAGATGTCCTGAGAGGAAAGGTGTGGCCGACTTCCTGCAAGAAGTAGGTCCTTATATTGCTTTGTTTTGATCTTGTGAAAATAAAGAAAATGAGCATCACACATGGAGTCTCACATAAAATATGTTGTAGGTGACGTCAAGGAAAGATCAGGAGCAATATTGGGCAAGCAAAGATGAGCCTTACAAGTTCATCACAGTCGAGGAATTTGTTGAGACATTCAACTCATTCCCTGTGGGACGCAAACTTGCAGATGAACTTGCAACTCCATTTGACAAGACAAAGAGCCATCCAGCTGCACTAACAACAAAAAAGTATGGTGTTCGAAAAACAGAACTATTGAAAGCTTGCTTTGCAAGGGAATTCTTGCTTATGAAGAGGAACTCATTTGTCTACCTTTTCAAGCTTACCCAAGTGAGTTTTAACTTTACTTAAGCTTCTACTATAACCATTCTTTTGTCTTGTGCTCCTGGGTTTGATTTTTATTTTTTATTTTCCTTATTTTTAGCTCTCAATCTTGGCTTTAATTACAATGACAGTGTTCCTACGGACAGAGATGCACCGTGATTCAGTAAGTGACAGAGGAATTTATGCTGGTGCTTTGTTCTTCTCTATGGTTTCTGTTATGTTCAATGGAATGGCAGAGCTTTCTATGACAATTGCCAAGCTTCCTGTTTTTATAAGCAAAGAAAACTACTCTTCTTTCCACCATGGGCATATGCCCTTCCCGCATGGATCCTCAAGATCCCTATCACTTGTCTTGAAGTAGCTGTTTGGGTATTTATTACCTACTATGTCATTGGATATGATCCAAATGTTGAAAGGTAAAACAACTAGAAAAAGTTACCACTTTATGGCTAACATTTGTTTTCATGTTTTCTCCATAAAAATAATAATGAATATTCATGCACATGATGCAGGTTGTTTAAGCAGTACCTTCTACTCTTACTCATTAATCAGATGGCTTCTGCGTTGTTCCGATTCATTGCTGGAGTTGGTAGAAGCTTGACTATCGTGAACACGTTTGGATCATTTGCTCTGGTCATGCTTTTTGCTTTGGGTGGCTTTGTCTTGTCAAGAGGTATAACACAAGTAAAGAAACTTCATGTTACGTTGCTTAATTGGTATGCAATGGTGTTTATTTTCTTTTGATTGTTTCCACAGAGGATATAAAGAAATGGTGGATATGGGGCTATTGGATATCACCTTTGATGTACGGGCAGAATGCAATAGTCGTCAATGAGTTCCTTGGAAAGAGTTGGAGTCATGTAATCCTTTGATTTGCCTTTTTCAAACATTTTGTCTGCTTTTGGGTCCTCCGAGTTGGTCTTTGATGGGCGGATCAAGTCGGGCCTTCTTGCCCTAAAACGGGCTGAGTTGAGCTTTAGACACCTTAGCCCAAGTCCAATCCTCTATAAAATGGGTTGGGTTGGCCCATGGATCACACCAGGTATGCTCGGGCCTCCTCTCAAAGTAAATTTAGGTTTTAGCCACACAAAAACTTTCACTTTTGGAAAAAGCCAAAAGTTTTCTGAAAAATACAAAAAAACCCCTCAACTTTCAAACTAAAGACATGCAAATGTAAAGAATTCCTTAAGAAATCCAAAATTAATAAGGGCATTTTTGTCAATTTTGGCTTCTTTTAAAAATATTTCTCTCTCCTTTGACCTTTTCCAAAATGGCCCCATCATCATTTGGCCCACATGCCCACCCACCCCAAACTAAATGTTTGAAAGGGGCAAATTAAAGGATTACATGACTCCAACTCTTTTCAAGGAACTCATTGACTACTATTGTATTATGCCCGTACATCAAAGGCGATATCCAGTAACGCCATACCTAATTTCTTTCTATCCTATGTGGAAACAATCAAAAGAAAATAAACAACATTGATACCAATTAAGCATTCTAACATGAATTCAAGAACTTTTTCATGAGGACCTTGGTACACAATTTGACAATGAGAAAGGCGAACAATGTCATCAAATAGTTCATAAGTCTTAGGTGTTGGCTGCAGCAGTGAGATGAATGCAATCCCCTTGAGAATGTGAACATATTGCTTGACCGAATTCTTAATTTGATACGTAGTTGAACTATCCAAACTAGTAGATATTTTGTCCATGAATAATATCTTAGCAGGTTCAATCAATATTTCACATATATAAAATTCATTTTCAAAGATTTGCCACTTAAATTTACAATGCGTGTGCTTTAATAACAGGAAACCTAGCTGGGTCGGGCTTTTTCTTGATGGGCTAGGTTGGGCGCCATCAACCCGTGGGCTTTCTAGCCATATGATGACTCATACGTCCAATTCAACGAGAAAAAACCTAACTCAACTCATTGTTTAGAAGACTGGACTTGGGCTAAGGTGTCTAAAGCCCAACCTAACTTGACTCTTTTGAGCCTAAGAATCGCCTTTTGAACCAGTTAGATAAAAAAGACACAATTTTTCTAGTGTAGAAGTTAACTATTTACCTTGTTTCGTTCAAATTGGGAGCATGGTAGTACATTTCCCCTCTTGTTACCCATCTAATAGAGGTGTTATGGCGACGGATGTTTTGAAGAACTAGGTTTAGGGATTTTATTTTCGGTCGAATATATTTGGGGAATTTTTCAAAATGGGTCGGTCGATGATAATCAATTAGTAGGCTTGTAAAATAGGTTAGGTCATGTCGACTCAACTCTGAGAGAGGTTAGATTAGGTCCTACTAAATTACGAGGTTTTTTGGCCCTAAAGGTTGAATAGGTGGGACCAGGCCAACATTATGTTAAACATGTTAAGCCGAAGTTCTACCCAAGAGTCAAGCATTTTTGGGCTCATGTGCGGGCCAATGGGCTGCACCCTATATAGAATACATTAAATATCATTATACTTAATTAAATGCAATGATCATTAATACTAGTTTACTTTCATAAAGATATTGAATGTAATGATAATTAGTGTTATATTAAATTGGTCATTATATTCTTTCAAATATTCTAATTAAATACAAAGCATAAATAATATTAATTTAATTTATAATTTATAATTTGTTAATTTAAATACTAGGTCAGGATGGCTCATAACTTAAAAAATAGGGCCGAATTCGACCTAGCCCATCGAGCTTGGGCCAGTTTTACAAGCAAAGAGATTTGAAAGCTTAGAGCATCTCCAAGGGAGATGTCAAATACCAAACATTAAATTTAAATTTGATGGCTGATATGGCAATTTGACATTTACATAGTTTTACACTCCACCCGATATGTCAAATAAATAATTATTGTAACAGTCAAATCATTTAAGATAAAGAAGAAAAAAAATATAAAAAGGAAAATAATAAATGAAAGTAACAACCAACTATCTTTAAAAATAATAAAATATTCATTTGACATCTTGCTTTTGAGATGTCAAAAATAACATCTCAACCTCCAGCCTTCATTCCACATCAGCTTTGACACATCGGTTGGAGTGAGGTGAGATGTTATTTCTAGCCGTTAAATGTCTATGTGGCACTTTGACACATCGGTTGGAGATGCTCTTATAGAGGTATGCCAAAAATAACATATCAAAAAGCTAGATGTCAAATATTATTTTACACTCTTAAAACTTTATGCATCATATGGGCCTCATTTGCTTTAAAAATATAATAAAATAATATGATATTTGGCATTTCAGGTGGAGTTAAATTTTTTCCTAAATGTCAGATTTGCCACAAAAGACATCAAATTCAAAATTAACATTTTATATTTGACATCTCCCTTGGAGATGCTCTATGAACCTAAATGGATCAAATACACCCTATAATAAAGCCTAACTTCTTTTTTATCCTTTTGCGTTATATCCTAATTTTGTTTTCTTATCAAGCAAGCATGTTTTAAATATGTGAACAAAAAAAAAAGAAGCATGCTTTAAATATGTGAACAAAAAAAAACATGCTTTAAATATGTGAAAAAGCATGTTTTAACTATGATAGAGGAATAATTGTGGCTGTAGTAGGAGTGGAAGTACCGTCTGCATTAACCAACTACATTTTTTGGAATTTTGAATGTTTTATCAGTCTTTGCCTTTTGTTTTTGTATATATAAATAGGGATCGATATAGATGGTGATGTTGCATTACTTGTAGTTTTGTGTATAATTTGTTTATTTTTCCCCCAAGTTTGATATTTTGATTTGCCTTTTAAATATTCGTGAAGGCAAGTTATACAAGGAATTCCTTAAGAATGGCCAACTCAAAAGTGATTAAACAAAAGGTCGCGTCAGCCCATGAGTCACATGATAACAACATATTATAAACAAAATATCTTCTAAATAATCCTTTCCCATAAATACAACTTTCCTTGCATTGCTTAAAAAAGCAAACCCAATCATACACTTCTTTATTCTCTTCATTTCTCCTCATGTTATTTTGTTTCTTGGCAAGGAAGTTTGGGAGAAAGAAATTGCAGCTGTTTTACAATGGATATGATGAGTGGTGATCTTGAAAAGGCAGGCCATAGTTTCACAAGTGGTTCTTCCTATTGGGTCGACAATGGCATTGCAGTTTTCTCAACATCCCCACAGGTAGAAGACGATGAGGAAGCTCTGAAATGGGCTGCGCTGCAGCGTCTTCCTACTTATCGCCGTCTAAAGAAAGGTTTGCTCACAACACCTGAAGGCCATGCCAATGAAGTTGATGTGAAGCGTCTTGGTTTGCAAGAAAGGAAAGGCTTGGTTGAGAGGTTAGTGGGAGTAGCAGAAGAGGGCCAAGAGAGCTTCTTGTTGAGGCTCAAGAGCCGCATTGATAGGTAAGATTTCACAATCTAGTCTTCTGTGTTTTCTTTGTTTTTGATCATAATGGGATTGTTTTTTCTTGGGTATCTCAGAGTTGGGATAAGCTTTCCTACAATAGAGGTCAGATTTGAGCATTTAAACATTTCAGCTGAAGCTTATGTTGGAAGCAGGGCTTTGCCTACAGTCTTGAACTATTGTGTTAACTTAGTGGAGGTAAATTATATATTATAGAACATTTGATTTTCCTGTCAAATCTCACTATATTCTTAACAAGTTATTTGTTTCTGTGCACCGAAAGGGTTTCTTGAATTGCATCCATATTCTTCCTACTAAGAAGAAACACTTGTCTATCCTTAAAGATGTCAGTGGGATCATCAACCCTTCCAGGTGAGAAGAAAGGCTCTGTCCTATCCATGAAATAAACTCTGTTTTGTTCATCTTTATATATTGATCTCTTTCAATTCAAGATTAGTCTTTGAGGCCTAGATATGCATACTCATTTGATTACTCATTTAATATAAATAATTAAATACTTTAATCAGTCAACAAAATCAATGCAATTGATATAAACTGGGATTCAACTATATATCAATTAATCATTAAATCCAAGTGAAATCTATGGTTAAGTCAATACTTAATTATCCTAAGACCCTTATCTTTTAATTAATTGAATATATATTTATTAATCAATCACTAAGCCCACATGGCCCAATCCATTTTAAACTTAAAGGAGGACCAACACTTCATCTCCCAATGTGGGACAAAGTTTCAACTCAAACTCTCTACCCTCCAACATTTTCACCAAAAAGAAAGTACTCTACTCACTTAACTTAGTGTTTTTCCTTTTTTGCAGAATGACACTGCTTTTGGGTCCTCCAAGTTCCGGGAAGACCACACTCTTGTTGGCTTTGGCTGGAAAGCTTGGTCAGGATCTTAAGGTTAAACAAATGCAATGCGCCTTTAATTTCTCTCAGATTTTCTATCAATTTTTTTTTTCCTTTCAAGCTTTACCCTTTAAATGTTACTCTTGGATTTTGTTTTTAATTTATAAAATAGAAATACTTGTCCAGTCTTCAGGAAGTGTGACTTACAATGGTCATGACATGCATGAGTTTGTGCCTCAAAGGAGGGCTGCCTATATCAGTCAACATGATGTTCATATTGGAGAACTGACAGTCAAAGAAACCCTGGCCTTCTCTGCAAGATGCCAAGGGGTTGGACCCCGTTATGGTTGGTTTATAGGACTGTTTCTTATTTAGTTTCCTTTGATTTTCAAATCTAGACCAATGGATTAAAACATGATTGGTTTTGATTTTGAATTTGGGCAGAAATGATAGCAGAGCTAACTAGAAGAGAAAAAGAAGCGAATATTAAGCCGGATCCAGATGTAGACGTCTACATGAAGGTGAGAAATAAGCTACTTTAAGACTCTTAAATGAAGAAGTCTGTAGACTATTGCTATATTTCAGGATTTAGGAGATTCTGCTATATATGACCTTTTTCTTCCTATAAGATTGAGACTTCCTTTTTGCTTGTTCTAAGATATGCTTTTCAAATCATCAAACATTTCTGTTGCTTTAATTAATCCGTTATGTTATCATAGGCAATTTCAACAGAAGGCCAGAAGGAAACATTGGTGACAGATTATATTCTTAAGGTAGCATCAATAATTCTTCTGTAATAAAAAAGGACTTTTAGAAATTACCATCAACTAATCAATATCCATTGATTTGCAGATTTTGGGATTAGATACTTGTGCAGATACCTTGGTGGGGGATGAATTATTAAGGGGTATCTCTGGAGGGCAAAAGAAACGAGTCACAACAGGTTAACAAAGTAAAATTCTTTACATCAAACTTGTAATTCAACTTCTTCATAAAGTAATTGTAGAATTTTTGATAATGTGTATAGGTGAGATGCTTGTTGGACCTGCTAGAGCTCTATTCATGGATGAAATATCAACTGGATTGGATAGTTCAACAACTTATCAGATTGTAAATTCAGTCAAGAACTATGTTCACATCCTTAAGGGGACTGCAGTCATCTCACTGCTGCAGCCAGCACCTGAAACTTACGAACTTTTTGATGACATTATTCTCCTTTCTGATGGCCAAATTACGTACCAAGGCCCTCGTGAACAAGTTCTTGATTTTTTTGAATCCATGGGCTTTCAATGTCCTGAGAGGAAAGGCGTGGCTGATTTCCTGCAAGAAGTAGGTTCATATATAGCTTTTTGCTTCATCTTGTGAACATAATTAGATAAGCATTAAATGTGAGTCCTATAACCTAATATGTTCTAGGTGACGTCAAGGAAAGATCAGGAGCAGTATTGGAAAAACAGAGATGAGCCTTACAGGTTCATCACAGTTCAGGAATTTGTTGAGGCTTTTCAGTCTTTCCCAGTGGGTGGAAAAATTAGAGAAGAACTTGCAGCTCCATTAGACAAGACCAAGAGCCACCCAGCTGCCTTGACGACCAAAAAATATGGTGTTAGAAAAATGGAACTATTGAAAGCTTGCTTTTCAAGGGAACTCTTGCTTATGAAGAGGAATTCATTTGTCTACATTTTCAAGATCATTCAAGTTAGTTTTGACTTAATTTTAACTTCTACAATAGCCTTTTCCTTTTTCTTCTGTGTGCCTGGATATAATCTGGATTACTTATTTTCCTTCGTTTTAGCTTGCAATAATGGCACTGATTACAATGACTGTATTCCTACGGACTGAGATGCACCGTGATTCAGTAGCTGATGGAGGAATATTTGCTGGTGCTTTATTCTTCTCCTCTGTTACTGTTATGTTCAATGGAATGTCAGAGCTTTCTATGACTGTTGCCAAGCTTCCTGTTTTCTATAAGCAAAGAGACCTCCTCTTCTTTCCGGCGTGGGCATATTCCCTTCCCACATCTATCCTCAAGATCCCTGTCACATTTTTAGAAGTTTCTGTTTGGGTATTTATCACTTACTATGTCATTGGATTTGATCCAAGTGTTGAAAGGTAATTAAGTACGAAATTTGTCACATAACCCTTTACATTTCTCTTCATATTTGTTCTAGCCCATATAATATATAATTCTGAAAATGATGCAGGCTGTTTAGACAATACCTTCTATTCTTACTCATTAATCAGATGGCTTCTGCATTAAACCGATTCCTTGCTGGAGTGGGTAGAAGCTTGACAGTTGCTAGCACATTTGGGTCATTTGCACTGCTCATGATTTTTTCTTTGAGTGGCTTTGTCCTGTCAAGAGGTATGAAATCAGTAAAGCAAGGGAACACCACTTCTCATAATTGCTATATAATGCTTTCTAATTTTCGTTGGTTGATGTCATAGAGGATATAAAGGTTTGGTGGATATGGGGCTACTGGACATCACCTTTGATGTATGGGATGAATGCAATACTAGCTAATGAGTTCCTCGGAAAGAGTTGGAGACATGTAATTCCTTTACTTACTATTTTCAAACATTTTTGTGTTTGTCTATTCTATTTTGGTCAAATTCTGTGTTTGCCTCTTAGTAATTATAAATTTTTATTCGTATTTAAAGGTTCTTCCAAACTCAACAGAACCACTAGGAGTTGCTGTTTTGAGATCTCGTGGATTCTTTACACAGTCATATTGGTATTGGATCGGCGTAGGAGCTTTGATTGGATACATATTCATGTTCAACATTTGTTTCAGTTTGTCTCTCACTTATCTAAACCGTAGGTACCTTCACCTAATCTGCTCTAAAACTTAGATAAGTGAGAATTTGACTTATGCTACCATAAAATGTTATGCAGCATTAGGGAAGACACAGGCTGTTAAATCGGAAGAATCTCAAAGCAATGAACATGATGAGAAGAGTGGAAAAGTTGGTTGGTCACAGAACAGAGGAAATAGCTTGATTCCGCAAGTCAGCACAGGTGATATATCTCTCAGATAATGTTTGTGCTGTATGCAGTTGTTTATTGATGATCAAAATTTTACCCTTTTTTATGAAAACTTGTATGGACATGCAGATAGTGGAGATGGAAGTACCTCTTCCAAGCCCTCATCTGTCAGGACAGAAGCTACTACTGACACTGATCATAAGAAAAGAGGAATGGTTCTTCCCTTTGAACCACATTCCATCACATTTGATGAAATCACGTACTCCGTGGACATGCCACAGGTGATATATATATATATATATATATGTTTGTATATATATGCAACAAACTTTCAAACATGTTTGAGATTGGACAAGCTTGTACAACTCCAAATTATGAGTAATTTTGTTAATCCATCTTGCAGGCAATGAAGAACCAAGGTGTTCTTGAGGATAAATTGGTGCTTCTCAAGTGTGTGAGTGGTGCTTTCTGGCCAGGTGTTTTGACAGCTCTGATGGGAGTGAGTGGTGCTGGTAAAACTACTCTAATGGATGTACTGGCTGGTAGAAAAACTGGAGGATATATTGAGGGAAATATTTCAGTTTCTGGGTACCCAAAGAAGCAAGAATCCTTTGCCCGAATTTCTGGATACTGTGAGCAGAATGACATCCACTCTCCTTATGTTACCGTCTATGAATCCTTGATGTACTCAGCATGGCTGCGTTTATCCACCAAAATAAATTCTGGAACCAGGAAGGTCAGTGTCCTGAATTAGTAAAGCATAATTTTCTAAGTTTTATTTTCTTTTAATGCAATTTATAGTCATGAGCACGCTTGAACTGATTTGAAGAATTGGTTGTAGATGTTTGTTGAGGAAGTGATGAGACTGGTGGAGCTGAATCCATTAAGGCAAGCACTAGTAGGGTTACCTGGTGAAAGTGGTCTCTCAACTGAGCAGCGGAAGAGGCTGACCATTGCTGTTGAACTAGTGGCAAACCCTTCTGTAATATTCATGGATGAACCAACTTCAGGTTTAGATGCAAGAGCTGCTGCTATTGTAATGAGAGCTGTTAGGAACACTGTGGACACTGGAAGAACAATAGTGTGCACTATTCATCAGCCAAGCATCGACATATTTGAAGCTTTTGATGAGGTGAAAACAAATATTGACTAAAGAGATTGAAATTCGAACTCTGTTTTTTGTCTGTTCTAAGTGATTAACATATATAACATTTCATTGCAGTTGTTTCTATTGAAGAAAGGAGGACAAGAGATATATGTAGGGCCACTAGGTCGTCATTCTTGCCATTTGATCAAGTACTTTGAGGTATAATCTTATGAAAAATAAGGAAATTTTAGTGATAGAATATGATATATGATATTCCTATCTTTTTTGCTTTTTTTTGTTTTTTTGGGGAAACAAAGGTTTTCCTATAATGTAATTTTCTGTTCAGGGAATTGAGGGAGTCAGCAAAATCAAGAATGGCTACAATCCAGCTACTTGGATGTTGGAAGTTACGACTTCAGCAAAAGAAACAGAATTGGGAATTGATTTTGCTGATGTATATAAAAGCTCTGAAGTTTATAGGTGGGATTATCAGACCGAAAAACCATCTACTGCATTAAAAATTTGAACCAACACTAAGTTAACAGAAAAACAATGAAAGAACCTCTCTACTTAAGTAAGATTTGCTGATGAAAGTGATTTTTTTCAGGAGAAACAAGTCACTTATTCAAGAATTGAGTAACCCTCCGCCTGGTTCAAAGGACCTCTATTTCCCTACTCATTACCCTCAGTCATTTTTCACTCAGTGCATGGCTTGCTTATGGAAACAACATTGGTCATATTGGCGCAATCCACCATACAATGCCATAAGATTGATATACACAACCATCGTAGCCTTGATGTTTGGGACAATGTTCTGGAACCTTGGTTCTAAATTGTAAGTCATAGTGCAAAAGTAAAAAATAGGTGTAATCGAAGATGATATATATTCTTGCATTTGTAATTTTGGATTTGTTAAATTCCAGGACAAAGCCACAGGATCTCTTCAATGCAATTGGTTCTATGTATGCTTCTGTTCTTTTTCTTGGTACTAAAAATGCCATGACAGTGCAGCCGATAGTGGCTATTGAAAGAACCGTCTTTTATAGAGAACGAGCTGCTGGAATGTATTCTGCCTTGGCATATGCCTTTGCACAGGTGACTTGTTCTTTATGCATTTTACAAACATAGTTGTCATAATGCATCCTCTTATCTTACTTGCCTTATGCTAATTTGATTCTTTGCTGCAGCTCACAATTGAGATCCCTTATGTTTTTGGGCAAGCTCTGATCTATGGTGTCATAGTTTATGCTATGATTGGATTTGAGTGGACTGTAGCTAAATTCTTTTGGTACCTATTCTTCATGTTTTTCACATGTGTATACTTCACCTTCTATGGCATGATGGGGGTGGCCTTGACGCCGAACCAACACGTTGCTGGTATAAGTTCTAATGCATTTTATGCATTATGGAACCTCTTTTCAGGGTTCATGATCCCACGAACCGTAAGTGTTGCTTGACCATTGAAATTTCTAGTACTGCAAGCTTTTTTCTTTTCTTCAGTTAATAGAATCTGTATTGATGAAAAAAATTTGTTCTGGTTCTTTTGACCTCAATCAGAGGATTCCTATATGGTGGAGATGGTACTATTGGGCATCCCCAATGGCTTGGACCTTGTATGGATTGACTGTATCACAGTTTGGGGATATACAAGATAAGCTCAACACAGGTGAGACAGTAGAAGAGTTTTTGAAGAATTACTTTGGTTTCAAACAAGAATTTATAGGAGTGGTTGCAGCTGCAGTTGTTGGATTTTCCCTCCTCTTTGCGTTTATCTATGCCTTGGCCATCAAAATGTTGAATTTTCAGAGGCGATAAGAAATTTTGTTTTGAATTATTTCAGTATCATATTTTAGGCTCTTTTTTGAATCGCAAACATGTCGACAACTATATATTCAAGGATTAGCCTAATCAGCTTTGCTATTATATGTTGAACACAGACCACCATCGTCAAAAGATGTAATTCCGCAATCTATCTTTTTTGTATATATGTAGAGACTCTGTAAAGATGCTAGAGGCTTAAGCATATTCGAATATATGTTACTCAGTTATCAAATAAAGGCATTTTGTACTTACACTACAAGTCAATTTATACACACTGTCAGCTTTTATTATTGGTTTTTACCTTATGTTTCACGTTCCCGTGATATATTATGCATTCAAAAATAATTGAGTATAATTTATTGATCTCCATTGATCATATGTCTCTCTGTGTTAGATACTTAATATCTGATGGACTCATTGAAAAAACTGATCATGGCTATCATTTTTCAGTCAGTGAGAAGGCTATCATACAGCAACTTCTTCATATTTTGGCAGATATGATCCCTGTTTATGAATGTTTCATGCTAACTTCCTTTTAAATAATTCCTCAATTTATTTCTTTTGGTTTTCTAATGAAAATGTTGGGCATATTGATGTACTTTGAGGGATACACGATCTTTTATCCTGCTTCTCTCCTCGTCCTTGTTCTTTTTGGTAAGGAAGCACTATAATAAATTAGGAGTACATATTGTTCAAAATTAAGCCAGAAGAAATAAAATAGCAACCATCCAAGCAAAGGGAAATGAGCACTGTATATGATTTGCTTTGGTCAACAGATAGTGTTTTATATTTGTGTCAAAAAGGCAAATAAGTTAATAATATGAACATCAGGCTAAGAAAAGTTATCAGAAATGGAGTTAAAACAGTTTCAATTCAACCATCTATCTTTCCATTGGATTCCATTTAACTGAAGTTCAAGAAGGTGACTTCAAGAAATACATACAACTGAAGTGTTTTAACTGAAATTCAAATTCAACAATAGGATTGAAGTTTGCACCAAACCCAATAAAAGACTGCATAATTGGAGGCTGGAGCCTAGAGAATCCATCTTAGCCCCAAAAAATTTAAAATGAAGTTTAGATAATCCATTTCTAGCTAGATCAGTAATAAGATTTACCTTGGAGATTAGCCAAGCCTTATCGATGCGATGAACGAAATTAGAGGAGCTTTTATACAACTCTACAACCAAAGCTCACACGCCAGAAACCCTTATCACAGTGCCAAACCTTTCTTTCAAACCATATAATACCAATAAACTGCAACCTAAGACTACCAAGTGTTTGTTTATAGGCTATGCTTATAAGGGTTACATTTGTTATTATCTGAAGACACACAGACAGTTGATATCAAGGCATGTCATTTTCTTTTTATGAAAGTTGACTTTCCATACAAGTATATATGGTTCATTACTGCAATCAACTGCAGGTTCTAATCCTACTTCAACTTCATTCTCTACTTCTGCAGTTTACATTCCTCTTCACCCAATGCACCTGGTTCTGCTGTACCATCCTTACCTATTGAACCTATTCAAACTTCAGTTTCTTCACCACCCACCACTCTCCAAATGAATTGTCATCCTAATCTTCTCTCTTTCACTTCTTGGGTTTGTGGATTAGAGGTAGAATTGGATTGTACTGGAAATGATAAATATCATTTATTGGCACTAGTGTCTTAGATTTGTGTCGCAGCTCCCGGATCTTGGGTCCAAGGTCATGAAAGAGATGCTCTAAAGGCGCACCTTTAACAGTGGCAGGCGTATATTACTTATAGGAACCAATTACAAGTTGTGATAAGTACACAGAGTCTAGACAGAAGTCTAACTCTATCGAGATAAGTAAAAGGGATTTACAAGGAATTAACATGTGATAATGACAACAGATAATCTAAGTGTTTGTCTTCGATTGGGTTTCTCCTTCACCCCCTCCCCCACCCCCCCCAAAAAAGCTGACAGGGCGGCAACGAACATGCAGCTTGTCAACCAGCAGCTGAAACCGATGAGAGGAGAGACCCTTGGTGAAAATGTCGGCAATCTGATCATGAGTGAAAAGGTAGCCGACCTCCAACTCTTGGCAAACAACTTTTTCATGAACATAGTGATAGTCTACCTCAACATGAAGAGTGCGAGCGTGAAAGACATGATTAGATGCCAAAAATATGGCACTAATGTTGTCACACCATTGTTTAGGACAAGCCAAAGTGAGCTGAAGTTCACAAAAAAGTGAACGAAACCAAGGGAGGGTGGCAGCAATGTAGGCCAACTGACAGTATTCGGCCTCTGTACAAGAGCCCCCTCCTTGGTTCTTAGAACTCCAAGAGACCAAGCTAAAACCAAGATAGAGACAATAACCGCTAGTGGAGCGGCGGTCATTGGGATCCCAAGCATAATCGGCGTCAGAGTATGCAGTAATAGTGAGGGCACCCAACCTGTAGAACAGGCCATGAGTAGAGGTGCCTTGTAGATAACACAAAATACGCTTCACGGCTACCCAATGAGTCGAAGTGGGCTTGTGCAGTGCATGAACTGGCAGTCTTGGTTGACCACAAAAGCAGTGTGAGGATGGGTGAGAGTGAGATATTGGAGAGCACCAACGATGCTACGATATTCGATGCAATCAGCCAGAGGTTCTTCGTCATGTAAACTGAGGCGATGACCACTTATAGTCGGGGAGGAGACGGGCTTGGACTCATGCATATTGGTGCGACGGAGCAAATCCAGGATATACTTGGTTTGGGTGAAAGATAAGCCCGCATAGGTGTGGGTGACCTCCATACCCAAAAATAATGAACAGGGCCCAAGTCCTTCAGGGAGAATAAGCGACCGAAGTCCATAATGAATAAAGACGAACTGGGCCATCAATAAAAATAAATAAGGAGGAGTTCACAGTAGAAGCAATAAAGCCCAAATGCTCCAAGTTAGTAGAAAAACAGTGAAACAAGGCACAGGGAGCTTGCTTGAGCTCATAAAGAGAACGTTTTAACTGGTATACATGATGAGGAGATTGGGGGTCCACAAAACTAGTGGGTTGCTTCATAAACACATTTTCAGAGAGATACCCATGAAGAAAAGCATTCTGAACATCCAACTGACGCACAACCCAATTAAATTGGACAGAGAGTGCCAAGATAAGGCGAATGGTAGAGTGATTGATGACAAGGCTAAAAGTTTCACTATAGTCCAAGCCTTTTTGCTGATGAAACCCATTAGCCACCAGACGGGCTTTGTAACGTTGAATCGACCTCAGAATTGCATTTAATACGAAAAACCCATTTGTTGGGCAAAATGTTCATGTGAGAGGTGGGTGGCACCAACACCCACATGCCAACACTTTGGAAGGTGTTGAACTCATCCGCCATAGCACGCCGTCATTCAACCTGTGTATTAGCTTGACTGAAAGAAGTAGGCTCAACAAGAGCATTAGTAGAATCCGCAAGTAAAGCATGATGAGCATAATGAGGATTAGGTTTATGAATACCATCTTTAGCACGAGTAACCATGGAATGAGGAATGGAAGCGCTTACCAAGGAAGTAGCAGGGGTAGATAAGGTGTTGGACGGAGGAATAGAGGGATCAGGAGGAGGAGAAAAAGTAGCAATGCAGCGGTGGCGATCTCGACGATATGCGAGAATGGTGGTGGTGGCCTAGGATGGAGTTGAGCTAGGACATGGCGGATTTGGGGAGACAGGGGCAACATGGGCCGGGCAAGAAGTGGGCCAGTAATAAGAATAGGTGGGATGTGGACCGGAGGGGGGGAGGATCGATCCAAAGCTTGCAACGAAACAATCTCACGGAAGGGAAAATTGTTTTCATCAAATACAACATGTTGAGAAAGAAAGACTCTTTGTGTTGATAAATGTAAGCATCGATAACCTTTTTGATTAAGTGAATAGCCTAAGAAAACACATTTTGTAGAGCGAAACCGAAATTTAGTGGAATTATAAGGACGAAGATAGGGAAAACATGCACAACCAAAAGTTTTCATTATGTGATATTGAGGAGCTTTATTAAATAGAAGGTGATATGGAGAAGTATAATGTAAAATTTTGGATGGGAGACAATTAATTAGATAGATAGCAGTGTGCATGGCATCAACCCAATAAGAGGAAGGCATAGAAGCATGGGCTAGTGTAAGCCCAGTGTCAATAATGTGAAGATGTTTACATTTAGCAAGCCCATTTTGCTCAGGGTAATGAGGACAAGAAAGGCGATGATGAATACCATGGTGGGCCAAAAAGGCCTGAAAAGGTTTATTGAGGTATTCACTACCACAATCAATTTGAAAAACTTTAATTGTAGTAGAAAACCTGTTTTCCACCAAAGCCTTAAATTTACTAGAATGAGAAAATACTTCATATTTTAATTTCTTGGGATAAATCCATGAATAACGAGAAAAATCATCCACAAATAAGACATAGTAGAGAAAACCAGAAACAGCACACATCAAAATGAATTAATTGAAGAGGAGCAGTAGAGACAGAGAGAGAAGAAGAAAATGGTAATTTAATACTTTTGCCCAATGGGCATGAATGACGAGACCAAGTACATGCAATTTATTCCTATCCAAGCGAACAGTAACAACATTGGAGAAAGAAGGAAGCGAAAGATCATCATGAGAGGAAGACAAGACCATTAAAAAATAGAGAAGAGAAAAAAATAATCAAAGGATCGAACATGAGGTTAATCTTGTGCTCTAATACCATGAAAGAGATGCTCTAAAGCCACACCTTTAACAGTGGCAGGCGTTAACGGGTGTTATCTCTCTGTTAAGTATGAGGACAGGTGGCGAAATATTAAGAAAGAAACAAGAAGACATAGGAAAATTGCTCTCGTATAAGTTAACATAATCAAATATGAAGAGTGGGAGTGTGTATAGATGTGTTAGGGTTAAATATTAAGTTGGATGACTTTTTTGTCTTTTTACACAATAATAAAACTTAAGAGCTTAATAATTTTAAGTATTGGGATGAACAAAGAAATATGTGGGGTTTAAATAGAAAAATTCTAAAATTATTCAACAAAAATGCACGTAATGATATTATGTTGGGATTATCATTTATTCTATCCACATTCATTTTTAAGCACCAATCATGGTATTGGATTAAGCTAATCAAAATCTACGACTTATCCTACCCATCAAACTAGTTAATGTTTAAAAATTCCTCTGCATTCTCTTTTCTCCCTTTCTTCCTCATCTTTTTTCTCCTTTCTTCCGTTGTATGTTCTCAAATAATGTTGAAGAATGTTTCCTTTGTAGGCAGAAGCTCTTAACCCGAGGCTCCCACCACTTAGATCATGTTTGGTGACTAAGATTAGATTGAATTAGGAGGCAGAATTCGATTCCATTGGCTTGGAAAGAATAAAAATATTATTTTATTTTGCGTGGCGGCTCCCGGGTCTCGACTCCCACCACCTAAAGCATTTCCATATAGATTCACGCAAAAGTCTAAAGGCTTCATGATTGTGTTTCCCACTTCAACTTGTGAGCTCATCCAATTGCTTTTACAACATAATGCACTTGTTTTGTACTTAAACAATAACGGCAACGTGATTATATTATAAAAAAGTTTCCTCTATCAACCATAATTCAGATGTGACAAAGATGCCATTTCTCTGTCTACATTCCCATCGATTATCTTCGAGACTGCTACAAACATTGTACTTGTACATACCATAAGAGGTAATTACATGATGATAAAGTGATTTCAAATACGTCACCTCCCACTACCACGGAGAAAGTAAACATATATATATATAATATATAGATGACAAATACTTGTAAATGTAATAGCAAAAATAACAGAGATACCAATCTTCAAACTAACAGACCTGAGGTCATCTAAAAACTGTTGTAAGGAATAACTTCTTGGGTTCATCAACTCTTTTTTTCTTATACAAGCGATACTGAAAGATGAGGAATTCGAACACAGAGCTACAAGCCCCTTGCCTTGGTGATCCATCAACGTGATATGGTTCAAATATGGTTATGAATGATCCATCGACCATAATTAGATGCGATATATATGTCTTCTCTTTCTATTCTACAAGTACTACTTCATATGAATGCTTGAGTGTAGTGTGAACAACATTGATAAAGGTGATCCACCCACGCGGTCAGCTAATATGGTTGATATGAATGATCCATCAACTTTCTATGATGTACAACAGGTGGGAAAAGTGATTGAAAAGGACTTGGAGCGTCGTGTGTGCAAGGGAAAAATCGAAAAACTGCAGGTTTGAGTATTGAGCCTCAGAACCGGGCCCATGATCCACGTTTTGAAGAGAACTACGTCACGAGTCCAACTCTGATGCAGCGGAACAAGAACAAAAGATAATTTCAAGCAAACTGAACACCGTTGATTCTAAAAATACATGGAATTAAAACTCTAATATATTAATTATGAGAATACTCAAGAAAAGCGTAAAGAAATGAGAGAAAAATCTCAATCTTCATTCAATGAACAAACATCAACTGCCCTTGAAGTCTACCAGCCGCCAACTTTAATAGCCAACAAAAACAAACGTTTGGCCCCATGAACTTCTAAGAATTATTGAAACACTGAAACAGTAATTAAAACATTATTGCAATACTTAAATAGTAATTAAAAAGAATGTGTAAAGACTTCAAATGTTAGGATAGACTTTATTCATCATGATCAATCATAACTCCATCAAACTCACTGCTTTTTTGTGATATGGGCTTTTTCAGGTGTTTGACGTCGTTTAGTAGCTCAAAATAACATTTTAGTTTTTGAGCTAGTGTTCGAAAATTTTGTTATTTCTCGCTTTTATTTCCTTTTTGGATTCCTAGGGTTTCTAGGACTTGAGCTAGTATTTGAACCAACTTTAGCTAAAGGTTTAGGTTGTTACCCGATTATCATTCAGCACACTTTGGAGTGGATTCCAAACTTTGGTTCTCTTCGGCCACTTACTTGATTGCCTATCATATTATCAAGTTGCGTCATGCTACATGGTCAATTAAATCTGGAAAGATATCCTGGTTGAAATAGGTCTTTAATTATTCACGTTAATACTGATGAAAAATAAGTTCTATACGGAATTTCTTAACGAAGGCCAACTCACAAGTGATTAAATGCAGAACATTTTTGCCCACCACCCTTAATTGGTGGTGAGCATTGTCATCCATTAGTTGCTGTTGCTTGAGTGTGATTAGTCTACATGCTACTCAAATCTCAAAAAAAATTAAATTAAAATTATCCAAACAATAATTAACATGGTGGTGACCAAAAATATTTTCAGGTGATGTCAACCCTTATGTCACGTAAAGACCTATCTCCATATATAACAATGCTCCCTGCATTGCTGAAAAGAAAAGAAAGGACGTTGTAGCTGTTTTACAATGGATATGAGCCATGCCAATGAAGTTGATGTGAAGCTTCTTGATTTGCAAGAAAAGAAAGTCTTGCTTGAGAGGTTGGTCGGAGCAGTGGAAGAAGGTCAAGAGAGCTTCTTGTTGAGGCTCAAGAACCGCATTGATAGGTAACAGTTCACTATCTTTCTCTGTCTACATATATGTATCGTTCTAGACTTTCTTAAATTTTCTTTGTTTTTTTAATTTTTTATCATAATGGGATTGTTTTTCTTCGTATCACAGAGTTGGAATAAGCTTTCCTACAATAGAAGTCAGATTTGAGCATCTAAACATTTCAGCTGTAGCTTATGTTGGAAGCAGGGCTTTGCCTACAGTCTTGAACTATTGTGTTAACTTAATGGAGGTAAATGATATATTATAGCACATATGGTTTTCCTGTCAAATATCACTACATTCTTAAGAAGTTTTTTGTTTCTGTGCACGAAAGGGCTTCTTGAATAGCATCCATATTCTTCCCACTAAGAAGAAACACTTGTCTATCCTTAAAGATGTCAGTGGGATCATCATGCCTGGCAGGTGAGAAGAAAACCTCTGTCTATCCATGAAATAAACTCTGTTATGTTCGTCTTTTTCAATTCAAAATTAGTCTTTGTGGCCTAATATGCATACTCACTTGGGTTTTAACCAAAAATAAACTACTCTACTCACTTAGTGCTTCCTTTCTTCTCTTTTTTTTTTTTTTTTTTTTTTTTGGTGCAGAATGGCACTGCTTTTGGGCCCTCCAAGTTCCGGGAAGACCACGCTCTTGTTGGCTTTGGCTGGAAAACTTGATCAGGATCTCAAGGTTAAATAAATGAATTTAATTTCTCTAAGATTTTCTATCAATTTTTTCCCAAGCTTTACCTTTTAAATGTTACTCTTGACTTATAAAGTAAAAATACTTGTCCAGTCTTCAGGATGTGTGACTTACAATGGTTATGAGATGCATGAGTTTGTGCCTCAAAGGAGTGCTGCCTATATCAGTCAACATGATGTTCATATTGCAGAAATGACAGTCAAAGAAACCTTGGCCTTCTCTGCAAGATGCCAAGGGGTTGGACCCCGTTATGGTTGGTTTATAGGACTGCTTCTTACTTAATTTCCTTTAATTTTCAAAACTAGACCAATAGATTAAAACATGATTGGTTTTTATTTTGAATTTCGGCAGAAATGCTGGAAGAGCTAACTAGAAGAGAGAGAGAAGAGAATATTAAGCCGGATCCAGATATAGACATCTTCATGACGGTGAGAAATAAGCTACTTTTGATTTAAGACTTTAAAATTAAGAGGTCTGTAGCTTACTGCTATATTTCAGGAGTTAGGAGCTTTCTGCTATATGTTAACTCTTTGTTCCTATAAGATTTGAGACTTAATTTTTGCTTGCTCTACGATATGCTTTTCGAATCATCAGACATTTCTTTCGCTTTAATTAATTGTTTATGATATTATAGGCAATTTCAACAGAAGGCCAGAAGGAGATATTGGTGACAGATTATATTCTTAAGGTACCATCAATAATCTGTAATAAAGAAAAGCACTTTTAGTGATCACCTAGAACTAATAAATATCCATTGATTTTCAGATTTTGGGATTAGATACTTGTGCAGATACCTTGGTGGGGGATCAGTTATTAAGGGGTATCTCTGGAGGGCAAAAGAAACGAGTCACAACAGGTTAACAAAGTCAAGCTCTTTATATCAAACACGTAGATTTTTATTCATCGTAAAGTAATTGTAGATATTTTTTTCATAATGTGTATAGGTGAGATGCTTGTTGGACCCGCTAGGGCACTTTTCATGGATGAAATATCAACTGGCTTGGATAGTTCAACGACTTATCAGATTGTAAATTCAGTCAAGAACTATGTTCACATCCTTAACGGGACTGCAGTCATCTCACTGCTGCAGCCAGCACCTGAAACTTATGAACTTTTTGATGACATTATTCTCCTTTCTGATGGCCAAATTGTGTACCAAGGCCCTCGTGAACAAGTTCTTGATTTTTTTGAATCCATGGGCTTTAAATGTCCCGAGAGGAAAGGCATAGCTGACTTCCTGCAAGAAGTAGGTCCATATTTAGCTCTTGTTTGATCTTATGAAAATAATTGAGATAAACATTAATAGAGGAGTATTATGTATAATTTCTCATTTGTACCTAACATGTTGTAGGTGACATCAAGGAAAGATCAGGAGCAGTACTGGACAAACAGAGATGAGCCTTTCAGGTTCATCACAGTCAAGCACTTTTCGGAGGCTTTTCAATCTTTTTCTGTGGGGAAAAGAATTACTGAGGAACTTGCAGCTCCATTTGACAAGACCAAGAGTGACCCAGCTGCCTTAACGACCAAGAAATATGGTATAAGAAAAGTGGAACTCTTGAAAGCTTGCTTTTCAAGGGAACTCTTGCTTATGAAGAGGAATTCATTTGTCTACGTTTTTAAGCTCACTCAAGTGAGTTTTGAGTCTATTTTAGCTTCTATTATAACCTTTTCTTTTTCTTCTGTGCACCTGGATTTAATATGCAGTACTTCTTTTCCTTCTTTTTAGCTTGCAATAATGGCACTGATCACAATGACCGTATTCCTACGGATTGATATGCACCGTGATTCAGTAACTGACGGAGGAATATATGCTGGTGCTTTGTTCTACTCCTTTGTTACTGTTATGTTCAGTGGAATGTCAGAGATTTCTATGACTATTGCCAAGCTTCCTGTTTTTTACAAGCAAAGAGACCTCTTTTTTCCGTCGTGGGCATATGCCCTTCCCACATGGATTCTCAAGATCCCTATCACGTTTTTAGATGTTTCTGTTTGGGTATTTATCACTTACTTTTTCATTGGATTTGATCCCACTGTTGAAAGGTAATCATGTACAAAGTTTTGTCACATACTCGTTTAATTTGTTTTCGTGCTTGTTCTAGGCCATACAAAATATCATTCTGAAAATGATGCAGGTTGTTTAGACAATACCTTCTGTTCTTACTCATTAGTCAGATGGCTTCTGCGTTTAAACCGATCCATTGCTGGAATGGGTAGAAGCATGGTTGTTGCTTACACATTTGGGTCATTTGCACAGCTCATGCTTTTTGCTTTGGGTGGCTTCATCCTGTCAAGAGGTATAAAATTAGTAAAGTAAAGAAACACCACTTCCCATTGAGTGCTATACAATGTTTTCTAATGTCCTTTGGTTGATGTCACAGAGAATATACAGAAATGGTGGATATGGGGCTACTGGATATCACCTTTGATGTATGGGCAGAATGCAATCGTAGTTAATGAGTTCCGGGGAAAGAGTTGGAGTCATGTAATACCTTAATTCACTTGCCATTTCAAACACTTTTGTGTTTGTTTCTTAGTAATTATATTGTTGTCCTTGCTATTAAAAGGTTCTTCCAAACTCAACGGAACCGCTAGGAGTTGCTGTTTTGAGGTCTCATGGATTCTTTACACATCCATCTTGGTATTGGATTGGAGTAGGAGCTTTGGTTGGATACATACTCGTATTCAACATTTGTTTCACTTTGGCTCTCACTTATCTAAACCGTAGGTACCCTAACCTTACCTGCACTAGCTCTTAGAAATGAGAATTTAGCTTAAACTACTATAAAAATGTTATGCAGCGTTAGAGAAGCCACATTCTGTAAAATCAGAAGAATCTCAAAGCAATGAACATGACGAAAAGACTGGAGAATTTGTTCAGTTAGAGAACCAAGGAAATAGCTTGATTCTGCAAATCAACACAGGTGATATATCCTCTCAAACACTGTTTGTGTATATCTGTTTTGTGTGGAATTGTATATTGAAGACCAAATATTACCACTTTTTATGAAATTTTTGTGGACATGCAGATAATGCAGAAGCATGTATTCATCATAACAAGAAAAGAGGAATGGTTCTTCCATTTGAACCACATTTCATCACGTTTGATAAAATAACGTACTCTGTAGATATTCCACAGGTGATTGGACAAGTTTAAAACATGTTTGATATTAGACAAGTTTGTGCTACTCCCAAATTATGAGGAATTTTGTGAATCCATCTTGCAGTCAATGAAGAACTCCAAAGGTGTTGTTGAGGATAAATTGGTGCTCCTCAAGTGTGTTAGTGGTGCTTTTAGGCCAGGTGTTCTGATAGCTCTGATGGGAGTGAGCGGTGCTGGTAAAACTACACTAATGGATGTACTGGCTGGTAGAAAAACTAGAGGATATACTGAGGGAAATATTTCAGTTTCTGGGTATCCAAAGAAGCAGGACTCATTTGCCAGAATTTCTGGATACTGTGAGCAGAATGACATCCACTCTCCTTATGTTACTGTCTATGAATCCTTGATGTACTCAGCATGGCTTCGTCTATCTACGGAAATTAGTTCTGGAACAAGGAAGGTTGGTATCTGCTAGTTAAGAATAATTTTCTACTCTTTACTTTCTTTTAATGCAATTTAAAGTCATGTGCTTGAACTGATTTTTAGAATTGGTTGTAGATGTTCGTTGATGAAGTGATGAGACTCGTGGAGCTGAATCCATTAAGGCAAGCACTAGTAGGGTTACCTGGTGAAAGTGGTCTCTCAACCGAGCAGCGGAAGAGGCTGACCATTGCGGTTGAACTAGTAGCAAACCCTTCTGTAATATTCATGGATGAACCAACTTCAGGTTTAGATGCAAGAGCTGCTGCTATTGTTATGAGAGCGGTTAGGAACATTGTGGACACCGGAAGAACAATAGTGTGCACTATTCATCAGCCAAGCATCGACATATTTGAATCTTTTGATGAGGTGAAAACAGATATTGTCTTAAGACATTGAAACTGGAACTCCATGTGTTTTGTCTGTTCTAAGTGATTAGCATATGTAACATGTCATTGCAGTTGTTTCTAATGAAGCAAGGAGGACAGGAGATATATGTAGGGCCACTAGGTCGTCATTCTTGCCATTTGATCAAGTACTTTGAGGTAGAGTCTGATTGAAACTCAGGAAATTTCAATGATAAAATATGATATTCTTATCTTTTCTGCTTCTTCTTTTTTCAGAAAGGTTTTCTTGTACATGTAATTTTCTGTGCAGGGAATTGAGGGGGTGCGCAAAATCAAGGATGGCTACAATCCAGCTACTTGGATGTTGGAAGTTACCACTTCAGCCAAAGAAACAGCATTAGGAATTGATTTTGCTGATGTTTATAGAAGTTCTGAAATTTATAGGTAGGTTTATCAGACCTTGAACCATGCATTAACTTTTACTGATGAAAGTGATTTCATTTCAGGAGAAACAAATCCCTTATTGAAGAACTGAGTACCCCTGCTCCGGGTTCAAAGGACCTCTACTTCCCTACTCGATATCCTCAGTCATTTTTCACTCAATACATGGCTTGCTTATGGAAACAACATTGGTCATACTGGCACAATCCGGAATACAATGCCATAAGGTTTATCTACACAACTGTCGTAGCCTTGCTGCTTGGGACAATGTTCTGGAATCTTGGCACCAAAATGTAAGTCACAGTGCAGAAGTAACATAGATGTAATAGAAGTTGAGATTCTTGCATGAGTAATTTTGAGTTTGTTAATTCAGGACCAAACCGCAGGAGCTCTTTAATGCAATTGGTTCTATGTATGCTTCTGTTCTCTTCCTTGGTATTCAGAATGCTATGACAGTGCAGCCGATAGTGGCTGTTGAACGAACCGTCTTTTATAGAGAACAAGCTGCTGGAATGTATTCTGCCTTGGCATATGCCTATGCACAGGTGACTTATTCTATATGCATTTTACAAACATAGTTATTATTATGCATCATCTTATCTTATTTGTCTTGTGCTAATTCGATTATTTGTTGTAGGTCACAATTGAGGTCCTTTATATTTTTGCACAAGCTGTGATCTATGGTGTCCTAGTTTATGCCATGATTGGCTTCGAGTGGACTGTGGCTAAATTCTTTTGGTACCTATTCTTCATGTTTTTCACATGTTTGTACTTCACCTTCTATGGCATGATGGGGGTGGCCTTGACACCAAATCAACATGTTGCTGCTATACTTGTAATGCATTTTATGCATTATGGAACCTCTTTTCAGGGTTCATAATCCCACGAACCGTAAGCGTTGCATGCCCTTTAAGTTCCTACTACTGCAACTTTTTTTTTTCCAGTTAATAGAATCTGTATTGATGACAAATTTTCGTTCTTGTTCCTTTGGACGCCATATCAGAGAATTCCTATATGGTGGAGATGGTACTATTGGGCATCCCCAATGGCTTGGACCTTGTACGGATTGACTGCATCCCAGTTTGGAGATATACAGGCCAAGCTCAACACAGGTGAAACAGTGCAAGAGTTTCTGAGAAATTACTTTGGTTTCGAACAAGAATTTGTGGTAGTGGTTGCAGCTGTAGTCGTTGGATTTACACTACTCTTTGCATTTACCTATGCCTTGTCCATCAAGAAGTTGAATTTTCAGTGGCGATAAGAAATTCTGTATCAATTAATTTCAATCAGCATAGTTTAGGCTAGGGTCTCAATAGCAAACATGTCAACTTGTTGACCATTTGGGACTTAGCCTCATCAACTTTAATACTTGTAAAAAATCCACCTAAGAACGGAGGGAGACTTCCATCCGCATAATGTAAGATTTGTGTTGTTTTAAATGACGGTTTTAAATCTTTTGCGGCCGTTTGCAGCGATTTTATGAGATTTAGTGACATAAATTTAGTCTCCAGATATGAAAATCGTTTTAGCAGCGGTTTTTTCCGTCGCTAACCGTTGTAGATTCATGAATTAGCAGCGGAGATAAAACCCGCCGCTAAAGGTTGCATAGAATGCCGTACTACATTCCTTTAGAAATGTGAGCTTTTACCGTCTTTCCCTTTTACGCATTATAATTTTGGGACGCTACTCTACTTTTAAAAAGGGCAAATTTTGTCAGATGATCCTTGTTTATGAATATTTCATGCTAATTTGTTTTTTAATGCAATATTGGGCCTGAATGAAGCACTTTAAAGGGGCATGATCTCTTATCCCACTTCTCCCCACTCTTTTCTTTTGGCAAGGAACCGCTGCAATAAATAAAGTGTACATATTGTTAAAAAATCAGCCAGAAGAAATAAAATAGCCATCATCGAACGCTTTGGCCTATGTATTGCATGTAAATACCCAGTGAAACAGTTGTGCTTGCTTGCTGCGCAATATCGAAAATCAAATATAAGTTGATGCATGTGTGTAAAGGAACATTGAGGTACATTGTAGAAAGAAAAGTTAACGGAATTAGACTTTAAGCAATTTCAATTCAACTATATCAGTATATTTGTGCACTTGGATTAGCACTTTCATAAATTAAGAACATGCTTTAATTGTAATGAGACAACAAAATACGCGCACTATGAACTTAAGAACATAGCATGTTGACTCTGAGTTTTTTTTAATAAGAAACCACAATTTTATTAAAAAAACCATAATGTACAAATCAGTGAACAAGAAATCCACCAAATATACAACCACCACAATCTTAAAACTCAGATACCCCTCTACCACATTTCACTTGCAAAACTATAACTCTACAATACTACTGCTTTCCAATCCATAGATTAGTAAAAAGTAAACGCCCTAAGCTCTAAAGATGTAGATGCCCAAGAGAATGACCGAAACTGTATACGATGTCTCATAACTAATCTGTCTCATCACCCTTAACAAAAACAAAAACCCTCCTATTCCTTTCCACCTACACTACCCAAAAAACTGCCAACATAGCACATCTTCCCAGAACTTCTCCCCGTTTCTTTTCTCCAAAAAGATTGAACCTCTCTCCAAACAATGCACTGCATGAGGCAAGGAATGTCCTATGCACTACAAGTTGACTGTGAGTTAGCCCCATGATACACTCAAAGTACTGTCCTTCCTCCTCCTCAACCAATGACCCTTGTAAGTTTAAAAAGCGCACAATTAAAGAGGTTTTCAAAACTAAATGAGGAAAATTACATAAATAGTTCAATGGGTTATGAAGTCTTAATATGTAATAAATCTTAGTTACATACACACCACTCAGTTTATAGATTTATATATAATACTTTAACGAAGTTACACAAAGACAGGTTTAGTGAACCAACCACCAATACATGAAACCAGCTTTTTCTTTTTTGTAAGAAAGTGATAAAATTCTTTGCAAAGACCCAAAAAAGGGCATCAAAATACACCAACAAAACAAGGCAGAACAAAACTAAGCCCAAACAGACCGTTTCAGTGAGATCATTCTACACCAGAACAGAAAACTAAAATCGTAGATACATTGTAGAAAGAAAAGTTACCAAAATTGGAGTTTAAACAATT